CTCCCTGTCAGCCCCTCACCCCGCACGTGGCGCACCGCCCAACGGCCCCGGAGGCCCAACCCAGTGAACGTGCAACGGTGGTGGTGGTAGTTCAACGTTGGCATGTTGGTGGTGGTGATAGTTCAACGTTGGCATGGTGGTGGTGGTGATAGTTCAACGTTGGCATGGTGGTGGTGATAGTTCAACGTTGGCATGTTGGTGGTGGTGATAGTTCAACGTTGGCATGGTGGTGGTGGTGATAGTTCAACGTTGGCATGGTGGTGGTGATAGTTCAACGTTGGCATGTTGGTGGTGGTGATAGTTCAACGTTGGCATGGTGGTGGTGGTGATAGTTCAACGTTGGCATGTTGGTGGTGGTGATAGTTCAACGTTGGCATGTTGGTGGTGATAGTTCAACGTTGGCATGTTGGTGGTGGTGATAGTTCAACGTTGGCATGGTGGTGGTGGTGATAGTTCAACGTTGGCATGGTGGTGGTGATAGTTCAACGTTGGCATGTTGGTGGTGGTGATAGTTCAACGTTGGCATGTTGGTGGTGGTGATAGTTCAACGTTGGCATGTTGGTGGTGGTGAGAGTTCAACGTTGGCATGTTGGTGGTGGTGATAGTTCAACGTTGGCATGTTGGTGGTGGTGAGAGTTCAACGTTGGCATGGTGGTGGTGGTGAGAGTTCAACGTTGGCATGTTGGTGGTGGTGATAGTTCAACGTTGGCATGTTGGTGGTGGTGATAGTTCAACGTTGGCATGTTGGTGGTGGTGATAGTTCAACGTTGGCATGTTGGTGGTGGTGATAGTTCAACGTTGGCATGTTGGTGGTGGTGATAGTTCAACGTTGGCATGTGGTGGTAGCCCAACGTTGGGATGTGGTGGGGGCCAAACGTTGGGATGTGGTGGGGCCCACCGTGCCTCGTTAACTGGGTAGCTGCTGATAATCTTGATGATTATGACGTTGACAGTGATGATGATCATGTCAGTGGTAGTCATGTTAATAAAGATGATGTTGATAACGATGTTTATGACGATCGTTTCTTTACCAAGATGTTTAGAGTGATGATGGCAATACTTAAGAAGTTGATAGTTTGCATCATAATCACTAAACGGCTTGTTCATGATCAACAATGTTATAATGAGCTAAACATGTCTCCCTAATGATTGGCGTTATCATAATCACCACCACCACGAACAGCTGCGTCACTGTCGTCACTATAAACATCTTAAGCATCATGTAAACACCAACACCGTTTTCATCACTAGCTGGGGAAAGCTTAATGATCATGAGGATGAGTGGCATTAAACATGTCAATAATACACCACTTAATTGTTGAACCGGTTCTGGTTATCACCTAGGTCGACTCAGCCTCAAATTAGTACCTGGTACGGTGTGTAAACATCACCACTGGGGAGACAAAGGCGGTCAGGTGTGGTGCTGACCCACCCACTCCCTCGTGTGCCGTGCCGGCCTTCATAGTTCCGACTGGCGAACAGCACTTGCCCCTACAGTCTGTGGCTCAACGGAATTCGTTGCCTGTAAATGTGTACATGGTATTGACCAACACTCCAAACGGCCAGCGACAAGCAGCACTCGGTAGTGTTCAAGGCAAGAGTTGTCACGTGTCTTGCATTGGGCAACGGCAGGTCGGCTGCAGCACGGTGGTCAGATTCTGCGCTGCCTCGGCGAGAAGGGCCTGGGTTCATATCCTGACTGCTACCTCTGTGTGTGGAGTTTGTGTTCTCCCTGTTCTGTATCATGAGTGTGGAGTTTGTGTTCTCTCTCTATTCGGTATCATTAGTGTGGCGTTTGTGTGTTCTTTCAATGTTCTGTCGCGTGAGTGTGGAGTTTGTGTGTTCTCTCCCTGTTCTGTAGAGTGTGGAGTTTGTGTTCTCTCCCTGTTCTGTAGTGTGGAGTTTGTGTGTTCTCTCCCTGTTCTATAGAGTGAGTGTGGAGTTTGTGTGTTCTCTCCCTGATCTGTAGAGTGTAGAGTTTGTATGTTCTCTCCCTGTTCTGTAGAGTGAGTGTGGAGTTTGTGTGTTCTCCACCTGTGCTGTTGTGTGAGTGTGGAGTTTGTGTGTTCTCTCCCTGTTCTGTAGAGTGTGGAGTTTGTGTGTTCTCCCATTGTTCTGTAGAGTGTGGAGTTTGTGTGGTCTCTCCCTGTTCTGTAATGTGAGTGTGGAGTTTGTGTGTTCTCCACCTGTGCTGTTGTGTGAGTGTGGAGTTTGTGTGTTCTCTCCCTGTTCTGTAGAGTGAGTGTGGAGTTTGTGTGTTCTCCACCTGTGCTGTTGTGTGAGTGTGGAGTTTGTGTGTTCTCTCCCTGTTCTGTAGAGTGAGTGTGGAGTTTGTGTGTTCTCTCCCTGTTCTGTAGAGTGAGTGTGGAGTTTGTGTGGTCTCTCCCTGTTCTGTAATGTGAGTGTGGAGTTTGTGTGTTCTCCACATGTGCTGTTGTGTGAGTGTGGAGTTTGTGTTCTCTCCCTGTTCTGTAGAGAGTGGAGTTTGTGTGGTCTCTCCCTGTTCTGTAATGTGAGTGTGGAGTTTGTGTGTTCTCCCCCTGTTCTGTAGAGTGAGTGTGGAGTTTGTGTGTTCTCTAGAGCGTGTGAGTGTGGAGTTTGTTTGTTCTCTCCCTGTTCTGTAAAGTGTGGAGTTTGTGTGTTCTCTCCCTGTTCTGTAGCGTGAGTGTGGAGTTTGTGTTCTCCCCCTGTTATGTAGAGTGTAGAGTTTGTGTGTTCTCCACCTGTTCTGTAGAGTGTGGAGTTTGTGTTCTCCCCCTGTTCTGTAGCGTGAGTGTAGAGTTTTTGTGTTCTCTCCCTGATCTGTAGTGTGTGGAGTTTGTGTGTTCTCTCCCTGATCTGTAGAGTGTGGAGTTTGTGTTCTCTCCCTGTTCTGTAGCGTGAGTGTGGAGTTTGTGTGTTCGCCACCTGTTCTGTAGAGTGTGGAGTTTGTGTGTTCTCTCCCTGATCTGTAGCGTGCGAGTGTGGAGTTTGTGTGTTCTCTCCGTTCTGTAGTGTGTGGAGTTTGTGTGTTCTCTCCCTGTTCTGTAGCGTGAGTGTGGAGTTTGTGTGTTCTCTCCCTGTTCTGTAGTGTGAGTGTGGAGTTTGTGTGTTTCTCCCCCTGTTCTGTAGCGTGAGTGCGGAGTTTGTGTGTTCTCTAGAGCGTGAGTGTAGAGTTTGTGTGTTCTCTCCCTGTTCTGTAGCGTGAGTGTGGAGTTTGTGTGTTCTCCCATTGTTCTGTAGAGTGTAGAGTTTGTGTGTTCTGTAGAGTGTGTGAGTGTGGAGTTTGTGTGTTCTGCCCCCTTTCTGTAGTGTGGAGTTTGTGTGTTCTGACCATGTTCTGTAGTGTGGAGTTTGTGTTCTGCCCCTGTTCTGTAGTGTGTGTGGAGTTTTTGTGTTCTCTCCCTGTTCTGTAGAGTGGAGTTTGTGTTCTCCTGTTCTGTAGTGTGGAGTTTGTGTGTTCTCCCTCTATTCTGTAGTGTGGAGTTTGTGTTCTCCTCCTGTTCTGTAGTGTGTGTAGTTTGTGTGTTCTGACCATGTTCTGTAGTGTGGAGTTTTTGTGTTCTCTCCCTGTTCTGTAGAGTGGAGTTTGTGTTCCCCTGTTCTGTAGTGTGTGTAGTTTGTGTGTTCTGACCATGTTCTGTAGACTGTGTGTGTAGAATTTGTGTTCTCATTCTCCCGACTTCCTCCGACAGATGAACATATTCATTGGAACTGCTGCTGACGAAACCACATCCCCAATGCTGAGACATCTCCTTCAAATCACTCGATGGGAATCACGCAGCAGCAACATCGCCCCCATACTGCCGTGACAAACGTAGCAGGGTCCTTGCTGAACGTGAGGCTTGAGACTCGGCAAGGCTCTCACGGGTGAACGAGCAGACTGGTCATTGTTCAGAGTTAGGACTTTGGCTTAGAAAAGAAAACCAAGCTGAAATGCCCATAGACTAACACTGCCCATCGACCTACATTGCCCATAAACGTACATTGCCCATAGACTAACACTGCCCATAGACTTACATTGCCCATAGACTAACAATGCCCATAGACTAACACTGCCCATAGACTTACATTGCCCATAAACGTACATTTCCCATAGACTAAAATTGCCCATAGACTTACATTGCACATTTACTTACATTGCCCGTAGAATTGCATTGCCCATCGACTCATATTGCCCATGAGACTCGTGTATATCCTCGTCTGTCCACACAATTCCCCCTCTATCTGTTTAACGATTCTGTAACTCGGTGCTGTAAATGTGCCCCGATCGGTCTCAACATCATCGGCCTGAGGCGACTCGCATTGCAGGAGGGGGGGGGCACCCCATTCTACAACACAGCTGTGCGTGGGTGCGATTCGCTCGCTTCTTCTTTGGTTCTTTCGGTAAAGTAACGTAGAATGAGAATAAAATAATAAAGCAATAAAATTCTCACGACGTTTCGGCCACAACGCAAACGGCCGTCTTCAGGTGAAAGGTACAGACCTGTCGGGACGGCAGAGCTTCGTCGTCCCGACAGGTCTGTACCTTTCACCTGAAGACGGCCGCTTGCGTTGTGGCCGAAACGTCGTGAGAATTTTATTGTGTTATTTTATTATTTATTCTCATTCTACGTGACTTTACCGAAAGAACCAAAGAAGATGAATCCTTGCAGTCACGAAAGCTTTAAATCGAAATCTCTCGCTTCTCTCGCAACGTGACGACGCACTCGTGTTTTCGTGCCGATTGCTATTTGCATCGTTGGCGTAGCTTCATTTCGTTTCGGTTTTGTATTCCTTCTGACCCGGGTCACTCTTGACAAATCATGGTCTCCCCACCCAGAGTGGTAATACGGCCATCTATTTTGTGCGTGTCGATGGCTGCGACTCCTGCATTTGGGGATGGGCCTCAAAGTGCACCTAGCCTGGCACAAGCAACTGCGGTCACGTCACCGCCACTTAGTGGCGAAGGGCAGCTGTTGCTGTGCGGAGGAGTAGGTGGCGCAGTGGTTCGTGCACTGCATGAAGAACGTGGGCAACCAAAGTTTGATTCCCGGCCACGGACAACATTAGTGGTGAATATCGAAACCGATGGTGGGCTTCCTCTAGGTCGACTCGGCCTTAAGTGAGTAATCCTGGTGCGGTGTGTAGCGAACATCAGAGCTGGGGATACAAAGGCGGCCGCCGGGCATGATTTTGACCACCCCACCCCCTCGTGTGCGAGGTACCAGCACTTGCCTCGGCAGTTGTTTTCACCGGCACAATGAAGGCCTCCGAACAACAATCAACGTTTATTGTGTCGGGGGACAGAACTTACAAGGGTCGAGTTGACATTGTGGGTCATAACCACCTGCATTGAGTTCGAGAGGTGAGAATTACATTTGTGTCAGTTCAGGGGTCAACTTCCAAGGGTTGAGGTCAGAAAGTACAAGTAAGCCAAATTCCAGGATTGAGGTCAGATCAAGGTGCACTGTCAAAGTCGAGGTCCAATTTAAGTTGAAGCAATAGATCAAGGCTCTCAGCGCCGAGTTTAGGGCTCTTAGGATTGGTGTCAAGAGGGCAGGGCGATAAGATCACGTGTTATGAGCCCAAGAGGTCAGGGCTGTCAGAGTCAAAGCCATTGGGGGGTGGGGGTTGTGGTCAGAATTCCCACATGGACTCGATGTCGGGTTTCTCCCCCGTGGCGCTCAACTCCCCGTGGGCCGCCCCCTTTACGAGCGCCCCCCCCGGCGCCACCAGACACAGCCGGTGGGGGGCATGCAGCTGCACCAGGAATGGGGAGGGGGGGCTTGGGCCCCCCAGCACCACCGCCGCATCCTCCCCACGCACCACCCAGCCCCCTTGGCCTCCCTCACCTGCGGAGGGGCGTGGGGGGAGAAGCTTGTTAGGTGATCTGTGTGTAAGTGCGTGTGTGTTGGACACGTTGCCTTAACATGCACCTAGCCTGGCACGACAGCCGTGGTCACGTAACCGCCACTTAAGAGGGGGCGAATGGCGGCTACAGTACCGTGTATGTACAATGTGGGTGTGTAATGTATAAGCAGTATATTAGTCTGTATGTGTATATGACTGTACAGTATACTGTATACAATGTGGGGTCGGTGGTGTAGCGATTAATTTGATAAACGAGCGAGGGTCTTGCAATACGAGTAGTACGTATACGCTTTGTCTGCCGAGCGTCACGTGATCACAACTGATATACATTGTGCTTTGATATACGGGTGCTTTGGATTACAAACACGTTTCTGGAACGAATTATGCTCGCAATCCAAGGTTTTACTGTGTATCTACCCAACGTCTGTCCTGCCAAGCAGTTTGAATTCACTCGGATGCGTCTATGCGGTCAGACGTGGGACAACATTGTGTGCACTGCACGCGATACTCGACACAAAGCTGTCTCGTGCAATTTCACTTTTTTGCTCTGTTTTTTTTTGGAATGCATCTACCGCATGAAGCGAGGAAAACCTGTGTTTTGGTGGAGAGTGGGAGTTGCATCTTACCAGCAGAATGGCTTCAACGCAAGCAAAAACTCGGGACTGGTTTCGACATCGAGTGGCTCATCAGCAGCAGAATCGGCTTTGCCGGTGAACTGCCGAGTGTTTATAGGCAAGGAGCGAAGAGAAATCTGTGAGGAGGAAGTGGTAGGAGTGGTGAGTACCTGTGATGAGGTGGTAGGCCCCGTCTCCACAGGGCAGCAGTTGGAAGGCTGTGAAGTCCGCCTGGTCGCACCGCAGGGTCCCCTCACCTTCTCCTCCCCCCTGAGGCCCCACGAACCCCCGGGGCCCCTGCAGGATGAGGCGCGGCCGGTTCTCCAAGCGCACCGTGAACAGCTCCTGTGGGCCTGGGGTGAGGGGCGAGTGACTGGGTGAGTGGATTTGTGGTCGGGTGGGTGGGTGGGTGAGTGGGTGAGCGGCTGGGTGAACGAGCGGCTGGGCGAGTAGGTGAGCAGGTGGGTGGGTGAGCATGGGAGAGCAGGTGAGTGCATATGACCACTGTGTCGAGAGGCCGCGAATGGCCGTGATGGCCCCGGGAGAGGGGGGCCTTGATCCAGCAGTGGATAGATACTGGCGGCTGACGACGGCGGTGGCGACGCTCACTTGGTAAGGTGGCTGAGGCCACGATCTGGCCGATGGGCCTCATGGTGACGTAGAGGCCGGAGGGGGCGCGCAGCAATACGCAGGGCCCTCGCCAAGTCACCGTGAAACCGCAGTCTCCATCACCGTCGCGGACAACCACGTTACCACCCTCTACCTAAAAAACAAACATCACCGTACACACGCCATCACCGTACACGTTACCACCACACACCATCACATGCACCAGGATCACACGTACCACGGGACGTCATGTTACTATGCTCCACATTTGCCACTTTTCCAGGTATGGGTGCAGCGTGGGCGTTGTGTGGCGCGGTGCGGTGTGCCGTGTGCCCCATACCTGCATCACGTGGAGCCCTTGGACGCTGCTCAGGTGAGCGACATCTCCGTCCACGCGGAGATGGAACAGGGATTGAGGCTCCACCTTGTTGCCCCGTGCATACAGCTCCTCCCCTGCATGTGCGCGGGTACGCACATACATACACGGGTACACAGAGGCAAGTGCTGTTAGCAAGTAGCACCTCTGAAGGCTGGCACAGCGTAGGAGGGGGTGGGTGGCCAGCACCACTTCCGACCGCCTTTGTCTTCCTAGTGGCGATGTTTACACACCGCACTAGGACCGCTTCAGATAATTGTCACTGGTATTGGCCTTGTCTCCCCGTACCTCCCCGTGTCTTCTCACCGTGAGCGATGGTCACCACGTGTCCCCTGTGTGTCCACAGAGACACCACGGCACCCGCACGTCTCGGCTCCAGCAGGGCGTCCCGTATGGCCTGGGATGAGCCGGCGCTCACAAGGAGACGTGGGCCCTGACACACGGAGTGGCGCGCAAGGAAGACGCAGCGCAGGTGAGACATGCAGGGAGACACGGCACAGGTGAGACATGCAGGGAGACACGGCACAGGTGAGACATGCAGGGAGACAGCACAGGTGAGACATGCAGGGAGACGCAGCACAGGTGAGACATGCAGGGAGACACAGCACAGGTGAGACATGCAGGGAGACGCAGCACAGGTGAGACATGCAGGGAGACACAGCACAGGTGAGACATGCAGGGAGACACGGCACAGGTGAGACATGCAGGGAGACAGCACAGGTGAGAGACGGGGAGACGCGGCACAGGTGAGACATGCAGGGAGACGCAGCACAGGTGAGACATGCAGGGAGACGCGGCACAGGTGAGACATGCAGGGAGACACGGCACAGGTGAGACATGCAGGGAGACACAGCGCAGGTGAGACATGCAGGGAGACACGGCACAGGTGAGACATGCAGGGAGACACGGCGCAGGTGAGACATGCAGGGAGACGCAGCACAGGTGAGACATGCAGGGAGACGCGGCACAGGTGAGACATGCAGGGAGACACGGCACAGGTGAGACATGCAGGGAGACGCGGCACAGGTGAGACATGCAGGGAGACGCGGCGCAGGTGAGACATGCAGGGAGACACGGCACAGGTGAGACATGCAGGGAGACACAGCGCAGGTGAGACATGCAGGGAGACGCAGCACAGGTGAGACATGCAGGGAGACACGGCACAGGTGAGACATGCAGGGAGACACGGCGCAGGTGAGACATGCAGGGAGACGCAGCACAGGTGAGACATGCAGGGAGACACGGCACAGGTGAGACATGCAGGGAGACGCGGCGCAGGTGAGACATGCAGGGAGACACGGCACAGGTGAGACATGCAGGGAGACACAGCGCAGGTGAGACATGCAGGGAGACAGCACAGGTGAGACATGCAGGGAGACGCGGCGCAGGTGAGACATGCAGGGAGATGCGGCACAGGTGAAAGATGGGGAGACACATGGAGACAGCGCGAATGAGAGACGGAGAGATGGGGAGACACGCAGGAAGACACAGGGACGTACTCCATTTATCACACCACACACAACCCTTGGCAGTGGCGAGTTTGGATACCTGTACCCTGTGGATTAACTCTGTGGGTGTACCCCGTGGGTAACGTACCTGTGGGTAGAGGAGGCGCCCCTGGGTGTCCCGCAGCGCCAGCACGCCGTGAGTGACGTGCACGGCGCTGGCCACACCGTCGGTGGCCATTGTGGAGCACGGCACGGCCCCACACGTCACGCACACTCCCGTGTCCGTCTCCACGTGGTAGCGCCCGCTCTGAAAGCAAAGGTCCCCAGTGTCGTAGCATTGTATAGGCTGCTGCGGCAAGTGCCGTTCAAGTGAGCACGTGGTTGAGCGTGTGCGCTTGAGTGAGTAGTGGCAGTGTAGCGATTAGCTAGCATGTTTTGCTACAAACCCGCCGAACTGGGTTCGATTCCTGCTCATGGCCAACGCAAGCGATGATTACCTGAACCGGTCCTGGGCCTCCTCGAGTTTGACTCGGCCTCAAATGAGTACCTGGTGTGGTGTGTAAACATCACCACTGTGTTCTTTGGTTCTTTTGGTAAAGTCACGTAGAATGAGAATAAAATAATAAATTAATAAAATAAAATAACACAATAAAATTCTCACGACGTTTCGGCCACAACACAAGTGGCCTTCATCAGTCTCGTCCCTTCACCTGATGAAGGCCACTTGTGTTGTGGCCGAAACGTCGTGAGAATTTTATAGTGTTTATTTATTAATTTATTCTCATTCTACGTGACTTTACCGAAAGAACCAAAGAAGATGAATCCTTGCAGTCACGAAAGCTTTAAATCGAAAAATATCACCACTGTGGAGACGAAGGTGGTCAGGCGTGATGCTGGCCACCCACCCTCTCGTGTGCTGTGCCGGCCTTCCCCCAATTGTCTCCCCCCAATTGTCTACTCAGGCTATGCGAGGGATCGTTGTGGTTAAGCGAGAATGTCAGCGTATGGTTGAGTGGGTGGACGAGTGAATCAGTGAGTGGAGGGTGGGCGGGCAGGCGGAGGGGCTCACCGAGAAGTGAACCGTGAAGACGCAGCCGGGGCTGTGTGGCACCGCGGCGTCTGCGTAGAGCTGGGCCCCCCGCGAAGCCGCTCCCGGCATCTCCGCACGCACGTAGCTCCCCCACGCCCGGCTCCACAGCCACACGTGGGGGTGCAGCTCCACGTGGGGCCACCATGTGGTCACCTGCGGGACCCCCCCCCCCCGCCCCACCGTACAGCACCCGCCCATCAACCCCGGTCTGTTTACAATGAAGCCCCCCTCCGGTAATCATCGCTCGTTCCCGATACCGCTCACCGCTAACATACACCCCTCGCTCACCGTGTCGTTCACCGCTCACCCCGGCACCTCTGACCGGTGAGAAAGATCCGAATACAATTCGTGTCACGCGTCACGATTGTGCTGCTCTCGACACACGACGAAGGGTCCCCTCGGAACTCTCGCAGAGCGGTGCAACGCTCGCCGCTTTAACCCGCCAGGCGTTCTGTTCGTTATCGTGAAAAGCGCTCATTCACCCTCCGTTTTTGGCCCAGGGTGGCCACTGCCGTCTCTAACTTCCCAGTCGCTACGAAGTGCGCCAGCATGGCACCAGCATGGCACCACCCAATGGTGTCCTTCAGGAGCCTCCTCCTCCTCCTCTACAGAGGCTGATCTTGACACCACTGGTACGTATGTGCGTTGAACTTCTTTCGCACCGTACATAGTCAACCGTGCTAATCGGACGTCCGGGGGAAGGACAACCAAACTCAACACAAAAAGCAGTTCGAGGGAAATGAAGGTATCAGTCATCAGCAAGGCCACTTAGCTCGAGACCCTCTTGCAACTGGTCACAGGATCCAGATTGCACTTTACACCTCCTCCGCACAGCCAGCCAACGAGCAGGGCCCCCATGTTTACTTCGTTGGGCTCAGGGGTTTCCACCCCCCCCCCCCTCCCAAGACCTCACAATATGCTCTGAAAAACTTGCAGACGTGGTCCTGGGCTTCAAAGGTCGAATTACCATTCTTTCCCTTAAGGACAGTAATCGGTGTGACATTGCAAGTCACTTTTTTGACGTAAAGAGTGATTTGTGATCGCGAGCTGCCGAGGCAATTTCAGCCTCTTGCACCGGTGCCCGTTCGAACCTCTGAGCGTTGGCTGCGGTAAGCGTCCTAAATCTTCGATGTGGGATGTTGCAGATGAGAGTGGGCCTGCAGCTTACTTTCAGCTAGCTGGAACACCTCCTCAATCAGCCAGGGTCTCTGCGGAGGTGTGGACCCTGTACCCAATGCAGCCATAACAGCATGAGTCGCAATCATGAACCTCGCTCATTTCCTCTCGGCGTCAGAAGGGAGTTGGGGGACAATGTCAACCCCAGCTGCAAGCGATGATCAAATTCTCACTTGTAACCTTCATCATTGAGCCGAGACCAGGTTATTTCTGGTTTGGATGGGGTCGTAGGTGGATGCCCACCACCGCAGTGGAAGAATGGCAGGTGCATCTTACAGATGACAAGCCGATGGGTCAGTGAGGAAGCCCAGGACCGGTTCAGACATTTGTCACCGATGTTGGGCTTGAGCAAGAATTTAACTTGGGTCACCAGCGTCGTAGTGGTGTTCCGACTACCGCTCATGACAAAAACTGACTCACATAAAGACAAAGATCCCCCGAATAGCCTTTATAGGCTCTAAGGGCAAGTGCTGTTAGCGAGCACCTGAAGGCCGGTATGGCACACGGGGGGGTGGGTGGCCAGCACCACCTCGTCCCGCCTTTGTCGACCTAGGGGAGGCCCACGACCGGTTCAGATAATCGTCACTGGTGTTGACCGTGAGCGGGAATAGAACCCGGGTTGCCGGGCGCTAATCGCTACACTACCCAGATCAACACACACGACTGGGTGTACACTTTGGCAGCGATCGGTCACCCTGGTTCGCCTCTCACCGCAACCGTGTCGTCCACCGAGCCCTGTACTCACGCTCTGATTGGCCAGCCCGTCGCACGTCACCTCCCCACGCGGCCCGCCCGCCGCCAGGTAGCGCTCGCGGGCGACGGCGCGCAGCCGCCACGCCCCGCGAGCGCCGACGGCCTCCACTGCCAACACAGTGCCGGCTCGGCGCTGAGCCGCGTCGCACGCCAGCCTCCCGCGCTCGTCCACGCGGGCGTACCCGCCCCGCGCCTCGCTCCTCAGCAGTGCCAGCGACGCGCCGCCGCTGCCGCCGGCCTCCTCCGCCCTGACCGCGTCCAGCCGCCAGCGCTGCTCGGGGCCCGTGCCGCGTGGCGCGGTGACGACGGCGCTGTCGGAGGCCTCGCACGATAGGTAGCGCCCGCCCACGGACACGAGGCCCAGGCACAGCGAGGCGGCGCCGCGGCCCTCCTCCTCGTCGCCGCCGGCGCTCTCGTCCAATGCCGCCGCCGCCGCCTTCGTGTTGGCTCCGGGAGGCCGCTGGCCGCGGGGAACCAGCGGCGACGCTAGCGGCACGCTGTCCGGTGCGCCGCAGTGCTGATGACGGGGAGGGTCGTACGCATGGCCGAATACGTAGGCCTCGTTGTAGAAGACGCTGCTGCTGTACTCGCTGCTCTCATTGCCGACACCGCCGCCCGTCGCCACGGTGACCCGCGTCCCCGTCGCGCCGGGTTGCTCGCTCAGCAACCGCTTGAACTGGCTCCGCGTTGCCTCCACTTCCTCCTCCTCCTCCTCGTCGTTGTTGCGCGCTGGCGGCCGGGACTTTGGGAGGCCATCTCCGTCGCGGTGCGTGGCCACGGCGACGCTGCGGCTCGCCACACCAGCAGCAGGGCCAGCGGCGGCGGCGGCGGTCGACGGTGCCCTGCGTGGCTCAGGGCCGTGCGAGGAGCGGCGCCGGCGCGGCCGCCCCTCGCCGGCTCTTTCGCCGCCATCTTTCCCGTTGTCGGTCCCATCGTCTTCGACGGGGCCGGCGGTGCGGCGGCACGGGCCACGGCCGAGTTGGGATTCGTCGCCCAGCGCCCGCCCGCGGCTCCGCGCGCAAGGGCGCTCACCGCAGCGAGGGGAGGCTCCCTCCCGGCCGCGGGGCTCACGCGTCGGCCGCTCGCGACCGGCGGCGTCGTCGTCGCACGCTACTCCGAACCTGTTCCGGCGGAGCTCCTCCAGGAGGGCGTCACCGTCACCATCCGGGCTCTGCTGGCGCCGTGCGTCCCTCCCCCCCCCCGCCGCCACGCTGCGAGCACGGCGGCGCAGCGCGGCGGCGGCGGTTCCGCCGTCACGGCGCCCTCGCGGGCGCGGGTCGTCATCCGCCTCGCTGTCGTCCGACAAGAACGGCTCCGCGCCGCCCCCGCTGCTGCGGGCGCGTCGGTGACTGCGCCTGAGGAGCCCCGCCACGGTGTTATTCGGCGCCGCCCACGCCGCCAAGAAGGAGGAGGAGGAGTCGGGCCCCGGGTCCCCCTGGAGCGTCTTGAGCTCCTCGTGCCGGTCCCGGCGGCGGCGGATGAGCTCCATGACGTCGTGCACGCGCTGTGGGTTGCGCGACGGCCGCCCGCCTCCTTCTCCGGGGTGCCCTGGGCGAGACCTCGCGCCGTCTTCCTTCGGCGGCGCCACCGGCGTCGTCGCCGCCGCCGCCGATGGCCTGGACACGTCGCGATCGTCGTCGCCGTCGGAGAACGGGCGCCGGCGCGAGAGGACCCCGTGGGGGAGCCGCCGCCGCTCACGGCTGCGGCCGCTGTCTGGTCTCGGCATCCTCCCGGCGTCGCGCTGGCGCGGGGGCCGGCGGAGGCCGAGGATATCTGCCGTGGAGGTGGAGCAGAGGGGATTGCTGTTGCCACCGCGGTCGTCGTGGCGGTCGTGGCCGTCGCGGTAACGGGGACGCGGGGATAGAGATCGGTCGTGAGACTGCAGAGTTGGGAGGTCGAGGCGAGTTGGGAGGTCGCGGCGAGACGAGGGGAGGTCGCGGTAGGTGGAGAGGTCGCGGGGAGGGTCGCGGTGCGAGGAGGGGAGGTCACGGTGGGTGGGGAGGCCGCGGCGAGCGGGGGGGTCGCGTTCAGAGGAGGTGAGCTTGCGGGAACTGCGAGGCATGGCGTCCCTGTTCGTCCACGCGGTGTCGCGCGTCAAACGGGAGAGCGGCATCCTTGGGAGACAGAGAAACAACATCGCCATCGTTAGCCGTGAAGCGTTTCACACCCGTGGGCTATTCGAGGAAAGGTCGTGGTCCACGGTTATGATTCTGGAATACTTGCTACATCGAGCTGCCGCAGGTAGGATCTGTATCACTGTCAATAACACGGAATGGCCTTCAGTGGAAACACAATGGGCGACGTTTCGGGCAATAGCCCATTATAGCCCACACGAGCGACCCGCCATCAATCACCCAACACCATGCGCTGGTTGTACTGTACCGCTATGCCCCCTCACACGGTCCGCGCCTTCACCACCGCCACCACCAAACCAAGCCGCGATGGACCAGCGCTGTAGGTATGGTTGTTGTGGTTGTTGTAGGTATGGTTGTTGTGATTGTTGTGGGTATGGTTGTTGTGATTGTTGTGGGTATGGTGGTTGTGATTGTTGTGAGTATGGTTGTTGTGATTGTTGTGGGTATGGTTGTTGTGATTGTTGTGGGTATGGTTGTTGTGGTTGTTGTAGGTATGGTTGTTGTGATTGTTGTGTGTATGGTTGTTGTGATTGTTGTTGTGGTTGTTGTTAATTTAATTATGGGTGACCGCGTCCGCCTACCGTGCAGTGGGCGACGTCCCCGAATAAACGACCCTGGCGGCGCGCGCCGCTGAACGTTACACAAAGCTGCAGGTCCCCCGTGTAGGCTCGCCAGGCGAGCCGGGGCAAGTGCCGTTAGCGAGTGTGGCATCTGACACGACACACGATGGGGTGGCTGGGTGGCTGGCAAGCAACTACGCCCGGTTACACATCGCGCCAGGTACTCACTTGAGGCTGAGTCGACGTAGGGGGGGGGATGGGAGACCCAGGACCGGTTCAAGATAATTTTGTCGCCGGTGTTGGCCGTGAGCAGGAATCGAACTCGGCTCTGCCGGGTTCGTAGCGCTAACCGCTACGCCACCGCTCTCTACAGTACGTGTACGCACACACAACAGACTGTTGGGGCAAGTGCTGTACTATCAAGACCAGCACGGCACACGAGGGGGTGGGTGGCCACACACACACACACGTGTACAACACACGCACGCGTGTACACACACGCGTGCAACACACACGCGTGCGTCCACACACGCATACAACACACACACGTGTACACACACACGCACACGTGTACACACACGCGTGTAACACACACGCGCGCGTACTCCACACACACGCGCGCGTACTCCACACACACGCGCGCGTACTCCACACACACGCGCGCGTACTCCACACACACGCGCACGCGCGCAACAGTTGCGAACCGCCGACTCTCGCGCTGTACACAAACGCACGTGGTCGCGCCTGTCATTTAAAATCGCGCTCCTCCCCCCACCCCTTCCTCGTCGCCACCCGTAGCCGGTCTCTCACCGACCCAGCATCGTTTTTGAACGCGGCGGCGCGCACGTGTTGACGAAGGTGATCGGGTCAGGAGGTGGGGGGCACTGGGGTGGGGGGGCACTGGGGTGGGGGGGGCAATGGGTGGGTGGAGGGGGGGCAATGGGTGGGTGGGGCAATGGGTGGGTGGGGGGAGGCAATGGGGGGGTGCAATGGGTGGGGAGGGCAATGGGGGGGGTGGGGGGCAATTGGGGTGGGGGGCAATTGGGGTGGGGGGCAATTGGGGTGGGGGTGGTTGGAGGGGCACTGGGGGGTGGGGGGCAAGGGGTGGGGGGTGGTAGTGGTGGAGGGCAGAGTGGGAAGAGCGATGCGAATGAATGGTGTTCGATACGCTCTGATTCTTTCGGTAAAGTCACGTAGCTAGAAAAATAATAATAATAATAAAGGAAACACGACTTTTCGGTCGCAACACAAGCGGTCCGATCGAATGGTGTTCGAGTTGAGGATCGTTGAAGTTCAACGTTGCGTGACCAGGCGAGGATAAGTCGGGGGACCAGGTGAGCGGTCTCGTTTGGTCTGCAGGGGGGAGCGACGATTTCTGCAGTGGTGAGTAATCCCTGGTGAGTAATCTCCGGTGAGTAATCCCCGGTGAGTAATCCCCGGTGAGTAATCCACATGGCAATAAGACGGATTTACATTGTCGGTCACTGCATCGCGCGCTTTTAGTTACTTTCTTCAAACTCGATTTTTTTTGCGCGTCCAAGGACGGGTGTATATTGCGGTAAATCTGAAATATTGATTTGAAAAATTGTTCAGCTCATGATTATTAATGAGGGGGGGGGGGTTGCCCCTATGTCGAGTGACGTCATCCACTAATGGTTATTGGGGAGGGGTGCAGCATGTAGAGTGACGGGCGTGATGACGTCAGACGCTGGGGATGTGAGGCGTGATGAGGTCAAGAGACTGGGAAGGTGAGGGCTGTAATGACGTCAAGAGAGGCTTGGGGAGGTGAGGGGCGTGATGACGTCAAGAGACGCTGGGGAGGTGAGGGGTGTGATGACGTCAAGAGACGCTGGGGAGGTGAGGGGTGTGATGACGTTAAGAGACGCTGGGGAGGTGAGGGGGCGTGATGACGTCAGACGCTGGGGAGGTGAGGGGGTGTGATGACGTCAGACGCTGGGGAGGTGAGAGGTGATGACGTCAAGAGACGCTGGGGAGGTGTGGCGTGATGACGTCCAGAAATGGGAGGTGAGGGGCGTGATGACGTCGAGAGACGCTGGGGAGGTGAGGGGCGTGATGACGTCAAGCGATGGGAGGTGAGGGGGCGTGATGACGTCGAGAGACGCTGGGGAGGTGAGGGGGCGTGATGACGTCAAGATACTGAGGAGGCGAGGGGGCGTGATGACGTCAAGAGACTGGGGAGGTGAGTGGCGTGATGACGTCAAGAGACGCTGGGGAGGTGAGGAGCGTGATGACGTCAAGAGACGCTGGGGAGGTGAGGGGCGTGATGACGTCAAGAGACTGGGGAGGTGAGGGGGCATGATGACGTCAAGAGACTGGGGAGGTGAGTGGCGAGATGACGTCAGGAGACTGGGGAGGTGAGGGGTGATGACGTCAAGAGCCGCTGGTGAGGCGAGTGGCGTGATGACGTCAAGAGACGCTGGGGAGGTGTGGGGTGATGACGTCAAGAGCCGCTGGTGAGGCGAGTGGCGTTATGACGTCAAGAGAGACTGGGGAGGTGAGCGTGATGACGTCAAGAGACGCTGGGGAGGTGTGGCGTGATGACGTCAAGAAACGCTGGTGAGGCGAGTGGCGTGATGACGTCAAGAGATGCTGGGGAGGCGAGGGGCGTGATGACGTCAAGAGACGCTGGGGGGGCGAGTGGCGTGATGACGTCAAGAGACACTGGGGAGGTGAGGGGCGTGGTGACGTCAGACACTGGGGAGGTGAGCGTGATGACGTCAAGTCTGATTAAAAACTCGCGCGTCGTGTCCTGGGGCCACTGCAGTCAACCGAAAATCAGTAACGTGTTATAAATAACTTGTTATAAATAAACAACTATTAACTTGTTATAAATAAAAAAATTGTAATAAATAAACCACCTCTACGGGGATGTTTTAAGTTTGTTTTCTCTCTGTGTGTCTCGTTGTTGTCTCTCTCTGCTTGTGTCTGTCTTTGTGTGTCTGTCTCTCTCTCTCACATTTCACACTTAACTTCTAATTGGGCAATCTTTTGAAGAACGCAATAAACAAAGGCCATGCGTCAATTGTGTGTTGACCGACTCTCTGTGTGTTGCATTGCATTACATTTCCAAATTTTACTAAGTTTGTTTGATTTAGTGTGGCTTCTCTCTGTCTCCCCTCGGTTGTTGCTCTCTCCTCCAGCAGTTGCGCCAGGTCTCTCTCCTTTATTACGATCAGAGGAAACAAGAAGATGCTCGACCCCCTCTCTCTACCCTCTCTCTCCTTTATTACGATCAGAGGAAACAAGAAGATGCTCGGTGTAGTCGGCACTTTGCTTCGTTCATCATTTCGTTTTTTTTATTATTGTTTTTTTATGCTTTGCTTTATGTAACCCCCCCCCCCCCCTTTAAATGAAAGACCCAACAAAATATTATTTCTTTTTTTTCTGCTCTCCTTACCCCTTCCCTCTCTCTCTGCCCCCCCCGTCTCTCTCTCTACCCCCCTCTCTGCCCCCCTCTCTGCCCCCTTCTCTGCCCCCCTCTCTCTCTGCCCCCCTCTCTCTGCCCCCCCCTCCCCTCTCTCTCTGCCCCCCCTCCCCTCTCTCTCTGCCCCCCTCTCTTCCTACGCCATTTCGCCCTCTCTCTTTACAACTACGACAAGTGCTGCACCTGCACGCAGCCCTTCCCACAGTCAAACGGCCTCCGACGGGTAGCTCAGATCTGCAGGATCTCTCATGGACATGCTAATTCCTCTACCCCCCACCTCTCTACCTACCTACTTAAGGCATCGACACAGAGGCGTTGTTTCTCTGTGTGCCCATGCGCGTGTGTGTCTCTGTGGCTCCTCTCTCTGCTTATGTGCCTGTATATGTGTCTCCGGTTCTGTGTCTTATCTCTCTCTTAAATCTAGCAGCCTTTGGAAGAACGCAATCAACCAGGTAGGGCGTTGACTGTTATGTTAGCCGACTGTCTTGCGCATGTATTTGCATTGTTATTTCTAAGTTTACTGGGTTTGTTTTTCTCTTTCATTTGTACCCGATGATGATGATGATGATTGCTTAGCGTTGCAATCGAAACGTTGTATGCTATCATGTCATTTATTAGTTTCTATTTCTACGTGACTTTACCCAAAGAACCAACGCGTCGCACGTTGCTTCCTCCCTTCTCCTCCTGAACAAAACGACAAAGTTTGAGACGCGATAATAGTGCGGAGCCGCGTCTTCTAATCTCCCATCGCAGTCCCCCGGTGTTGATATCAAGGCTTCGTCGCCGTGCCTTTCTTCTGGTCGTCCGTCGACGGCAAACTTTATTTTTAATTTTATTCCAAATCCTCGCTCGCTCGTGCTTTCGTTCGTTCGCTCGCATCACGCATTGCAACGACGCAGACGTTCTGGGCACCGTATCGGTAACATCGGACTCATCATCGGACTCATCATCATCATCGGACTCATCATCATCATCGGACTCATCATCATCATCGGACTCATCATCATCATCATCGGACTCATCATCATCATCGGACTCATCATCATCATCGGACTCATCATCATCAGACTCATCATCATCATCATCGGACTCATCATCATCATCGGACTCATCATTATCATCGGACTCATCATTATCATCATCATCGGACTCATCATCATCATCGGCCTCATCATCATCATCAGAGAAAGTGGATGAGGGGCGTTGGCCGAGGTCATCGTCGTTGTGTGTTCGTGTATTTCAAAACCGGTCCAAGTCTTGTGGTTCTGTCGGCAAAGTCAACGTAGGGATGCGACTTTACCTACGTGATGACTAAGGTTCAGGTGTTTAACAATGGTCGAAAGTTCAGGTATTTAAGACTGGTCTAAGGTTCAGGTGTTTAACATTGGTCCAAAGTTCAGGTATTTAAGACCGGTCTAAGGTTCAGGCGTTTAACATTGGTCGAAAGTTCAGGTATTTAGGACCGGTCTAAGGTGTAGGAATGGGGACCCCATGTCCGGTGTGTATTATTTTTCTTGTTTCCGAGCTCAAAGCCTCAGACGCTTCAGTGCTGAGATCTGGGGCCTTAATGAATTCGGCCATTGAGTGTGGCAGGGGGGGAGATTCGTGAATCTTCCTCGTACTCAATGTGGTTTTGCTGGCCGCTAATAATGAAAGTCCTTAACGAAACGTTCTTGTTCCACGAATCACGGACCCCAAGTCGCTGTGCGTTTCTTAAAGTTTGATTCTCTCTCGCGCTCTGTCCCAGCGTTTACCGCAAACAATTGGGTCGATTGTTTTGGTACTTGCTTATAGTTTTGTTATCGTTACAATGGATTGTAATTGAGATAAAATTGTGGATTAGAGGGGGTGTATGGTTAAATGTAATCATGTAAATTACAATCGATTATGTTAATCTGAAATATGCAGTATCATGTTACCGATTGGGTTAGTTACAAGTTAAATGAACATGATGTAACCTGAATAGGCATGCAACTGAACGGTGTATTACTTATATATTCTTAGTTCTTTCGGTAAAGTCACGTTGAAGGGAAACAACAAAATAATAAAAATATATAAAACAATATATTTTATTATTTTGTTGTTTCCCTTCAACGTGACTTTACCGAAAGAACTAAGTATATGGTGTATTACTTGTTTCACGATGTAACACGATTTTTGTTTCTGGGTAGTAAGTGTTATTTTCTAATTGCTTATGCCTCAAAAGTATATAAAATGGCTTATTTCCCACAAACTTTGCTTTTGTGGCCAGGACTTTGTGAAGGAATGACAAATGCACACCACGTTTTCTCATTGAAAATTGGTTAAATTTCAAAATATCACTGTCCTGGTCACAAAAGCAAAGTTTGTGGGGAATAATAGACATTTTCTGTACTTTTGAGGCATAAGCAATTGGAAAATAACACTTACTACGCTTCCAAGCAGCACTGAGCCTGTTTAATATGTTTTTTATTAATCAATTTCAACAGATTCTCTAATTATTCTTGGCCAGTATGAAATAGTTTAACACAATACATCAATATTATCAACATTATTTGAATGTCCTTGTTGGTAATCGTGATCTGCAGCTCCCGACTGTTTGTGAGTATTTAATATTTCTTTGGCGTGTTTTATTCATGCTAATCTTTTAGTCCTGTCTGATCAACATAACATTGGCTACGGTAGCAATGATTCCGGTACACACCTTCTGTTAATTGCTTAGTTTTTGTATTTTATATACTATGCCAAATCTGACTTGGATTTTTAGTTTTTAAAAACAATCCGGCTAGTTTATCAGTTACTCCTGCAATGTATGGTATTTTAAGAGTTTTAATAACTCGATCAATTTCAACATTTGTGCTATTCCGTTTAGTTTTGGCATTCAGTGGTCTGTTAATTTGTGCGTTATTGTAACCGTTTAATTGCAGTGCTTTAATATGTTTAATCTCAACTCCTTTATCACGAATAATATTGGTCGCAAAACCCTACCCGTTAATTCGTGAATCGTAATTTAATTTCACCATAGTAGAAATCATCAGTTCATGAAATCATCAGTCTGTACGTAATAGTAGCTGTGAGGGTGAGTGGGGTGTGAGGATTTGTAGAGTGTAATAACATTGATCTACAGCTAAAATGCTTCTGAAATAAATGTAGTCCAACTTTACTAATTCTGGGTCACTGAGAATGAAAATGATGCTTCAAATTGTTGATTGCCTTTAGTTTTCAAGATATGTTATCCGGGTCAGTAGAAACGATCCTTGACTCGGGAATGGCGGAGGATAAGTGAGTTATAAATTTAAACCAGAAATTACTCAAATACATCTTTGACTGGATCTATGAATAAATATATGACTGGGTTTGGACAGTGCTTGCTTTTTGAGCCAAATAATGAATGATGCAATCTGAACCTGGTATTGCATCATACATGATATGAATTGCATCATGTTATTCCTAGAAGTCATGGATGATGCAATCATAATTAGCCTTACACCCCTCTGCCGAACAAATTGCCCAATAGCAGCTCGAGAAATCATACAGTGTCGTGCTCTCTTATTTGTCAGTGTTTGATTTTGCAAACAGACACATTTCTTATTCTTAGCTCTTTCGGTAAAGTCACGTTGAAGGGAAACAATAAAATAATTAAAAGTATATAATTATTGTTTCCCTTCAACGTGACTTTACCGAAAGAGCTAAGAATATGAATTACTGCAGTCACGAAAGCTTTAAATCAAAATTTAGACACATTTCTGTTTAGCCAAAGTGAGCAGAGATTCCTCGTACTTGTGTGAACAAAGCAGATAACTTCTGCTATGTTTGTGGTGAAGTGACTTTTGCATCACAAAAGCACAGTATAACCACGATGGTTAAGAAAGCCTATCACCTTTATTTTGGCTGCAAAATTGGAGATCAGGACAAGATATGGGCCCCACACATATGCTGCAACACTTGTGCAACAAATCTTTGCCAGTGGTTGAACAGATAAATAAAATCTATGCCTTTTGCAGTGCCAATGATTTGGAGAGAGCCAAAAGATCATATCAGCAATTGTTACTTCTGCATGGCACCTCCAGTTGGGAAAGGTGTGTCAAAGAAGAAAAAGTGGACTGTGCATTATCCAAAAATTCCATCAGCTATACGTTCAGTACCCCATGGAGAAGGACTGCCGGTTCCTGATGCACCAGAATCATTCTCACTTGAATCAGACGAGGAAGAGGATTAAACTTCTGGTCCTGAACCATCAAAGTCACATGACCCAGATTTTCTCCCATCCTCCTCCTCTGAACCACACCTCATAAATCTTGACTTAAAGCTTTCGTGATTTAACCGCCTCTACAGTGAAGGGTTCCACACAACTATTAGATCATTTCCTGATGACGACCGCTTGTGTTGCGATCAAAACGTGTCGTTTTTTGTTATTTTCTTTGAACCCATCTACGTGACTTTACCGAAAGACCCAAATAATATGCACACCTCATAACACAAGGTGAACGGAAAGACCATGTCAGGGATTTGGAACTACCCAAGAGTAAGGCAGCAGAGCTGTTGGGCTCCAGACTGCAGCAGTGGCATCTCCTGGCAGGTGATGTTAGGGTTTCCATGTTGCGCAACCATCAAAGAATCTTGTCCCATTCTTCTTCATGGAAGTTGATCTTGTAGCCTGCAACAACAGTGATGGTTTGATGGCAGACCTCAACATTGTTCATGATCCAGATGAGTGGAGACTGTTAATTGATTCATGGAAGATGAGTCTTAAAGCAGTTTTACTGCATAATGGAAATGTTTTGCCGTCACTTCCAGTTGGTCGTGCAGTCCATATGAAGGAAACCTATGACAACATGAAACAACCTTTGAGGTGCATAAACTGTGACCAACATCAGTGGCAGCTTCGTGGCGATTTGAAGGTTGTTGCTCTCTTGCTTGGCCTGCAGATTGGATACACAAAGTACTGCTGCTGTTTTCTCTGCGAATGGGATAGTCGTGCGAGAGATTCCCACTTACATCAAGGTTAGATTGGCCACTCCGACAGTCATTGGAGCCTGGGAGGAAAAGTGTTCAGCATCCACCACTTGTTGAATCAAGGAAGATTTTGTTACCACCCTTACACATCAAGCTGTGTCTGATGAAGAACTTCGTCAAAGCCTTGGACAAAACACAAGCAGCTTTCAAGTACTTCTGTGGAAAATGTCCAAGGTTAGGTGAAGCTAAGATAAAGGAAGGTGTCGTTGTTGGTCCTCAGATTCGTGAACTTCTTCGAGATGATGCATTTGACAGTCCGCTGCGTGGCAAGGAAAAGACGGCATGGAACGCCTTCCAGTTAGCGGCAACACATTTTCTCGGAAACAACAGGGCAGACAACTACGCGGAGTTGGTGGAAAACCTCTTCAAGGCATACAAAAGGCTTGCTTGCAACATGTCGCTAAAGATACATTTTTTGCACTCTCATCTAGATTTTTTCCCACCGAACTGCGGAGCAGTGAGCGAAGAGCACGGCGAGCGATTTCACCCAGGACATTGCAACAATGGAGAAACGCTATCAGGGCAAATGGAGCCCATCAATGCTTGCAGACTATTGCTGGGCAGTGACAAGAGATGCTCCATTGAATGAATGCAAGAGACAAGCCAAGAAGCACCGATTAGACACTGAATATAAGGACTAAAATATGTAGTTATATATACATTGCCTTTTGTTTCATAATACATTTTGTTTATATAACGCTTCTGCTGATTTTTTAAGTGTTACATGAACAAACAGGTGACATGTTATCATGTAAAGCAACCAGAAACACATGAAAAGACCTAGGTTTACAATTTATGAGTAAAACTCTATCTACACAATATACATAGACGTAAAATGTAAAAAAAACTTAAATATCTTGGGAACAGTAGCCAATCAGTTGTTTTAATTGTCATTTGAATTCAGCACGTCAAAATCCGTAATAAACAGCACATTTAATCTCTGAAGCAGACATGTAAAAGATTCATATTCTTGGTTCTTTCGGTAAAGTCACGTAGAAGGGAAACAATAAAATAATAAAAATATAAACAATACAATTCTCACGACGTTTCGACTGCAACACAAGCATTCATCATCAGGTGTGAAAACCACAGCAAGAAAATGTGAAAAAAGTCGCGGGTATTTTTAACATTAGCACCACTGAGAGCGATTTGACAGTTTGTTCAGATGGACGAGCCCATCTGTGTTCGTGGCGGTTAAAAATAACTGCCACTTTTTAAACATTTTCTTGCTGTGGTTTTTACACCTGATGATGATTGCTTGTGTTGCAGTCGAAACGTCGTGAGAATTTTATTGTTTTATATTTTTTTATTTTATTGTTTCCCTTCTACGTGACTTTACCGAAAGAACCAGTAATATGAATCCCTGCAGTCACGAAAGCTTTAAATCAAAATGTAAAAGATTGTCGACCAGTGTAATAAGTCGCCACTATCCCTGCGTGTGAGGGCAGCAGCAGTGTGGTTGAGGAGCTCGATAACCACCAGGGTCGAGGTTTGCTGCTCGCCACAACGAGAGGGCTGCAGCAAAGAGAGTCCCCGTCCACCTTGATGGAGGGCAGACTACAGTCGTTTACTCTACCGTTTTCTATACTACAGCTGGTTTACTACTATATTGTCCGTAGTTTTGGCTGCACCAATCTGGCTGTCGCCTGATGAAGCCAGTTGTAATTACTGGCGAAGCGTCGTACTCGGATTGTAAATGTTGAGGTTTGGCTCTCCAACACACCGGTGTGCTGTACTAATAACGAATTGTCACGTTCTGTTTACATGACAAACTTTACTAATTGGCTGTGTCGGGTGGTGGTGGGTTTAACGACAAATATATTTACGCGATATAACCTAAAAAAACTTGTATTATGGATACTAAACTATTCAACTAATTTTTTTGTGTTTCCCATGTAAGAAGGCCGATACAGTTGATGCGTCCTAGCCGTAAATTCCACCTACTGTTTGGCAAGGTCGTGGGGTCGATTCTGCCCCAACACCTGAATATTTGGAGTTTGCATGTTCTCCCTGTGGCTGCGTGGAATTTGCTCCGGGTTCTCCGGATTTCCCCCCCCCTCATTTAGAAACATGCATTTTAGAGTTTTTGGTTGCTATAAATTTCCACGTGATAAGCTACTGCTATGAGCTATCATTTGTGGCCAGGTCGCTTCTGAAAAAGGGCTGTATAGCTCTGTGGGCCTTACCTGGTAAAATAAAAAATCGTAAAAAAATTGTCTGCACGCCACATCAGACTGTAGCGGTATTCAGTTCGGTATTTTGTTTCCTTCAGTCGAGTTGATAGCAGACCGTGAAATTTCAGTGGAGTCTTAGGCTATTCATATTATTGACGTTACAACGCCGCGAATTAAACACCCTCTCAACAGTCATGATCGTGGCCACATTCGTGGCCAGGTTGGTGTCACTGTGGTCGCTGTTGTGGGAGTTCACATTGCTGGCGATGGTGGCCGTCTTGGTGATTACACTGGTCTCAGTGATGGCATCATTGGACATGTTGGTAGTAGTGGTGGCCATGTTGGTGATCACACACACCATTGTGTCAGTGATGATGTTGTTGGAGGTCATGGTGCTTGTGGGTAGTGGCGGTGTAGTGGTTTGGCACACTACGCTACAGATCAAGCGACCCAAATTTGATTTCTGCTCACGACCAAAAACAAGTAGCAGTGAATATTCGAACTGGTCTTGAGTCTCTCCCAGGTCGACCCAGCCTTAAATGAGCACCTGGTGCAGTGTGTAAACACATCAGCACTGGGGAGATGAAGGCGGCCGGGTGTGGTGTTGGCTACCGGCCTTCATAGGTGCTACTCGCTTACAGCACTTGCCCCAACAGTCTAAAGTCTACACGGGGAATCTTTGTCTTTAGTCATCGCTCTGTGGCCATGTTGGTGGTCACGGTGCCCCCCTCTCTGTTTTGCAATTTGTACTTATATACTTTATGTAATTTAATCATTTATTTTTAGTGACTGTCTTACCTTTCCTGTACAATACTTTGCATGCCTATCATTCTTTTGTATTGTTTACTGTTGTAACTGTCTGACCCATGCCTACTGGATATCTGTGAAAAAGAGCTTCATAGCTCATCAGATTCCTCCAGGATAAATACATATTCTGATTCTGTGCCCCACCTCCACTGTCCCCCGCAGGTTGCCATCATGATATCGAACGTGGTGTCCCGTGTCGTGTCACGTGTTAGCCACCTGGGCTTGCGAGCGCGAGACGCACGCGCCGTGGCCACGGACCTCGTGACCAAGTACTGCTTCCACGTGACCGGAGCACGAGCTGCCAGGCAAGCCGGGATGTGGGAGACGGGGGTGGGGTGGTATAGAGAGGGGAGGGTTTGAGTGGTGGATCTGAGAGGGAGGGCAGTAGGGGGGAGGGGGGGGGTCGTGGTGGGGGTCAAGTGTCAGGTTGATTCTGGGTGAAAACTCAAGAGGCCACGAGAGGAGTCTTTAACTGCACGAGTGCACACTGAACAAATCAAGTGGAGCAATGGAAAGCAAATAGAAATCATCGGGGGAAACAACCGTGTTGAGGAATCACGTGGTATGTGTGTGCGCGCGCGCTGTGACGTGGTGAATGTTCTGTGACGTAGTGTGCGTGCTATGACATGATGTGCGTTTGCTCTGTGATGTGGTGGGCGCTGTGTGACATGGTGTGGGTGCGCTGCAGGACTGGGATGGGAGTGTGCCGTCAATGGGCACTGAGGCAGGGAGATGCCGCCTTTATTATCAGCGATGTCAACTCAGAGGTGAGAGAACTCGCGCTACACACACACCACACACACACACCAAACCATACACGCTGCACACCACAGCACGTACACACCACACATCATACCATACACGCCAAGGATAAAGATCCCCCGGATAGCCTTCATAGACTATTGGGGCAAATGCTGTTAGTGAAGTAGCACCTATGAAGGCTGGTACGACACACGAAGGGGGGTAGCTGGCCAGCTTCTACCCCCGGCCGCCTTTGTCTCCCTAGTGGTGATGTTTACACATCACACCAGGTACTCATTTATGGCTTAGTTGTCCTAGGGGAGGCCCAGGACCAGTTCAAATATTCTCCAGTTGTTGGTTGTAAGCGGCAATCGAAATCTGGTTGCCGGGTTTGTCGCGCTGGGCGCACTAACCACTGCACCACCGCTCCACACACCACACACAAGCACCACACACAGTATACACGTTACCAACGCCATACACATCACATGCACTGTACACACACACATCACACATACCGTAGATGCTTATGCACAGGACAATTTAATTTTTTTGCCTGTGTCGGGTGGTGTAGGGTTAACATACGACACAAATCCGACCAGATCACCAGAAAGTCAACGATGAATCATAACAGTACTGATGGCAGCAGCAGCAACGTATTTGTGTTGAACATGAGTGTGCACCTATCCTGGCACAGGAATCGGTGCCAAACGCTTACCCCGAGGATGGTGAGGAGGGTCTCCTGTACGACGCGCTCACCCCACTCACCTCGGTCACCGGCTCGGTGTCAAACATCGCCCTGGAGGTGAGAATATCACCACCACAATCATCATTACAACCAATATCACTATCATCATCACTACCACCACCACCACCAGCATCATCAAAGACAAAGTATAGCGTTAACAGACTGTTGGGGCAAGTGCAGTTAGCGAGCACCCTTGAAGGACGGCACGGTGCACTAGGGGGTGGGTGGCCAGCGCCACACCTGGGAATTTTTTTTCTTCCTAGTGGCAATGTTTACACACAGCATCAGGTACTTATTTAAGGCTGAGCCAACCTAGTGGTGGCACAGGACCGGTTCAGATTTCCAGCACCGTTATTGGTCCTGAGTGGGAAGCAAACTCGGGTTTGTAGCGCAGTGCCCTAACCACTACGCCACCGCTCCCACACACACAACCTTTGTGTATTACAACAGCCTATGTGTGTGTGTGTGGGAAGCGGTAGTGCAGCAGTTAGTGCTGCATTACGAACCTGGTTAACCAGAGTTCGATTCCCGCTCACGACCAATAACATTGACGGCGATTGTTTGAACCAGGTCGGAGCCCCTCCCAAAGGTCTACTCGGGCCTCCAATGAGTGCCTCATGCGATGTGCAAACATCGCCGCTGGGGAGAAAGGCGACCGGGCGCGGTTCTGACCACACCAACCTCTCGTGTGCCATGCCAGCCTTCATAGTTGCAACCTGCTATCCGTACTTGGCCCAGCAGCATGTGTGGGCTAAACGGGGTGCCTTTATCTTTGTAGGTGTGTGCAGGTGTGGATTTATGCTCCCTCGTACGCTCCCTGGAAAACTCCGGGGTTCAGGTTCTGGTTCAGCCCCGCGCCGCCTCGGCCACACACCCAGGTTTGTGTCGCTCACAGCACGAGTGTGTCGCTCACAGCATGCGTGTGTCGCTCAGAGCATGCGTGTGTCGCTCGCAGCATGCGTGTGATGCTCGCAGCATGCGTGTGTCGCTCGCAGCATGCGTGTGACGCTCGCAGCATGCGTGTGACGCTCGCAGCATGCGTGTGTCGCTCGCAGCATGCGTGTGTCGCTCGCAGCATGCGTGTGACGCTCACAGCATGCGTGTGTCGCTCACAGCATGCGTGTGTCCGAACAACAGCAACCGCCGTTCATCAATTAATTGTGTTGAGCGTGAACACGGCGCTTGTGCCAGGCAGGAGGTCACGGGAGAGTACCAGGTGCTGTGGGTTGACTGGCTGGAATGATTGGCAGATGCACCAGCTGTGCTGCCCGACTGTGCTAACTGCGCAACACGGTGGCGAGATGTTAACTACATCGCCTCATATATGTAGTAAGTTGTGGGGTCGATCTCGACCCTTATGCTTCTATATTTGGAGTTTGTTTGTTTTACCATTGGTCACGTGGATTTTTCTCTGGTTCCTCCGGTTTTTTTCCTCCACATTTAGAAACATGCTTTTAGATTACTTGCCTTCTATGAATTTCCACGTGATAAGCCACTTCGTTGAGCTTTCATTTGTGGCCAGGTTGCTTCTGAAATAGAGCTTTCTAGCCCAGCGGGCCTTACCTGGTAAGATAAAAAATAGTTTACTTTAGTTTCAGCTTAATTTGCTGCATTTTAGCTGCTTGGTGCACCGCTCATTATGAGCGTCGCTCCTCCGCCCCTCCATTGCTGCTTGAGGGCGACTGCCTGCAACTGTCCAGAAGCATCCTTCATGAGCCTCCTCGACGAGCAGAGGCGGAGCCAGAATTTTCAGGTAGAGGGGGCAACCCCTCCAGTGATAAGAGTTGTTCGTAAGTAAGGACTTGTCCCTTGCTTTTTATTCGACGCGTGTGCGGCGATGGCGCATGGCCTGGAAGTATCACGTGATTTCATTGTTCGTCACCGTCGCAGCAGTCTCCTTCTCGACATACAGCAGCATGGCGTCATTGAGGTAGTCGGAGCCCATTGCGGTGCGCAAACGCGTCTTGATGATTTTCAGGACGCCGAAGACGCGCTCAGCCGTGGCTGTCACCACCGACAACGTCAGTATCAGCCGCAGCAATCGGTATATAAGGTGGTAGCCGGCCGTGGCCTGGCCGGTCTGCACCAGCATGACCGATAGTTCAGGGAGCGTGCCCACATTCTTCAATTGCTCGTCCTTCTCAATCTCCCTGCCGAAGTGGACCAGCTGCTCATCGAGAAGCATTAGGTCGACGTCAGGAGAGTCGATCATGTAGAACTTGCGGGCCAGCTCCACGAGCTTGTCGACATTGAACGAGGCGGACTGCTTGCGTGGCGAGATACATGCTGCTAGGCGGAGCATCTCCATCGACTCGGCGCTGAATCTGTAGGCGAACTCGGCCAGCATCTTGTCGATCGCTGCGTAGAACAGGTCGACACAGAAAACATGATCATTGGTGTTCATGTGTCCATCGCGACGAGGCCGGCCAGGTCGGACGAAGTTGGCGGTCATATCGGGCACCTCGATCTTGTGGGTCTCACAGAACTGCCGCACCTTATGGAGCAGGTCGCCGTAGCCGGTAACGCGCATCTCCGTCAGCGCTTCGACGACGCCATCGACCAACCGCAACGCACTGATGATGTCCTGGTCCTTCGTTTGCAGCGCCTGCGACAGGTCATGCGTGATGAGCAGCATCTTCGCCATTAGGTGCAAGATGAACGCAAACGTGAACGTGCACGTGCCGTTGAGCAGGCGCGTCGCCTCTACCCGCTGCTCCGACTTGCTGCCGTCCGTCTCCACACGCTGGGTGACTTGCATTCTCGCGCCGAACATGTCGATCAAGCGACGCAGCGCGTGCCGGAACGATGACCAGCGCGTGTCGCCTGGGCGCACCAACGCCGTCTCCTGGTTCAGACCATGGCCCGTCTCGACCAGCAGCTCGTTGATCAACTCCAGCAAGATCTTCTTCTGCGTGTTGATGAGATCGTCGTTGCGTGTGCAGGAGCTCGTCGCCACATTGACGATGTCATTCACCAATACGAAGAACAGGCCGATGTCGGGAACGCCATCTTTGCAAGCTGCAACCAGCGCGAGTTGGAGCTTGTGCGCCCAGCAGTGCCCGTAATAGGCCACATCGTTCAGCTGCTTGATCGGGGCTTGCGAACCGTTGATCTCGCCGCTCATATTGGACGCGCCATCGTAGGCCTGCCCCCCGCGGTAGTTGGCGATCGGGCGACCGCGATTGGTCTGCATGCCGACAATGGAATCGCGGAGCGTGGGGGCGCACGTCTCGGTGACGTGCTTCAGGTCGACGAGATGCTTGCGCAGCACGGCAGTCTTGATCTCAACGAAGCGGTTAACGACAGCCAGTTGCTCCTTCTTGCTCGCATCGCGCGTCTCATTCGCCACGAAGCAGTAGAAGGCGTCGGCTTGTTCATCATCGAGGAGCTTTCTGACGATCTGGGCATGGGCATGGATGATGTCCTTCTGGATGTCGGGACTAGTCATGGTGGCGTTCTGCGGGGCGTTGTCGAGCGCGACGCGGGCCAGCTCGACGTCGCGTTTGCACAGGAACTGAAGCAGCTCGAGGAAGTTGCCGCGGTTGAGCAACTCGTCCGGCTCATTGTGGCCTCGGCAGGCCAGCCGCTGCTTCATCAGGAATCGAATCGCATCGACTGATCCCTCCAATCGTGTCCGATTGTCGGCGATCGCCTGGGCCGTCTGCTTCTCCAGGCCACGCTTGCCTGTGATGATGTGCATCTCCGTGTTCATCATGTCTCTGGCCTTCTGTACCGCCTGGTTGTGCAGCGACTGCACGCCGCCTTGATGTTGGAGAAGGCAGCAATTGTGGCCGCCCACCTTATTCCAGGCCGAGAACTCGTCCGCGACGAACGCGTCCGAGCGATTGCGGGACGGGAAGAGGAAGCATGGGAAGCAGTAGACCGACTCGGTGTGGAACGGGTATTCGAGCCAATCGTACGTCTCAAACCACGATGGCTGCGGGCGGCGCTTTTTTCGCCCCATCATCTTTGACGGGTACATGCTGCCATCCGACGAACGGGTGCGTGGAACGAACCGGCCCTGCGTCAGATACGAACGACAGATCTCATTGAAACTGTTCGGATCGTACGTCGAAATGGCGGGTCTCGTCCCGGGATCCCGATCGACGGCGCGCACCCCCGCGGGGCAATGGCGCTGGAGGCGGGGAGTTGGCTAGCGTTTCTGCTTCCGATTCATCAGCTGCCGCCGTTGAAGAAAGAAAGGGTCAGGAGATCGCGAATGGCGACGCTGAGCTGGAGGACGCTCTGGCGAACGACTCGCCGGGCGCTTCTACAGCCATCGATCGAGGGTCGAATTTGAACCGTGTGTGATCGGCATCGCGCTCGCTGAAGGTGAACGTCTTCAGGGAAATTTAAATTTTGATTTAAAGCTTTCGTGACTGCAGTAATTCATATTCTTAGTTTTTTCGGTAAAGTCACGTTGAAGAGAAACAACAAAATAACAAAATATATATAAAACAATAAAAAATTCTCACGACGTTTCGACCATAACTCAAACGGTCATCATCAGGTGATGATGATGATCAAACGGTCATCATCAGGTGATGATGATGACCGTTTGAGTTATGGTCGAAACGTCGTGAGAATTTTTTATTGTTTTATATATATTTTGTTATTTTGTTGTTTCTCTTCAACGTGTCTTCAGGGAAGTCGTGTCCTGCATACGCAACTGCGCACAATTCTGTGAGTCACTTATAACCGCTTTGCCGTTACTTATTGCCAATTATGGACTCGGACTATTGTCCTATCATCTCATAGGGTCCCTGGCACATAATAATATGCTACACAGTGGCAGTGGGGGTCACAAAATGCCGATTTATTACTAATAAACCCCAATGATCTGATCGAAATTATGGATTTCGATCGGATCATTGGGGGGGCACTTGCCACCCCAACCCCCCCACTGGCTCCGCCACCGTCTGCGTGCCTCCTCTACAGAGGCCAATATTGGTACCAGTCATCAATAAGTCCATTCAGCTCCACATCCTCATGTACCACATCAGCTCATCTCTTTAGCCCATGCTGTGTCTGTTTAGCCCCCTCTGTCCGGCCAAACAGAAGCTGCTTGGGCATGCAGTGGCTGAGCATGCGGGCTACGTGACCCAGCCATCCCAGCCAACCCTGCATTGTCTGCCAGAGGAAATCACCGATGATGGGACTTTGTCGAGATCTTTCAAGAATCTGTGAGCTCCTGACACAATCCAGCCTCGTTAAACCCAGGATAGATCGTAGCTAGGCCAGCCGGAATGTTTCAAACCAGCGCAGATGTTCTTTCAGAGGGCTGCATATTTCGCTGCAACGTGTACACAATTATTTAGCACTTGTCATGACGGATACTGCTAGATCCGACCATGTCTGTCCGGTGCTTGCTTAGCCGCATTGGCTTCCGTTTTCCGAATGAACGCATTATACGGTTGCACTCATTACACACACAGTGCTTGCCGCAAATGAACCACAATACCTTGGTGATCTTGTCAAGGAGCATGAACCATCATCACCCTCGCAGTGGCTTTTGGCTAACCGTCGAACAAAGATGGTCACTGCATCGTGCACTTTCAGATGTGCTTCTGTGGCCATCTGGATTGCTCTTCCTTCCGATATTAGGAAGTCGCTGGAGCTCTGAACTTTTAGATCTAAATTGAAAACTCGTTTCTTTAGAACTGCTTTTTATGTTTAATTTGTTGTCCTTCCCTCGCACCCCCTTTTAGCACGGTTGGTTATATACGGTTCGAAAGAAGTTCAACACAGAGAAGGGAGGGCATTGCTGTGGCTTAGTAGACCCGAAGCTTCGTGTAGAGTGGCAGGCCATGTGGCTCCCACAGCGTTACAGAGCCGACGAAAAGATAATGCCGCTCGGCTGAATCGGAGTGAGATGTGGCGTGTCATGTTGGGTTGTGGTGTGCCGTGGTGTGCAGATGTGCGCTATGCCGTGGTGGCGTCGTGCGTGGGGGGCGTGCGTCACACGCTGCTCTCGCGCCCCCCTTCAGACTCCCCCACGGCCACCCTCCCCGGGTTTACCTTCACCCCCGAGTGGGCCCACATACAGCGACCGGTACGGGGTATACGCAGGGGGGACACACGGGGGAGACACGAGGGATGGGACACGGGGGGTGGGACATGGGGGATGGGACACGGGGGGGGGGGGGGACGGGGGACGTGAGGACACGCGAGGGCGGGCACGTGGGGATGATACGTGGGGACATGTATTGGTAATGTGTTGGTAACGTGACACTAGCATGTTAACATGTTGGTAGCGTGTCGATATCGTGTTGATAACAGGTCTGTCGTGTGTTGGTAACGTGACACTCGCGTGTTTTTTAGCGTGTTGTTAACGTGTTGGTAACGTATTGGTGCAGGCTGGTGAGGACCACTTGAGCCACGTGGATCACGTGACCTTGGCGTGTGCTCATGGGTCATCGCGTGATGCCATGGCCTGGTACACCACCCACCTGGGCTTCCAGAGAACGCCCATCAACAAGTGAGTATCAGAGTGTGAGCGAGTGTGTATCGGTGTGAGTTTGTGTGATTTGTGAATGTGTGTGGTGTATGTGGTATGTCCGTGTTATGTGTACCGTATTTTCCCGCATATAGCCCGCATACGCATATAACCCACAGACGCATATACCCCGCAAAAATAGAATTTTGTGTAAAACAAATTTCAGATAGCCCGCACCTCCATATACCCCGCATGCATTCATATATTTAATGTCGTTACCGCAGCTTAATTCCATCATATTAATACGAAGTTTACATTTGCAATACATTACACTATCAATTGTTAGCATTAAAAACATAACGTGCACAAAAAAACAAACTAACTGGAAACGAGTGAACATAAAACATTAAATAAGTAACAGAGGTGACTATCCAATAAATAAGTAACACATAAATGGTAGAAGTAAGTACAGTTTTAGCACTGGTAGATTGCGCACTGCGCAGATAATAGCGGCACTACGGTAAGGCCGTCGCCTCGCCCCCCACCTCTCTCTCCCCCCAGCTGCCCCACCCCCAACCCCCACCTCTCTCCCCTTAGCTGCCCCACCCCCCAACCCCCACCTCAGTCTCCCCTTAGCTGCCCCACCCCCCAACCCCCACCTCTCTCTCCCCCCAGCTGCCCCACCCCCCAACCCCCACCTCTCCCTCCCCCCAGCTGCCCCACCCCCCAACCCCCACCTCTCGCTCCCCCCAGCTGCCCCACCCCCCAACCCCCACCTCTCCCCCCAGCTCTCTCGTCGCCGGTAAACAGTGCACGCACTTCAAACATTGTCGTTTAATTGTACAAACAATTCATTTAAAACGTGATAACATATGCAATTTTAGTGCGAGTGGTTTAGTCAGCAGTTCTTTAGTCAAAGGTAAGTGTTGCATAGTTGATAGTCCTACCCTGAACAAATGTAACGAGTTATGACATGTCATACGTGTAAAACAAATTTGGAATAGCCCGCACCTCCATATACCCCGCAGGGTCTTGTTTTGTTTGTAAAAAGTGGTATACCCTGGGAAAATACGGCGATATGTAGAAATAAAAGGTGGATGGGTGTGGTGCTGGCCAGCTATTCCCCCCTCATGTGCCGTTCCGGCCTTCGTAGGTACTCGCTAACAGCACTTGCCCCAACAGTCTGTTTAGGCTACACGTAGGTTCTTTGTCTTGTGCGAGTTGCGTGACAGTGTTTGAGTGTGAGAGTGCGCGAGTGGGAGAGAGTGAGCATGAACGTGGTGTGTATGAGAGTGTACATGGTGTGTATGAGTTGGGCAGGTAAGCGAGTGGATGTGGTGTATGTGTATGTGGATGTTGTGTACGTGTGGTGTCCGTGGCGCGCGTGTGTGCGTGTGTGTGGATGTTGTGTACGTGTGGTGTCCGTGGCGCGCGTGTGTGCAGAGCGGACACGGAGCAAGGCGGGTTTGTGCTGGACGGCGGGGGCGTGGGGTTGAAATTGAGGGCCATCGACCTCGGAGTTGGGGCCGCGCAGGAGGAGCGCGTATTCAAGATGGTGTTGAGCGAGTCGCTGCCTGGACACGGTGAGCTGTGGCTTCCTGGCCACACCACCACCATCACGGCGACGGCCACGCAGCCACGGTGACAGCCACATCACCGCGGCGTGGTGTGTGTAATGTGTGTGGTGTGGTGTGGTGTGTACCGGGGTGGCATGGTGTGCAGGCCCGAACCAGGTGGACGCGTTCTTGGAGACGCAGGGCGGCCCTGGTGTACAGCACGTGGGGCTGCACACGGCAGACATTGCACGGTGCGCACGCGCGCTCAGCGACAGCGGCGTGGCCTTCTACAGCCCGCCCCCTGCCTACTACTCGCACGTACGGGCGGCCACACCACACAGCACACATGGCCAGACCACACGGTTCACTCCTCGCCACTACATCCACAGCACACCGTCCACAGCACACCACACCGTCTTCTCACCACACTGATGGCGAGATGCTCGCCTGTTACGCAGGAGGTCGTGGGTTCGATCCCCGCCCCTGACGCCTGCTGTATCGTTAGGAGTCGGCGTGTTCTCTCTCTCTCTCTCCCCGTGGTCGCGTGGATTTTTCTCTGCGTCCTCCGGTTTTTCCTCTCCACATTTAGAATCGGCATACGTTCAGATGATTTGGTCGCTGTAAATTTCCACGTGATGAGCCACTTCGTTGAGCTCTCATTTGTTTGCCAAGTCACCTCTGAAAATGAGCTGATAACTCGGTGGGCTTTCCCTGGTACATAAAAGTCCCCTCCTCCTCTTTTCCGAACATAGATGGACTCGTCCATCTGAACAAACTGCCAAATCGCTGTCCGTGTTGAGAACGTTAAGAAAAAAAACCGCCACTTCATTCAAATTTTCTTGCTGTGGTTTTCACACCTGATGATGATTGCTTGTGTTGCAGTCGAAACGTCGTGATAATTTTATTGTTTTATAATTGTATTGTTTCCCGTCTACGTCACTTTACCAAAAGAACCAAGAATATGAATCCCTGCAATCACGAAAGCTTTAAATAAAAAAAAAATAGTTTAGTTACGTTCACTACACACCACTCAATACACACCACAGACACCATACTGGGCAAACCGCTCACGAGCCACCATTCACAACACACCAAACCTTATGCACGCCACTCGCTACACACCACACTATACACACCGCACAATACGCACCATCCCACAGACACCACACACACCATCCCACAGACACCACACGTACCACTTACTACACAACACACTATACACACCACATTATACGCACCATTCCACAGATACCACTTACAGCACACTTTACAACTGTCTGTTAGAGGCCATATGGGGGATGTTTGTCTTTATTTTATGTTAAAGTTTAGCTTAGCACAAGTGCTGCAGTAACATCACTGCCACTTTGTCTGTACAGTAAAACCTTGGATTGCGAGCATAATTCGTTCCGGAAACGTGTTTGTAATCCAAAGCACTCGTATATCAGTTGTGATCACGTGACACTTGGCAGACAAAGCGTATATACTTGCTACTCGTACTGCAAGACCTCGCTCGTTTATCAAATTAATATTTATTTAATTTTTGCTCGTCTTGCAAAACACTCACAGACCAAGTTACTCGCAATCCAAGGTTTTACTGTATATGTGTGAGCGCAGTGGCAGTTCAACGGTTAGCATGCTGCGTGCTCTGCACTACAAAGCCGGCAACCTAAGTTGGATTCCCGCTCACGGCCGACACCAGTAACGATTATCTGAACTGGTCCTGGGCTTCCCCTTGGTCGACTCGGCCTCAATTGAGTACCTGGTGCGATGTGTAAACATCGGCACTCGGGAGACGAAGGTGGCCGGATATGGTGTTGGCCACCCATCCCTTCGTGTGCCGTGCCAGCCTTCATAGGTGCTCGCTAAGAGCACTTGCCCCAAAAGTTTGTTCAGGCTATATGGTTGAATATTTGTGTTTTTTTTTAGTGTGTGTGTATATATATGTGGGGACGTCCAGTGGACTGGTTCTGGCTCCAGTTTACCATGAGGGGAGCACAGTCCTCTACATGGGGCAGGAGACAGCCAAACAACAGGGAGTGGCCCTTTTTCTGAACAAAATAATGCAGGGGGCATGAGAGTGGCGGTGAGGTGTGGGGAGCTGTAAGCCCCAGGCTACTGTGGGCTGACCTGATCAATGGGAGGTAAAGAATGGTGGTGGTTGCTTACGCCCCCTCCGAAGATGAACATCAGTGGAGGTATGCAGGCAAGGCCGATAAGTGAGATTCCTTCTATGGCCCCTCGGGATAGTCATCCTGTTGGGTGACTTTAATGCCTGAGTAGGTCATGACACTGGTACCTGGGCTGGAGTGATTGGGAGGGCTGAACGATGAATCGATTTCAAATCGAAATCGCAAATTGAAACAATGCGATTAGCAAATCGCAAAGGCTGTGATTTGAAAAGTCCTATTACTTTCTTATTGGAAGTGTTTTATTATTTATTATTATAACTTTATTTAACTTAACAATTGTTCTATTTTGATTGTTCTATTTCAATTAAAACATTTTTATACATGTTGCATTAGAATATATAGAGAAGTTCGTATGTTGATGGTATCACGTGGTAATGCTCCATCACGTGTTTTAAATCTATTACACAGTGAATATTGAACTGAAGCTTGACTTAAAAAATGTAATCGCAAATCAGATCGCAATATCTGTCAGAAAAATCACAATGAGATGTTTTCCCCAAATCGTTCAGCCCTAATGATTGGAAGGAATGGGCCAGATCAGCTCAGTAACAACAATAGGAAGCTGCTAGACTTCTATGCATCCCATGGGCTTGTACTTAGCAACACGCTGTTCCGGCATCGGTGCATCCACAAAAACACTATGGATGCATGCCAGGTCCAAGCAAGAACATCTGCTGGACTATATGATGCAGGCCCATGTATTTGACACCAGGACCTACTGTGGAGTTGATCTACCCACTGACCATCGACTTGTCATCTTTAAGATGCGCCTGCTATTCTTCCACTCCGGTGGTGGGTATCCATCTAGGACCCCATTAAAACCCACAGCGGACTGGTCCTCAGCTAGCTGATGAAAGTTGAAAGCAAAAACTTAATCATCGCCTGCACCTAGCACCCTCTATGCGGCCGAACAAAAGCTCAACATGCCAAGGGTGGAGGTTTAGGACTGTGGCTCATGCAGCTGCAAAGGCTCCTCTGGGTACGTGGTCCACACCTCCTGAGAAACCCTGGCTGATGGAGGTATTCGGGCTGGCTGACAAAAGCAACAGGCCAACTCCCATGTCGGAGAATGAGGCTGACTGCAGCTTTCGCTCGGAGGTTTGGAGAGCCGTGTGGCGCTGCAAATATGAGTGATGGTCACGGGTTGCTGCGGAGATGGAATCTGCCGCAGTAGCCCGTGGTCATAAATCACTGTTTAATGCCATAAAAAAGTATCACCATCCTTAGGGGGAAAGAAAGGTGATCTCATCTCTGACCCCCAGGAACAAGCTTTCAGGTTTGGCGAGCATTTCTGTGACGTCTGGGGGGAGGGGAAATTCCTCAGTCCAGAGAACATCATGGGGTAAAGTGGGGATGATCCGGCTGAGGCTGCGGTGCCTCAAATATTGGAAGAAGTCACCCCCTGTGAGTGGCTGGCTGAAGTGCCATCTGCTGAATTACAGTTGGCGATCCAGAGTCTGAGACCAGGACAAGTGCCAGGCAGAGATGATCTCCCAAGCAAACTGCTGAGGGAGGGTGGCATTTGTGGGCAGATTGCCTTATATGACATCATCATAACAGTCTGGACCACTGGATGGGTTCTGCAGGATTAGAAGGGTGCCCCGGTGGTCCCCCTCTTTAAGAATGTGGAGTGCAAAGACTGTAAGAACTACAGGGGCATCTCCTTCCTCAGCGTGCTGGGAAAGGTCTTGGAAATGATTATTCAACATCGCCTTGCCAGGTACGCTGAGGAGAGGCTTGCGGAGCCCCAATGTGATTTCGGGCCAGGGCAGGCCTGCACAGATGCCATATTCTCTGTCCGTCTGCGACAGCTCATATGGAAGCAATTCCAAAACGACTTTCATCTCTGCTTTATTGACCTGGTCCTATGGTACCAAATCTTGACTTAAAGCTTTCGTGACTGCAGGAATTAATATTCGTGACTTTACCGAAAGACCAAAGAATATGCCTTTGGTACCATCAATAGGCCTGTGCTCTGGGTTGTTCTTCGTGCTTTCGGAGCCCCTGACTCTCGGCTCATAATGATTAATGACCTTCATGATGGTGGCCAGGCCCAGGTACGTAGCCGAGAGTCTAAGCCATTCCTTGTTTATCTTGGGGTGCAACAGAGAATTGTTTCTGGTGCCTACATTGCTTAACATTTTTCGAGCACGGAGTGCAAGAAGCTTTCCATGGCTGTACTGGAGGAATCTCCATCTGGTACAGATATAATAGGAGGCTGACCGATGCCCGGGTACGGTCAAGGGATGGCTACCTATTGGTCAACCATGTTATGTATGCTGATGATCTGGTGTTTGCTGCTCACTCAGAAGAGGAGTTGGAGGTGCTGCTGCTTGACCTGGAGCATGCTAAGCACCTGCCTGGGTATTTTGCATCATCAAACACTCCACCCCCTCAACTCCCCCATTGATGATGGGGTAGTTGTGGAGAGTGGAAAAGTTTCCATACCTGAGCAGTGTGCTCATGACCAGCTCCGGTTTGACAGCAGAGGTCTCACTCCGAATCAGTCGAGCGGCATTATCTTTTTATCTGCTACATAACGTCGTGTGTAAGCTACCTGGTCTGTCGCTCCACAATAAGCTTCGGGTTTTCTCGGCCACAGCCATGCCCTCCTCTATGCTTGTGAAACGTTGGGACCCCCCTTATGCAACATCTTCGCTGGTTAGAAACATTCAGGCTGGCTTGCCTACGATCCATCCTGGGTTTGACCAGGCTGTATTGTGAGCTATATTTCCACATACAGGTAGTCCTCTACTTACGATGGAGATGCGTACGACGACCCCATCGTAAGTAAAAAATATCGTAAGTCGAAGATGGCCTAGCCTACCCAGGAGTTTTAAAGAATGGTGATAATTTAGCAAAACAGAGCAATTTACAGTACCGTACTGTATAAAATATATACTGTATGTATTTATTAATTACAATACTGTATTGCACAGTAAAATGTAAAGTAAAAAAAGGTCAATTCTTAGCCTACCTATATGAACTGCAATATAATAGAAAGGCGGGAGACGCGTAAATCCCGGCAGCGTCCCAACGTACAGTATCGTACCTCGTATGCTGCTGTGTTTGCCTGCCGCGCGAAATTTAAAATATTTTTCAATTTTTTCGTATCGCTATCGCCATCGTGAGATCGAAATATCGTAAGTCGGACCATCGTAACTCGGGGACTATCTGTACACACACGAGGTGGCACAGTGGTTAGTCCACTGTGCTATAAATCTAGCGACCCAAATTCTATTCCCGTTCACGGCCACCATAGATCGACTATGCCTGAACTGGGGAGGCAAAGGCGGCCAGGCCTGGTTCTGCCCATACCACCTGCTCATGTGCCGTGTTGCCCTCTTCAAAGTGCTCGCTAACAGAACTTTCCAGAAAGAGTCTGTTCAGGCTATACGGGGGACCTTTGTCTTTGTGTGTGTGTGAGAGCAGCTGAGTGGAGTGGACTTCTCGGGCCTGGAAATGGATCCACTGAAATCTCACGGCATTCTCATCGACTCCTCTGAACCCTACAACGACAACAACCACACCACCACCGCCACCACAATGTCCTCCCAGTGAGTATGAGGTGGTGGTGGTGCGGGGGTAGTGATCACGACGACGATGATGCTGATGATCAACCTTGACCCTGTCTCCCCGTGCTGTGTCTTCGGGCACAGGTATCTGCTGCAGGTATTCTGTCTGCCACTGTTTGGGCCGGACTCGTGCTTTCTGGAGCTCATCAGTCGCCACGGAAACCGCGGATTCGGCGAGGGGAACATCCGCGCGCTGTGGCGGTCGGTGGAGCTCTCCCGCACCTTGTCAACATCGTCGGTTGCAGCCTCGTCATCAACCACGGCTTAACGCATGCTGGTGTTCCCAGCCGATATTGGGGTTCATAATTAAGTTTTGGTTTAGGGCACGGAATGTTTGTGAGGGTAGAGTGGGTCGGGTGAACGGTAAAGTTTGTTACGGTCGTGGGGGGTGGGGGGGGGGAGCGGTTAATGTTTGTTAGTAGTGGTGGGAGTGGGTATCTATATTTTCGTATTCAGGAATCTAACGGCGGCGACCGCCCAGCCACTCGCATTGCTGGTACAGCGTCTCCGTGTCTGCGGCGCGTACGATCAGTTAAGCTGCGGGGAGCCCGGCACCGGCCTCGCTTATGATTTCCCTCGGCTTAGCTGGAGGCCACGGCTGCTGCTCAAGAAGCGTAATTTGGAAGCAATGGCCTGAGCAGACTTTTAGGGAAAGTGCTGTTAGCGAGTACCTATGAAGGCCAACGAGGGGATGGCGGGGGCTATAGGTGTCCAACACCATACCCGGCCACCTTTGTTTCCCTCGTGGCATGGTTCATATTCATTTGACCCACGCTCTCATCCACTCGCGCACACACACCACACTGCAGTTCACGTCTGTCTGCGTTTTCCTCAAGCTGCTCCACTTTGGGAATTCCTCTCGCCATCATCCTGTTTGCCAAACCCTTACAATCATAACCATGCTCTGTTCAAGAAACGTGTTACAACTCGTGAGAGTGCTGTTTGTTCCTGGCAGCTTGATGTTTGGGCCCCTTTGAGCCCACTCAATTTGTGATACAATTTATTTTCTAATAAATCTTCAGCCAGGCCTTGCAACACTCGCTACTCAGTGTTGGATTAAGGTTTGTATATGTGTAGGTGTCTTGTGCATGTGTTAACGCATGGATACAGATGATGGTGCAACTAGCCTGGCACAAGCGCTGTGGTGGAATTGCAGTTGAATATTGTGTCAGTGTGTTGACATTGAACACTCAACAATATCTAACCAAGAAGAACAGTCTGCTGAAACATCTAAATCATCCTTTATTCTTATTAACTGTACAAAAACCTCTTATTTTACATATCGTTATTTCTCTGCGTTTAAGTGTGCACGTGTGTAGATCTTTGTATAAGCAGCGGGGAACGGCGCAGTGGTTAGCGCACCGCACTCCCAAACAAGGTGGCGAGAGTTCAATACCTGTGACATCAGAACCAATCTACCCCCGAGGTCGGCTCAGCCTTGAAAGTAGTACCCGAGTGTGGTGTGTAGTAAACATTTCCGAGGAGACACGTGGCAGACCCGGGCATGGTGCTGGTCACACCACCCCCACTCCTCGTATGTGCCGCACCGCGCATGCCTTTGCCCAGTGCTCCTCGCTAAGAGCACTTACCCCAGAAGCCTGTGTACTTGCGCGCACGGTAATAACATAAAGCCAGCTGCCCGTTCTCCCCCCCCACCTGCTTTAAAAACAAAATCGAGCAAAGGTCACAAGCGATGCACAATCAAATAGCCGTGGCGGAGAGAGGACGAGAGGGTGGCCGGGGAAGATGACCTGGACGTTGCCAATCAAAACCCCGTCACCAGTAGGGGACGGTCACTTGCGTCAGGGCCCTGTAGTGGACGTAGTGCAGGCTCCCAGCTCTCTCTTATCGGTGTGCTATGATCAAGTGTCGTTTCCCTGGAACGTCACCTATGATATATATTTAAGGCCACAACAGGGTTGCTCGTGATTAAGAAGTCGAGATTTGGTTACGGGTAAAAAATAAACTTTGACCTCTTGTGATAATCGTCAAGCTCTCTCACTGCGAACGGTTGTCGTGGTTGAAGGGTCACGGGTATCTATGTACAGTGTGTATGAAACGGGGGAGTTCGATATTTAAATAAATATTCTGGCAGGAAATTAACCGTTTCAACAAAACGTTAACGAGCAAAATGATACTCGCCATTACACAACGCCAATTTTGCAAAACGGACGACGTGCAGAAATTCGACATTCCTATGATGCACGCAAAGCGGTGCTCATTTTTTTGCCCCCCGAGGGAGGGATGATGGGGTGTGTGTAATATAGTTAACAATTACAAATGTGTAAGTAGATGACATGCCTCAAGAGTAATTTGTGATTTGCAAAGTGGCCGCAAGGCGAAATCCATGGGTAGCGAGGGTAGCTAACAGTTTTTGCGAAAGTGGTAACTGCGTCACAGTAATCGGTTAATACCAGTTTGCCAGTACCACACTGATTTCTAATAACAGATACCCTTTCCCATAACTGATTTCTAATGACACTCACCTATCCTGCTGTGCCACCAGTGCTGTGACTTCCATGGTGAGTTACTGAGAAGCAAGAATTATGAATGAGAGATGGGTCTCCTCTCTCACGCACGTGTGCCGCGCGAGAGCAGATGTTTCTCTGCGGCGCTCGGTAAATCGCTCTGGGTCTAGCGGAGGGCTCCAGCGGGAAGATTCGGAGACTCGCGTTGAACAGAACTCGGCAGGAGGCCTCGAGTGGCCTGAACGCGGCGACCGCCACAGCTGAGACGTTGAGGCACGGGGATGCGGAGATGCGGGGGGACACTGGGTAGGGGGTAGGGGAGGGCAAGGAATTTGGGACAGAATTGTTTAAAATGAGTCCATCTCACGTCCTCGCTCCGCGTCTTCATCCCTGTGTGAGCGAGGGAGTCGTGTCCACTCTCTTCTCACGCCCCCCCCAACCCCTCGTGCCCCACTTACAGCACCTCCCTGCCCCCCGCCCCTCCTCCGACCCAGCCACTGCGGCCGAGGAATCCCATGAGTTTCTTCCTCACGGCTTTCTCCAGCAGCATCGGCAACGCTCCTTGTCCCAGTGGCACTGCTCCCTGCGAGCGGCCCTTGCCCTGCTGCTGCTGCTGCTGACCCAACACCTGCTGCTGCGCCTGCTGCTGCAGCCTGCGCGCGTGCCTGTGCGTGGAGCTCTGCAGCAGGGCGATGGTCTTGGCGGTGACATACCGCGCCGGCGACAGGTTCATAGAGGAGCACAGCGCTGACTCGCGTTCCGACAGCGCTCTGGCGTAACCGCAAGCGTCCTCCGCCTCCGTGTCGGTCGCCGCCGCGTCCGCTCGCTCGCGCCCATTGTGCCCGCCGGCGCCCGACCCGGCTCCCTGCTGCTGCTGCTGCTGCTGCTGCGCCTGTCCGAAGCGGCGCTTGTTCCGGCGCAGCGCCGCAAAGTCGTCGAGTCGGCGCACCCCGCTGCGGGCACGCGCACGCTGCAGCTCGCGCACGCGCTCCCGCAGGCAGCGCTCGCGCCGGGCGCCCTCCAGCAGCTCCACAAACTCCCGCGCCGGCACGAGGCGGCACAGCGGCCGCAGCTTGTGCAGCAGCTCCTTCTCCTCCTTGGCCATCTTGCGCTTGGCTGGCGGCTCCTGCGGCTGAGACGCCGCCGCCGCCGCCGCTTGGGTCCCGCCGCTCGAGGCCGCCGTGGTAGGGCTGGCGCCGGCGCCCTGCGCGGAGGTGGCGGCGTAGGCGGCCTGCAGCGCGCACGGCCGCCCGAAGAAGGCCTGCACTAGGCCGTACTCGCGCGCTGCCGCCTTGCGCAGTTCGCGCTGGTGCAGCGCGCGTACGTAGGCACACACCACCGCCATCTTCAGCTCCAGCTCCAGCAGCTGTGCGCCGTCGTGGTGATCGAGGGCTGCTGCTGACGACGAGGATGAGGAGGAGCGGGCCGCCTCCGTGACGAGCGCCACCTCGTCGGGCTCAAAGGAGGGCAGCTCCGACACGGGCGTCTCGGCGTGCGGGAGGAACTCCATCTCAAAGTCGTCGCGCAGCGGCATGTACCCCAGCGTCTGCTGCTCCTCCGCGGAGATGGGGGGCACCGGTGGCGGCGGAGGGGAGCTCGAGCCACCACCCCCACGGTCCACAGGGGGCTCAGGCTGCAGGGACACGCACAAGGAGACATCGTCGTCATTGTCGTTGTCCCTGTGTGTGTCTATGGGTCCCTGTGTGTCTGTCGGTCCCTATGTGAGTCTATGGGTCCCTGCGTGAGTCTATGGGTCCCTGCGTGAGTCTATGGGTCCCTGCGTGAGTCTATGGGTCTCTGCGTGAGTCTATGGGTACCTGTGTATGTCTGTAGGTCCCTATGTGAGTCTATGGGTCCCTGTGTGAGTCTATGGGTCCCTGCGTGAGTCTATGGGTCTCTGTGTGAGTCTATGGGTCTCTGTGTGAGTCTATGGGTCTCTGTGTGAGTCTATGGGTCTCTGTGTGAGTCTATGGGTCTCTGCGTGAGTCTATGGGTACCTGTGTATGTCTATAGGTCCCTATGTGAGTCTATGGGTCCCTGTGTGAGTCTAAGGTTCCCTGCGTGAGGCGGTGCCGCCGTGGCTCCACCCACCGCAGTGTGGTCGGTCACACGGTTGGGGATGACCTCCGGCACGCAAGCCCTCCCCACGCTGCCGTACACGTAGGCCGCCATGAAGTGGCGCGCCACGTCCGCGGACGAGCGGGCGCCGGGCCCTCCGCCTGACGTGGCCCCCGTCGGGGCCCCCCCTCCCCCGCTGCCTCCTCCGCCGCCCACGCCGGGGCCGGGCCCCCCTCCCCCGCCCGTGCCGGCGGGGCCCCCCATCGCGGAGCACCAGGCGGCGTTGACGTGGGCCCCCACGTCGGCCCAGTTGCCCAGCCCGTGCTGCTCCACGGCCTCCAGCAGCTGCTGCTCCTCTAGGCACGACCAGGGGGGGGCGCGGGGCCCCGGGGCACCGGGGTCTAAGCACACGGAGTGGGGGGGGGGGGCAATAGGAGATCGTGAGAGGCGGCGGCTTGGACAGGCCTTGATCCAGCAGTGGATAGACCACAGCTGATGATGCAGTGACAAATGGCTGTCAAGGGAAACCAATCTCGCGACTTTTATCGGACGAGAGGACACGAAAGATTTAGGAGCGTTTCCACGTGTGTGTGTTATGGATCCCTACATCAGTTCGCTGTGTTCAATAACATTACATTGTGTCTTGACAGGAAACCAGGTTTAATAAAATATGCGCAAAACCCCATCGTCTCCACGTGTAAATACAAATGTTTCAATCCACCAGCCTATTGGTTTTCAAGTCCAGCTTAGATATTGATCTCATCAGCAATAAGGCTTGTGTTTTATCATGTGCTTGTTTATCCTGGAAGACCTCACCGAGTCCCAAGACTATTTCAGGAGGGTGGTGCCGAATTGTGCTTACTGCTGTAATCCCAGTGAGTAATTCAAACAAGGGCGCCGAGGTGGCGAGACGTTAACTATCTCGCCTGGTGTAAAAGATGTCGTGGGTTCGATCCCGACCCTCAAACCTGCTGTGTATTTGGAGTGTGCATGTTCCCCACGTGATCGCGTGGATTTTTCTTCGGGTCCTCTGGTTTGTTTCCCTCAACATCTTAGAAACATGCCTTTGGAGTATTTGGCTGCTATACATTTCCACTTGATAAGCCACTTCATTGGGCAATCATTTGTGGCCAGATCGGTTCTGAAAAATAGCTCAGTGGGCCTTACCTGGTAAAAAATTTAAATGCCGCTCCGTGTAAACTTTGGGGCCCCGCTCAACACAACACCGCACGCAGACTCATCATGTGATTCCAAATACACGCCAAAAATCCTTGTACGAGTTTACTGTGTGCAACGTAGCAGCAATATCAACACCCCGGGCCGCAATTTTTTTATTGACAGAACCCTTCTGAGGCCTGCATGGGTGAAACTTAGAATTAGCTCGTGAATTGTCCAGTGACAGGATTCTTGGCATCTTCTTCTATACCAGCGTACAGGACTGAACTATATTTCGATTTAAAGCTTTCGTGACTGCAAGGATTCATCTTCTTTGGTTCCTTCGGTAAAGTCACGTAGAATGAGAATAAAATAATAAATTGATCAAATAAAATAACACAATAAAATTTGCACGACGTTTCGGCCACAACACAAGCGCTTGTGTTGTGGCCGAAACGTCGTGAGAATTTCGTGAGAAGACAAGCTTGTGTTGTGGCCGAAACGTCATGAGAATTTTATTGTGTTGTTTTATTTTATCAATTTATTATTTTATTCTCATTCTACGTGACTTTACCGAAAGAACCAAAGAAGATGACCGAACTATGTTTAAGTGACATATATCCAAGTCTGATACTGGTAGGAACGAAGTTGTAATAAACTGAGTGTACCAGCCTGCAATAGATGAATGTGTCCGTCCGTCCGTCCCCTTTCAATACTTTAACGAAGTGAAATCTCGTGCTGTTGGGGTGTAAAAATAAAATTGCGCAAAATTCCAATGTTCCTACCAGCCCACCCTGCAGGGACCTGTTATTACGACACCAGAAAGGTCTTCAGCGACACCTAGCGACTTGCCTCGGTTATTTTTTGACGGCTCTCCGCTTCAAGGAGTTATCAGCGCTGGGCTACTCTCCCCACCCTCCCACCGGGCCGGGTCCCCTCGCCAAACAGGCGGCCGACCCGCTCAGGCAAGGCGGGGGGGGTGGGGGGAGAGGACGCGGCGCGAGCAGGCCTCACCGTCAAAAAGCGGGAAAGTGCCCGCGTCCTCCAGCCTGAAGGCGTGACCGCGGCGGTGCGTGCCCAGCTCGGCCCCGGACGCGAAGCACTCGAGGCAGAGCTCGATGTCGGGGCAGTCGGCGCAGCGGACGCGCACCGCGGTCGCGTCCGCCAGGCAGTTCACGCAGTACTTGCGCTTGGGCGCCATCGCGTCCGCCATCTTAGCGCGGCCGCGCCACTTCCGGGCTGCACCGAATCCCGGAACCCTGGGGGAGGGGGGCGGGGGCACAGGGGGGGCACGGGGGCTGACGGGGGGGGCACAGGGGCTGACGGGGGGGGGGCACGGGGGATGGCGGGGGGGGGCACGGGGGATGGCGGGGGGGGGCACGGGGGATGGCGGGGGGGGGGGGGGCACAGGGGATGGCGGGGGGCGGCACAGGGGCTGACGGGGGGGGCACGGGGGATAGCGGGGGGGGGCACTGGGGCTGACGGGGGGGGGCACGGGAGCTGACGGGGGGGGGCACGGGGGATGGCGGGGGGGGGGCTGACGGCTTTGTGAGCTCTGCACCGCCACCTGGTGACGGCGTCACGACGCCTCTTGGTTACCGGGGCAACGGAACGCGCGGCGTGGGGTGAGGGGACCACGAGACGGGACCCAGAGAGAGACCCCGTCACGGGAACAGGGACCGAGAGGAACCTCCAGAGACCCTCGTCACGGAAACAGGGACCAAGAGGGACCCCCAGAGACCCTCGTCACGGGAACAGGGACCAAGAGGAACCCCCAGAGACCCTCGTCACGGGAACAGGGACCAAGAGGAACCCCCAGAGACCCCGTCACGGGAACAGGGACCAAGAGGACCCCCCAGAGACCGATAGAACTTCCAAGGTGGGATCAGAAAAACTAAGGAACCACACCACCGCCCCCCCTACCCCCCTACCCCCCCATATACCTGGAAGAGGTATCCCCTTCGATCCCTCAGACAGGATCAGGTGACGCTTAGAGAGCCCGGGGGAGCTTCAGGGGACCAAGCTCGAACTGTGGGACCCCGAGAGCCGAGACCTGAGGCGCATGGGGGCCGCGGTGGGCCCGTGGGCCGGCGTGGAGGCGCTGGGGGGGGTCACGGAGGAGGAGGCCGCGCGCCTAGGCCGCGCCATGCAGGACGAGGCCTTCCGCGACCTCCTCATGGAGCACGCCCGTGAGCTGCAGGAGCCGGCAGCGCGTGCCCGGTCAGAACCCTCCTCACCGTCAACATCGTCATCATCATCGTCACCATCGTCAACATCATCATCCTCACCGTCAACATCATCATCATCGTCACCGTCAACATCATCATCATCGTCAACATCATCATCGTCACCGTCAACATCATCATCGTCATCATCGTCACCGTCAACATTATCATCGTCAACATCGTCAACATCATCATCATCGTCAACATCATCGTCACCATCTTCAACATCATCATCGTCAACATCGTCAACATCATCGTCAACATCATCATCGTCGTCATCGTCACCGTCAACATCATCATCGTCAACATCATCATCAACGTCACCATCGTCAACATCATCATCATCGTCAACATCATCATCGTCACCGTCAACATCATCATCATCGTCAACATCATCAACGTCACCATCGTCAACATCATCATCGTCAACATCATCATCATCGTCACCGTCAACATCATCGTCATCGTCGTTATCAACGTCAACATCGTCAACACTCATCATAATCACCGTCGTCAACACTCATCATCCACATCGTCAACACTCATCATCCACATCGTCATCTTCATCATCGTCGACATATCCAACATCATCGTTATCAGCCTCCCAACAAGCACGCGCGGGACCGGTGTGTACTCGTGTACTCGTACACGGTGTGTGTACACACGTGGTGTGTACTCACGGTGTGTACTCGTGTACTCGTACACGTGGTGTGTACACACGGTGTGTACTCACGTGGTGTGACTCACGGTGTGTACTCACGGTGTGTACATGTGGTGTGTACTCACGGTGTGTGTACTCACGGTGTGTACACACGTGGTGTGTACTCACGTGGTGTGAGTACACGTGGTGTGTACTCACGGTGTGTACTCACGGTGTGTACACACGTGGTGTGTACTCGTACACGGTGTGTGTACTCACGTGGTGTGTACTCACGGTGTGTGTACTCACGGTGTGTGTACTCACGGTGTGTGTACACTGTGTGTACTCACGTGGTGTGTACTCACGGTGTGTACTCACGGTGTGTGTACTCACGTGGTGTGTGTACACGGTGTGTACTCACGTGGTGTGTACTCACGGTGTGTACTCACGTGGTGTGTACTCACGGTGTGTACACGTGGTGTGTACTCACGGTATGTGTACACGTGGTGTGTACTCACGGTGTGTACACACGTGGTGTGTACTCATGGTGTGTACTCACGGTGTATACATGTGGTGTGTACATGCGGTGTGTACTCACGGTGTATGCAGCTCGTGGTGTGCACACACGTGGTGTGCACTCACGTGGTGTGTACTCACGATGTGTACACGTGGTGTGTACTCACGATGTATACTCACGGTGTGTACACGTGGTGTGTACTCACGATGTATACTCACGGTGTGTACACGTGGTGTGTACTCACGGTGTGTACTCACGGTGTGTACACGTTGTGTGTACACGCGGTGTGTACTCACGGTGTGTGCGGCTCGTGGTGCCACGTGGTGTGTACTCACGGTGTGTGAGGCGCGTGGTGTCACGTGGTGTGTTGTAACATTGTGCGCGTGGGCTGCGTGCGATGTCTCTGTGAAGCTACGAGCAGGAGATGGCCGAGCTGGAGAGGGAGAGGGGGATGGACGTCACCTTCCTGCACATCTCTCCAGGCTACGTCCTCAAGGGCTTCATACGAGGTGCCCCCCACAACCCACCGGGCCCCCCCACACGCACCCGGGTACTCACACCAAGACCCACAGACTCACACCGAGACCCACAGACTCGCAGAGACCTATAGACTCACACCGAGACCCACAGACTCACACCGAGACCCACAGACTCACACCGAGACCCACAGACTCACACCGAGACCCACAGACTCACACCGGGACCCATAGGCTCGCAGAGACCTATAGACTCACACCGAGACCCACAGACTCACACTGAGACCCACAGACTCACACCGAGACCCATTGACTCACAGAGAGACCCATACTTACAGAGAGTTTCAGTTTTCAGTTTCTTTATTTTGGTATAGCCCTGTGAGCCATTTGGCTCTTGAATCGGGTTCAACCACAACAAACAAAACAACAAAAACACGAACAAGAAAACATCTTAAAGTGACTTTGTGTGACTGTGCAAACAGAAAATCCATGAAAAAAAAACAGCAAAATATTCCTGAAAAAAGCACCGTACACCAACGCTGTGTGCAAAAAATCCCAGTGGGATGCAAGTCAAACAACAACAACAACCATAAGAAAACTTAGATTAAGGCAATCAGTCTAACTCCGTACTACAACAAAACAAACGTCCAAACCAAAAGACGTTTTCGAAATCACCAAAAAATAAAGCCATAATTGCAACGTAACAGTGATCATAGGGACTGTGACCGAATTTTTATAATAAACTACATAAATAACATGTAACACCAAATCCTAGAGCCATAGCTGGCTGCATGAGTTACTCCACAACAACAGAAGCATCAGTCGAAGTATCAAATTTTTCAATGCACCTTTAAGATCAGCATGCTAAATCAAAATACAGATAATACTTTGCAGCGTCATCCGGAGCGAAACATTTTATTTTATTTTACGCCAATGAATAGCAGTGGCAGCTAGGGGTGTACAACTCCTCTAGAGCAGTTTTGAGAGAAGATCTCATTGGTAGCGATTCAAGTTGCAGTTTATTGGCAATAGCATTCCAGACCCTGGGGGAGAGACCCATACACTGAGACCCATAAACTCGCAGAGACCTATAGACTCATACCGAGACCCATAGACTCACACAGAGATCCATATATAATCACAGAGAGACTCAAAGATTCACAGAGACTCCAATACTGTACAGTACTCACATAGCAACCCATAGTTACACACATAATATATCTGCTTGCTTAGAGACACATACTCCTATAGAGACCCATAGCCTCAAAGACTTACATAGTGACTCGATGACTACCGCTATTAACTAAGTTAAATAAATGTGGTCTTGAGATGCGGCTGTTTTTGGGTGAGGCCCCGTGGTGGTTGAGCTTCATGGCAACATCCTCGTGTCATTCACCCTCCACCACCCGACGACGTCGTTACGGTCACACAAATATCATGATTATTTACACGCGTGATCAAATGTATCGATCGGATTCTGACCAGCACGGCTGCTCTTCCTCACCGGCGGTGGAGGTGGCTGGAGACTCCTCAGGGGAATTCAACATCAGCAAATTCGCGAGCGACCGCGCGGCCGAAATTTTCACTCCAACCCGGGAGCTCACTCGCAGTTCGTGATTGTGCTGTGCTCTTGCTATCCTTCACAGGGGACGGTGCAGCAGCATCAGGAGGGAGCCACGGTGACGAGAGCGGCGGCACCAGCACCGCCGCCACCATCAAGGCCTTCGTCAACGTGTGCTGGGTGGACACCGGGCTGGAGCCCCCCTCCTCGGAACACTCGCCGGCCCGGCCCGGCGGCGTCACGTGGCGGCTGCCGCACGCGGTGCTGCCGCCGGCGCGGCGCGACGTGGACGGGCGCGGCGCGCCGTGCGCCGTGCACGACGTGGCCTTCCACCGCGACGCCGCCGCCCTCGCCGCGGGCCCCGACCCGCGGCTGCGCGCGCTGCTGGACGACACCGCGGCCGCCGCCGTGGAGGACGCGCTCGGGGTGCGCTTCGTGAGCCGGCACAACCGCGGCGGCGGCGCGGCGAGGACCGGCGCGGCGAGGACCGGCGCGGTGCGGCGCATCAAGGCGACGTACAAGGGAACGCCACCGCTGCGCTCCCCCGTGCTGCGAAAACCAAGGGCCGGAGCTGGAGAGGGGGCGGCGGCGGCGACAGACGGCGGCTTTCCCTTCCCGCCGGGACTCGAGGTGCTGTCCAAGGTCATCGTCTGTGTGCGCACTCCAGTCCTCCTGCTCTCCTCTCTCTTCTCCTGTTCCTTATCTTCCCCCCCCCCCCCCCCCACGACTTCTCCTCCTCCACCCACTCCCTCCACTCCTCACTCCCTCCTCGTGTCTTCTTTCTGAACCAGGTGTAGCAATCAGATTCGCGGTGGTGGCATTCCAAACTTCCAGGGTGGTGTATTATCATCTTGTGCTAATTCCAAGCGTTGTTAGTGGTGTGTTTTATGCTCATTTCCTTTGTCAAGGCGTTTTCTGTTTACCCCCTCAGCTTAAAAGGAGGCGACCTGCGCTTGGCTTTCTTCACTCCAACGCTGTCCGCTGGACAGTTTGTCCCTTCACCTGATGAAGGCCACTTGTGTTGTGGCCGAAACGTCGTGATTTTTGTTTTTTTATTTTTTACCTACGTGACTTTACCGAATAGAACCAAAGAGTAAAGAGCGCGAGAGTCAGAATAACGACCCAGGATCCACGTCTTTTGACCTGAAGCTGCTTGGCGCAGTTTCATTGAAACGCCGCGTATCTATTTTGCTCAATTTGGCCGCGGGAAGAATTGTTCTCGGACTCACCGCTCAGTGAGCTGAAACGATCATAACTGGACAAGGCGCTAAAAGTTTGTACACGTCAACATATCATTTGTTTGGCCGTGTCGGGCGGTGGAGGGTTCCACGACACAAATATGACCCAGATCCGTGGTTGATGACCTGCGTAGGATGTGGGTGGAGGCGTAGAATGCGTCCGTTTCATTTGCTTCTCAAAGTAATCGGATTACTTTCCAAGAAGCCGTGTTCGGGGCGCCGAGTGAGCGACCCACGGCGAGTGAGGAGCAGCCCACGATGAAAGCAACGAGCGTGGTGACGGTTCGTTCATCTCTCTGCCGGCTCCGTTAACGCCATCAAAACCCAAGCGTCGTCATCAAGTCTCGCGTCTTTGGTGGTAAAAGACCCTGAGAGTAGGGGTCACACCCCCCCCCCCGCCCGCCCCTGCTGACCTCTCTCCTACAGATGCCGTACCCATACTCAGGCGCCACCACCACCACCACCACCACCGGCGCAACCGCAACCAAGATTCACGGCAACCGCAACAGGTATGGGTAGTGACGCGGTGGCACATCGGTGGCACATCGGTGGCACATCGGTGGCACATCGGTGGCACATCGGTGGCGTGTTCGAATCTCGGACATAGGTGGTAAGTGGAGTAGTCAGAGCTGTACTCCCTGCTGCTGTCACCTTGAAACGACGGGGACGGCGTCGGAGGGGCGCGGAGACAGCGAACGCAACGGAGAGCTTTGTTTTCCACCCAGGAGGCGCGACGGAGGTGGAGGTGGTGGAGCGGGAGGCGGAGTCCCGGGCTCGAGTACGTGTGCCAGCGAGTCCCCTACCGTTACGCAGGGGCAGCCCGCCGCAAAGGATTGTGGGAAAGCTGCAGGGGGGCTGCAGTACACCGTGACGCACAGAACGTACTCCGACATGCAGGTGCGTGCGTAAGGGGTGTGGGTCCGTGTGTACGTGGGGGTGTATATGGCGTCTGCGTGTGTGCCGTGGTACAGTTGTCAGCGTCCTGTACTACGAACCCGGTGACGCGAGTTCAATTCCAGTTCACGGCCTACGTCGGCCACCGATATCTCAACTGATCCCGCGCCTCCACAAAGGTCGACTCGGACTTAAAACGGCTGCCTGCTGCCGAGTATTGAACATCAGCACTTGGGGAGACAAAGGCGGCCGGGGGTGGTGCTAGACACGCACCACCATCGCGGGTGCTCCACGCCCGCCTTTGTAGGCGTTGCTCGCTAACAGTACCTTTGTAGGTGTTGCTCGCTAACAGTACCTTTGTAGGTGTTGCTCGCTAACAGTACCTTTGTAGGTGTTGCTCGCTAACAGTACCTTTGTAGGTGTTGCTCGCTAACAGTACCTTTGTAGGCGTTGCTCGCTAACAGTACCTTTGTAGGTGTTGCTCGCTAACAGTACCTTTGTAGGTGTTGCTCGCTAACAGTACCTTTGTAGGTGTTGCTCGCTAACAGTACCTTTGTAGGTGTTGCTCGCCAACAGTACCTTTGTAGGTGTTGCTCGCCAACAGTACCTTTGTAGGTGTTGCTCGCCCAACAGTACCTTTGTAGGTGTTGCTCGCTAACAGTACCTTTGTAGGCGTTGCTCGCTAACAGTACCTTTGTAGGCGTTGCTCGCCAGCAGTACCTTTGTAGGTGTTGCTCGCTAACAGTACCTTTGTAGGTGTTGCTCGCTAACAGTACCTTTGTAGGTGTTGCTCGCCAGCAGTACCTTTGTAGGTGTTGCTCGCTAACAGTACCTTTGTAGGTGTTGCTCGCTAACAGTACCTTTGTAGGCGTTGCTCGCTAACAGTACCTTTGTAGGCGTTGCTCGCCAGCAGTACCTTTGTAGGTGTTGCTCGCTAACAGTACCTTTGTAGGTGTTGCTCGCTAACAGTACCTTTGTAGGTGTTGCTCGCCAGCAGTACCTTTGTAGGTGTTGCTCGCTAACAGTACCTTTGTAGGTGTTGCTCGCTAACAGTACCTTTGTAGGTGTTGCTCGCCAACAGTACCTTTGTAGGTGTTGCTCGCCAGCAGTACCTTTGTAGGTGTTGCTCGCTAACAGTACCTTTGTAGGCGTTGCTCGCTAACAGTACCTTTGTAGGTGTTGCTCGCTAACAGTACCTTTGTAGGTGTTGCTCGCTAACAGTACCTTTGTAGGTGTTGCTCGCTAACAGTACCTTTGTAGGTGTTGCTTGCCAGCAGTACCTTTGTAGGTGTTGCTCGCTAACAGTACCTTTGTAGGTGTTGCTCGCTAACAGTACCTTTGTAGGCGTTGCTCGCTAACAGTACCTTTGTAGGTGTTGCTCGCCAACAGTACCTTTGTAGGTGTTGCTCGCCAGCAGTACCTTTGCCCCAACAGCCCGCGTGGGCTACGCGGGTGACCTTTGCGTGCGCGTCTGGCGGCGGTGTGGGTGGCGCGTGCAGGACTTCGCGGTGGATGCCGCCCCGCGGTGCGGAGCTGCCCCGCACGAGCTCGTGGTGCGCATCGACCTGGCCGGGGCGTGCGCCCGCTGCCTGGCGCAGCCCGGCGCCGTGCGTCTCGAGGTCGGCCACGCGGCCATGGAGCTCACGCTGTCGCACGCCGCCGGAGAACGCCCTCGGCAGCAAGAGCACCGGCCGTGCGCACACCTGATCGTGCCGCTGCCGCTGCCGGTCGTGGCCGGCGGTGGGCACGCCGAGCTCAACCGCGACAGCGCCACCCTGACCATCACCGTGGAAACGCTCGCCAGGAAAAACGCCCCGTCGGCCGGGCGGCGCGGGCGGCGTGGCGCGCCGCCCGCGCGGGAGGTGGGGCAGGCGGGCGCACAGGGCAGTCGGTCAGACGGACAACAACCAGACACTGACGCAGATGAACAACAACCGGACACTAAAGCAGATGAACAACAACCGGACACTAAAGCAGATGAACAACAACCGGACACTGACGCAGATGAACAACAACCGGACACTAAAGCAGACGGACAACAACCGGACACTGAAGCAGACAAACAACAACCGGACACTGAAGCAGACGAACAACAACCGGACACTGAAGCAGACAAACAACAACCGGACACTGAAGCAGATGAACAACAACCGGCCACTGAAGCAGATGAACAACAACCGGACACTGAAGCAGATGAACAACAACCGGACACTCAAGCAGACGGACAACAACCGGACACTGACGCAGATGAACAACAACCGGACACTGAAACAGATGAACAACAACCGGACACTGAAACAGACAGACAACAACCGGACACTGAAGCAGACGAACAACAACCGGACACTGAAACAGACAGACAACAACCGGACACTCAAGCAGACGAACAACAACCGGACACTGAAACAGACAGACAACAACCGGACGCTGAAACAGATGAACAACAACCGGACACTGAAACAGACAGACAACAACCGGACACTGAAGCAGACGAACAACAACCGGACACTGAAACAGACAGACAACAACCGGACACTCAAGCAGACGGACAACAACCGGACACTCAAGCAGACGGACAACAACCGGACACTGAAGAAGATGAACAACAACCGGATACTGACGCAGATGAACAACAACCGGACACTGAAGAAGATGAACAACAACCGGACACTGAAACAGACAGACAACAACCGGACACTCAAGCAGACGAACAACAACCGGACACTGAAACAGACAGACAACAACCGGACGCTGAAACAGATGAACAACAACCGGACACTGAAACAGACAGACAACAACCGGACACTGAAGCAGACGAACAACAACCGGACACTGAAACAGACAGACAACAACCGGACACTCAAGCAGACGGACAACAACCGGACACTCAAGCAGACGGACAACAACCGGACACTGAAGAAGATGAACAACAACCGGATACTGACGCAGATGAACAACAACCGGACACTGAAACAGACAGACAACAACCGGACACTAAAGCGGATGAACAACAACCGGACACTGAAACAGACAGACAACAACTGGACACTGAAGCAGATGGGCAACAACCGGACACTGAAGCAGACGGACAACACCCGGACACTGACGCAGATGAACAACACCCGGACACTGAAGCAGATGGACAACAATCCGACACTCAAGCAAAACAACTAGATACTCAACCAGAGCAACTGGACACTGCACCAGATGAACAACAATTGGACACTCAGCCGCATGAGCAATCAGAAAAACAAACGGACACTCAACTAGAACAAGCAGATGCTAAGCCAGATGAGCAACCACCAGACACTCAACCAGATGAACAACTACCAGACACAAAATCAGAACACCCAGACACTAATCCAGAATACCCGGATACTCAATCAAAACAACCAGACACTCAAGGAGAACTAGACACTCAACCAGATGGACAACCGGGCACTCAACCAAAACAACTCCTCACTCAACCAGATCAACAACCGCGGACTCCACCAGATGAGCGAGGGGGTGACGTTGGTACCCATGGGTTAGAGATACTGAGCAGCGACCCCGGCGACCATGTGACTCGCTGTCCAATCCAATTCCAGAACGACCTGCTGTTTGAGCTGGACTGAGCGGGCCAGCACAACCCTGCGTGGAGTTTGTGTGTTCTTCCCCTCTTCTGCATGGGTTTATTCCGGGCTCTCCAGTTTTCTCCCATAGATAACCCCCCCCCCCCCACACACAAGTGGAACTAACATTGGTAAAAATAAAATCACAATCCAATGCTGAAATATCACCTGCACATCACTCAATTGGGATCACGCAGCAGGAGCTGTATGGTGCCCGCCACCCTCCTTCCAGGTCTTGAGACTCAGTGGGGCTTTTCTATTTATACTATTTTTATCTTACCAGGTGAGGCCCACAAATGATAGCTCCACGAAGTGGCTTATAATTGCGTGGGAATTTATAGCAGCCAAATATTGTACAGCAGTGTTACGCAAACTTTATTTGGCCCGTGGACCGCTCAGCCTAATGCAGACATTTCCGCGGGTCACCCAGCTCCCCACCCCTGGTGACAAAACGCATTCACGTGTCTCTAAATACCAGTACAGGGACTCCTCTACTTACGAACGAGTTGCGTTCCAGAGGTCCATACTCTTTGGTTCTATTCGGTAAAGTCACGTAGGTAAAAATAAAATGACAAAAAATCACGACGTTTCGGCCACAACACAAGTGGCCTTCATCAGGTGAAGGGACTGGACTGTCCAGAGGACAGCGTTAGAGTGAAGACAGCCAAGCCCAGGTCGCGTCCTTTAAGCTGTGTGGGAGGAAACAAAAAACGCCTTGACAAAGGAATTAGCATAAAATGATGTACTGGACCGGCACGGTGGGGGGGGGGGGGGGGGAGTTTACGTAATGTTGGTGTGAAGGCAAATAAGCTGCTGTGAAAGTTTGGAATACCACTACTTGAATAAATATACTGTACCATTGAAAATTAGTTTGATGTTTGGTTTGATTTAGAACATCTTTCCAATGATTGTAAGTCGATCATCGTAAGTCGATTTATTCTGAAGTTCAACAACTTGACTCTTGTCCATTCCAAACATCCTATAGGGCATGTACACTAATAGCTTTAAAAGTTGAATAATCTGGCGATGCAGATGCTACTGGTTTTTTCACGTTCTGCAGCTGTAGATGCCACCACCGCCATCGGTTGCGCGGCGGTTGAACTTGCGACTCTCGGTCAGAACAGGCAATTGGACATACGGACAGGTTTGTTCGTATCTCTGAAGGTTCATAAGTCGAATGTTCCTAAGTAGAGGAGTCCCTGTGATACAAAATGATTCATATTACCGGAACGTAAAAACATTTTTGTTCAACGCAGCTATAAGTTTTTTTTGGGGTGGCATTTAGATCTTAGGGTTAGGGTAGTTTGATCAGGACAATTTACCTAACTTAATTTGTAAATTAAATACAATTAAACCTTGGATTGCGAGCATAATTCGTTCCCGAAACGTGTTTGTAATCCACAGCACTCGTTTATCAAAGCACAACGTATATCAGTTGTGATCACGTGACCCTCGGCAGACAAAGCGTATACACGTACACTGCTCGTATTGCACGACACTCGCTCGTTTATAAAATTAATATTTATTTAAAAATTTTGCTCGTCTTGCAAAACACTCGCAGGCCAAGTTACTCGCAATCCAAGGTTTTACTGTATAAGTAAAATATAAATGAATGCCTTAAACTAAGGGTATAAAAAAAACGTAGTCTTCATATGAGGATCAACCTTCGTTTGCATCAGAGTTCCGCGGACTACCTGGAGGACTGTCGCGGACCACCGGGGACCGCAGTCTGAGAACCACTGCTCTAGACGCATGTTTCTCAATGATGCGCAAACTAGCATCATAAAATAACAGAAGTGTCTCTCAGTGTCGCGCACTCAAGATCCCTCGCCCACCTGCCCAGATCTCCTTACTCCTGCATACACCCACACCGGCCCCCATCACCACCACGATCATTTTGCCCATGACCAAATCTCCCGCAACGTGTCCAATCGCAACAGAACAGAGAAGCCAAGCAGGCTTGAGCCTGGTTACCGATTAGGTCACCACCACCACCACTACACCACCGCCGCCTTCACACCAATGCTACCACCACCACCACCTAACCTGCTACCACCACCAATTATGAGAAACACCATCGCATCACCAACATCACCACCATGTGACGTGGTTTATTTATTGACAGCTCCAGCACCAGGAAGGTTTGTCAGTAGTTTCCAGGGTTTCCCACGTGGGTCTCCTCGATAACTCACAACTGCAGCAGCTGCCTCTTCATTTTAATAATCGCATATCATATCGCTCAATCACAACGCAACCAATCGCAGCAGCATGGCGTCACAAGCGGACGGAGGCACAACCGGTAGGGAGCGAGTGACTGGCACGAGCGATGGTTCATCCATTAAAGTTGCTTCTCGCACTCAGCGATGCATGTTCCAACCTTGCGAGCATGTGTATGTATGCGTGTTACATGTGTGTCATGCGTGTCTGTGTATGCAAGGTGGCACAGTAGGGAGCACAGTTGATGCACCTACCAGTCATCTCCGCACAACCCATGGCACTTGGGTCTGTCCTATGACTTACCAGCAGCGAGCCTTTCACACTTCACGTGACGGCCTCAAGGTACACCTAGCCTGGCACAAGCGCCATGGCAAATTCACCGCCAATTAATGTTGAACAGTGGCTGTCGTGTGCACAACTGTGTGTTGGACGTACTCCCCTGCCCCCCGACCGGCGCCATCACCCCCCCCGCGCTACCGCCGCGGCGACAGCAGCCGCCCCCAACGCGAGCGCTACCCCGGCCCATGCCAGCCGGTCTACGCGCCGCGCCAGCCGCTCCTCCGTGTCCCACAGGGCGCCCAGCACCGCCGCGTCGCGCTCAATCTCCTCGTCGAGGGTCCCCTCCGGCCAAGCGCAGCCGCCCGCCGGTTCTGGGCCGGACTTCGTCCCCACTGGTTCCGCCGCCGTTTCGTCAATCTCGCCGCTCCCCTCGACTCGCGCTGCGGGCCCCGCGTGGCCGTTGGCGGAGCCGCTGGCGAGCCGGCGCAGCTCGCGCACGCCCCCCGTCAGCTCGGCGAGCCGCCGGTCCGAGCGCTCCGCCGCCTCCCGCAGCGGCGCCAGCCACGCGGGCATCCCGCCGCCGTCGTCGCCGCCGCCGCCGACGCTCGACGCCGGCTCCGCGGATCCGGGGGTCGGTGCCAGTGGCTGCTGGGTGCTGGCGGTGCCGGCGGCTGGGAAAAGATGGGAGACGTTAGACGTGGCGGCGCCGGTGCAGGGAGAAAGGGGGGCTCGCGCTAGTGTGAGACGCGTGAGAGACACGAGACAGGGAGAAAGACAAAGATCCCCTGCACAGCCTTACCAGACTGTTGGGGCAAGCGCTGTTAGTAGCACCGAAGGCTGAGGTGACAAGAGGAGGTGGTGTGCCCAGAACCACCCCCATTTGCCTGTTTCCCCACTACTCTTTATACACCGCACCAGGGGAAGGACCAAGACGATTTCACTGACACGCACACGGGAGAGAGCGACACGCACATGGGAGAGAGCGACACTCACACGGGAGAGAGCGACGTGGGAGAGAGCAACGTGGGAGAGAGCGACGTGGGAGAGAGCGACACTCACACGGGAGAGAGCGACGCTCTCACGGGAGAGAGCGTCGCTCTCACGGGAGAGAGCGACACTCACACGGGAGAGAGCGACACTCCCACGGGAGAGAGCGACACTCACACGGGAGAGAGCGACGCTCTCACGGGAGAGAGCGTCGCTCTCACGGGAGAGAGCGTCGCTCTCACGGGAGAGAGCGACGCTCACACGGGAGACAGCGACACTCACACGGGAGACAGCGACACTCCCACGGGAGAGAGCGACGCTCTCACGGGAGAGAGCGTCGCTCTCACGGGAGAGAGCGACGCTCACACGGGAGACAGCGACACTCACACGGGAGACAGCGACACTCCCACGGGAGAGAGCGACGCTCACATGGGAGAGAGCGACACTCACACGGGAGACAGCGACGCTCACACGGGAGACAGCGACACTCCCACAGGAGAGAGCGACGCTCACATGGGAGAGAGCGACGCTCACACAGGAGAGAGCGACACTCCCACGGGAGAGAGCGACGCTCACACAGGAGAGAGCGACACTCCCACGGGAGAGAGCGGCAGCGTGTGTGTGTGGCGCACCGAGTAGCAGCGTGCGGAGCTGCGTGACGGTGCCTGCGAGCTGCGCCTGCTGCTGTGCGTGCGCCGCCGCCTGCTCCCGCAGCGCGTCCTGCAGCGACTCGGGGCCGCCCCGCGCCTCCCCCACTAGCTGGCGCAGTTCGGCCAGGCGGACCTACGGGGGGGGGGGGGGGGGCGGTTAGAGCGCTGCGCTACGAATCCGGCGACCCGAGTTCGACTCCTGCTCACCGCCAACACCAGTCCTGATTATCCGAACTGGACATGGACCTCCCCTCGGTTGACTGAGCCTCTAACGAGCACCCGGTGTGATGTGTCAACGTCGCCATGAGGGAAACAAAGGCGGCTGGGCGTAGTGTAGGCCACCCACTGCCTCGTCTGTTCAGGCTACATGGGGGATCTTTGTCTTTGGTGTGGGCGGGGAGGCGCGGAGAGCGGGCGAGAGCACCGTTACCATGGCGGCGGCGACGAAGATGACGGAGCCACATGTGGGGTGCATGGGACTCGCACACAGGACATACGAAGGGGATCACCACGACGACCATGACGACCATGACGACGGCAATGACGGAGGTCGTACGGGACAAGTGAGACTCTTACAGTACACGTGCATGTACGGGATTCACACAGGACACGTAGGATTCATGTGGGACATGGGGACGACGACGACGATGATGATGACCATGATGGGACCCGTGGGATTGAGAACACACGGGACGCAAGTTCACACAGCAAAGCAAACCCCCTTCATGTCCCCCGTGCCCGCCCCCCCCGCCGCTTGCCCGGTTGATGTATGTGGAGCCCGCGACGCCGACCAGGGCCCCCACGATGGAGCCGATGAGCGACCAGTTTTTGGTGCGCTCGGTGCGTGCGCGCTCCTTCTCGTGGCTCTCGCGCACGCCCGCCGAGAATGCGGAGAACGCGTCGCGCTCCGCGTGGGCGCAGCGCACGTGGTTGGCGCGCACCGCACGCTCCTCCTGCGGAGACACGGGGGAGACGAGGAGGGAGTGGGGGGGGGAGCATGGTGAGACACTGGGAGACACGGGGAGACACGGGGAGACAAGCGGAAACACGCAGTGCATGTGGCCTACGCGCACCATGTGCTCGTGCGGAGACACGGGGCAGACACGGTGGGCGGGGGGACATTGTGAGACACGGGGACATGGTGAGACATGGTGGGGGGCATAGGGAGACACGGGGACATGGTGAGACATGGTGGGGGGCATAGGGAGACACGGGGACATGGTGAGACATGGTGGGGGGCATAGGGAGACACGGGGACATGGTGAGACATGGTGGGGGGCATAGGGAGACACGGGGACATGGTGAGACATGGCGGGGGGACATGGTGAGACACGGGGACATGGTGAGACATGGTGGGGGGCATAGAGAGACACGGGGACATGGTGAGACATGGTGGGGGGCATAGGGAGACACGGGGACATGGTGAGACATGGTGGGGGGCATAGGGAGACACGGGGACATGGTGAGACATGGTGGGGGGCATAGGGAGACACGGGGACATGGTGAGACATGGTGGGGGGCATAGGGAGACACGGGAAGACAAACGGAGACAAGCCACACAGCGCATGTAGCCCGCTTACACCACGCGCTCCTCCTGCACAGACACGGGGAATACAGAGGGGAGGCATGGGGAAAGACGTGGAGACACAGTGTGACACGGTAGGGGCATAGGGAGACATGGGCGGTGGGGATGGGGAGACATGGGGCGACACGTTGGCGGGGGGTAGGGGGGGCTTGGGGAAATACAGGGAGACACGGTGAGACACGGGGAGACACGGTGAGATACAGGGAGACATGGTGAGACACAGGGAGACATGTGGGAGACACAGTGAAACACAGGGAGACACGGTGAGACACAGGGAGACACGGTGAGACACAGGGAGACATGTGGGAGACACAGGGAGACACAGGGAGACACGGTGAGACACGGGGAGACACGGTGAGACACAGGGAGACATGTGGGAGACACAGTGAAACACAGGGAGACACGGTGAGACACAGGGAGACACGGTGAGACACAGGGAGACATGTGGGAGACACAGTGAAACACAGGGAGACACGGTGAGACACAGGGAGACACGGTGAGACACAGGGAGACATGTGGGAGACACAGGGAGACACAGGGAGACACGGTGAGACACGGGGAGACACGGTGAGACACAGGGAGACATGTGGGAGACACAGTGAAACACAGGGAGACACGGTGAGACACAGGGAGACACGGTGAGACACAGGGAGACACGGTGAGACACAGGGAGACACAGGGAGACACGGTGAGACATGGGGAGACACGGTGAGACACAGGGAGACATGTGGGAGACACGGTGAGACACAGGGAGACACGGTGAGACACAGGGAGACACGGTGAGACACAGGGAGACATGTGGGAGACACAGGGAGACACGGTGAGACACAGGGAGACACGGTGAGACACAGGGAGACACGGTGAGACACAGGGAGACACGGTGAGACACAGGGAGACACGGTGAGACACAGGGGGACATGTGGGAGACACAGGGAGACACGGTGAGACACAGGGAGACATGTGGGAGACACAGGGAGACACAGGGAGACACGGTGAGACACAGGGAGACATGTGGGAGACACAGGGAGACACGGTGAGACACAGGGAGACACGGTGAGAGACGGGGAGACACGGTGAGACACGGGGAGACACGGTGAGACACAGGGAGACATGTGGGAGACATGCAGTGCATGAAGCCCACTCGCATCGCGCACTCCTCCTGTGCAGACACAAGGAAGATATGAGACGCAGCAAATGGCACGCAGTCATACACGACAAACACACGCGGGCCGCACGGGACCAAGGTTTAAGAGACATACGGGACACAAGCTGATGACTAAGCAGACACCGCACGTGTCCCACATGTGTCTCCGTGTCTCTGTCTCCTGTCCCCGTGTCCTCGTGCTTCCACGTCTCCATTCCCCCGTATCTCCATCTCCACCCCCCATCCCATATCCCCGTGTCTCCGTCTCCCCCATCTCCCCCTGCCCCGTGTCCGACTGTTCTGTGTCTCCGTCTCCTCCTGTCCCTTGACCCCCTGGCCCCTGTCTCCCCCTGTCCCGTGTCCCCGTGTCTCACCTGCAGGAGGCGGTGCTCCTCAGTAGCGAGCTCCAGGTACCTCGCGTCGTCTCTCTCCACTCGCTCCAGCCGGTCCCTCGCCTGGCGCAGCTGAACCTGGAGCGCGTCGACCTGGGCCTGGGCCGCGCGCACGGCCCCGCGTGCCGCTAGGAACACCCCCTCCGCCTGGGGGATGGCCACAACCACGACATCCCAACATAGGACCACAGAGCTTGGGCAAATTGTTGGCGCCGGTTCCGAGCACCTTCCCAAGCACCTGTCTCGTTTCCCATGCCTCGGTTGGGAAACCACCACCACCTCCAGAACTGCTACCATCATCAGAACTGCTCACATCACCACCAACCACCACAACCAGAACTGCTACCACCACCACCACTGCTCCCACCACCACCACCACCACAACTGCTACCACCACTACCACCAGAACTGCTTACCACCACCACAACCAGAACTGCTACCACCACCACTAGAACTGCTACCACCACCACCACTGCTCCCACCACCACGACCACCACCACAACTGCTACCACCACTACCACCAGAACTGCTTACCACCACCACCACTAGAACTGCTACCACCATCACTAGAACTGCTACCACCACCACTAGTACTGCTACCACCACCACTGCTCCCACCACCAGCACCACAACTGCTACCACCATCACTAGAACTGCTACCACCACCACTGCTCCCACCACCACGACCACCACCACAACTGCTACCACCACCACTAGAACTGCTTACCACCACCACCACTAGAACTGCTACCACTATCACTAGAACTGCTACCACCACCACCACTGCTCCCACCACCACGACCACCACCACAACTGCTACCACCACTACCACCAGAACTGCTTACCACCACCACTAGAACTGCTACCACCACCAGAACTGCTGCCAGCACCATCACCACCACCACTATCACCAGAATTGCTACTACTATCACCAGAATTTCTATCACCATCACTGCTACAACCACCAAAATACCACCACCTCCTGTGCAGCAGCAATGATCCGCGATACAATACCACTATAGCGCTTCAGCACCCACGCCGTCCACGGCACTCAAGTAGTGTACTTCATTATACATGGTACCATGCCCTCTAGTACTCCATCACACGTGGTCCCACAGTACTCTGGTACTCCAGTACCCTGTGGTACCATGCCCTCTAGTACTCCATCACACGTGGTCCCACAGTACTCTGGTACTCCAGTACCCTGTGGTACCATGCCCTCTAGTACTCCAGCACGCGTGGTCCCACAGTACTCTGGTACTCCAGTACCCGGCGGTCCCAAGGGTACCTGCGTCACTTTGCTCTGCGCGTCTCGTAGCTCCGTGAGGCCCACCACCTCCTCGTAGCGGCTCCACCACTGGCGGCCGGCACGGGCCGCGCGCTGCGTGGCCACGCGGAGCCCCGCGCTTACAGTGGCCACCAGGTCGGGAACAAGAGCTGGGCCCCCCGGAACAGCTGGGCCCCCCGGAACAGCTGGGCCCCCCGGAACAGCTGGGCCACCCGGAACAGCTGGGCCCCCCGGAACAGCTGGGCCACCCGGAACAGCTGGGCCACCCGGAACAGCTGAGCCACGGGAAACAGCTGGGCCCCCGGGAACAGCTGGGCCACCCGGAACAGCTGGGCCCCCCGGAACAGCTGGGCCACGGGAAACAGCGGAACTCGAACCCGAGCAGAGACGCCGCAGCCCCGGGTGCCACGGACCCGGAGTAACTCGGCCCCGGCATGAGAACATGGCGTGCACTGCCCGGTATATCCCAGAGTCCCGAGGAGGTCGAATTTGAGCCGAGGTTCAAGGGCGGCCCGGCCCCGGTCTCGCCCGCCGAGTTCTGCCCCCGGTTTGCCCGGGTCCTCTGATCGCCCCGAGCGCCACCCGCAGACGACCGGGTCCCCTTCGTCTCAAGGCCTTGAGTTTGACCGCTGAAAATCGTCCGGCTCCCACCCCCCCACCACCCCGAGTCCCAGGTTGGACTCCCGTTGCCTTGGGGTTCCTGGTTCCTGAGTCAAATGATGCCTTGGGTCAACTCCAGAGTCCTAAGGGGGTTGAGTCACAGACCCCAAACCGGGACCCCCGAATTCACGGGTCCCGAGGTTCGATCGCCACTTCCCCAGTCCAAGGGTTTGAGTCCCACCGGCAAACTTCGAATGCCTCGGTCCGACCCCGGTGTCCCCGGTCCCCCTTGCTCCCGGTGCCTCGGTCCCCTTTGCTCCCGGTGTCTCGGTCCCCCTTGCTCCCGGTGCCTCGGTCCCCCTTGCTCCCGGTGTCCCCGGTCCCCCTTGCTCCCGGTGTCCCCGGGCCCCCTTGCTCCCGGTGCCTCGGTCCCCCTTGCTCCCGGTGTCCCCGGTCCCCCTTGCTCCCGGTGTCTCGGTCCCCCTTGCTCCCGGTGTCCCCGGTCCCCCGCGTCGCTGGGTTCAATCTCGACCCCGGGTCCCCCTTGACACCTCGGAGGCCGGCTAGGAAGTGACGTCATTCCGCGCGGGGGGTTGGTGGGGGGGGGGCGTGTCCAGCGGTGACGCCTGCCGGAAGTGCATCCCTGTAAACAGCTGATTCAAATTAGCGCGCACGTGTGCGGCGGCGCTGCGGCAGCGGCGGGTGACCTCACGCGCGACTCTGACCTCTACGGCCACCCTGACCTGACCCCTACGTGACCCACAACTCCCCCCCCTCCCTCTCTTACCCCCCCCCCCCAGCCCCGTCTTCACCATCGACAGCATTCGCGGCAGCTGCGGCCTAGCGCTGCCTCGAGCCTTGCCGGCGCTTGCCAGGGTTGGCCGCCGGCGCGCGAGAACGCGGCCGAGACCTCCGGGCGGCGCGGTGATGCGGGGTCCCCGGGTTCCCACCGCGCCGCCGCCGCCGCCGCGGGGCCGGGGAGGTGGCGGAGGAGGCGCGGGCGGTGGGCCCCTGGCCGCGCCGTCGCTGTCGGCGCGACCGCTGCTGCTGCTGGCGGCGTGGGGCCACGAGGCGCTGGTGCTGGGGTTGGTTCGGGCGCGGCGCTCGCTGCTGCGCGCCGCGCTCGCGGGCTCCGTGCTGCTGCTACTGCTCTGGGTGTCGCTCTTCCTCTACGGCTCTTTCTACTACTCGTACATGCCGGCCGTGAGCTTCGAGGCGCCCGCGCACTACCACTTCAGGTAGCGGGGCCCTGGCCCTCACCCGAGCCGCCTGGCTTCGCGAAGGAGGGAGACGCATGCGAGGAGGGGGAGACGTGGAGACGCAGGGGTGGAAGGGGACTGAGGGGGGGGAGACACGAGGACGCCTCTGGGACCGAGACGGGACTAGAGCAGACGCGCCGAGACGCAGGCGGAATGTGCTGTACGCGGGAAAGAGAGGCGAGGGGGACGTGGAGACAACGCGGCATTGCGCGGGACGTGAGCGGGGGAGACGCAAGAGGGACACGAGGGTGGAGACGTGGCGAGGAGTTACGGGAGACACCGGGGGACACCACAGCCAAGACGCAGGAGAAACGAGGGAGCAGTGGGGGGGTGGAGCACACACAGGGATAACAAGGGAGGCACGGGACTGGGGGGGTGACCCTTGGACGCACGGGGGACACGGGACCGAGGAGACCATACCAGTGGTGGTGGTGGTGGGTGGGGGGTGCAGGTGCATTGTGTGTGTTGACCTGTCCCGCGACCTGCCAGCAGCCAGGCTCCCAGACACGACGGCAACCTCAAAGTGCACCTAGCCTGGCACGAGCTGTTGTGTCACCCTCTGTGTTGTCCCCAGGTCCGACTGCCCCCGTCTCGGGGAGGAGCTGTGCTCATTTCCCGTGGCGAACGTCTCGCTCACCACCAACCACGGGCGTGACCAGGTCACTCGCACACACGAGACAAAGATACCCCGTGTAGCCTGCACAGACTGTTGGGGCAAGTGCTGTTAGCGAGCACTAGTGAAGGCCGACACGACACCTACGAGGCGGTGGTGTGGTGAGAAACACGCCCAGCCGCCTTTGCCTCCCCAATTATGATGTTTATATTCTGCATTAGGTATTCGTTTGAGGATGAGTAGACGTAGGGGAGGACCGGGTCCAGTTGATTATGATGTTCGGGACCCTGTATCACGCATCTCTGGAGTTGGTGGTGATGTTGATGATGACGTAGATGGTAATGATGTTGACGGTGATGCTGTAGACGGTGATGATGTTGATGGTGGTGTTGATGATGTAGGCGATGATGTTTGGGACCCCGTACCACATCTCCCTGGAGTTGGTCCTCCCCGAGTCTCCGACCAATCAGCGGCTGGGGATGTTCATGGTCGTCATGGAGACGTACGGGCGTGGAGGCGAGAGTCTGCAAACAGCAGAGCGCGCGGTACTCACGCATTGACAGTACCTGCTACAATACAGTAAGTCCTCCTTTAACACGGTAGATGCGTTCCTGAAAAGTGCGTTTCAGCAAAAACAATTTCCCCATGAATAATGTAACAATCAAGTTTGACCAGATGCGATCAACTACGCATGCACAGCGAGATGGTGGGACAAACGACTGGGGGTACGCCGCCGCATTACCGTATCATTCCGTGTTCTGTATCACCGCTCCGCTCGGCCGCGCAGCTGAAGAAAGTAGTTCTTCATCGACTGGTCCGAGAAACCGCGTAATGACGGGCGTGTCCCGCATTATAACGGGGCTCGTTCCACGTTATAACGGTGCGCGTTCTGCCTCATGATGGCGTGCGTTACGCATTGTGCGAAAAGTGTTCTCTAATGGAAGAACCGCGTTGTAGCGTGAACGCCACTTGTTAAGCGAGGACTTACCGCACACTTCACTACACGACACAGTATTTACTGTCAGCAGAGGCATGCAAAACAAAGCCAAAAATCCCCCGTGTAGCCTTAACAGACTGTTGGGGCAAGTGCACCTATGAAAGCCGGTACGGCACATAAGGGCATGTGTGGCCAGCACCACCCCCGGCCGCCTTTGTCTACCTTGTGGCGACATGTACACACAGGACCAGGTACTCATTTGAGGCGAAGTCGACCTAGGGGAGGCCTATCACCGATTAAGATAATCGTCACCGGTATTGGCCGTGAGCGAGAATCGAATTCGAGTCACTGCGTTTGTAGTGCAAAGCGCTAACCGCTGCGCTACCTCTCCCCACAGTATTGGCATACACACACATTAGCGATGTTGTGGCCATGGTGGTGGTTGTGCACGTGATGCAGCAGTGCCACTCGTGGTACTGGTGCAGGTGATGTAGCGGTACCGCCCGTGGTTATTGCGGTGGTGCAGGTGATGTAGCGGTACCGCCCGTGGTTGTTGCGGTGGTGCAGGTGATGTTGCGGTACCGCTCGTGGTTGTTGCGGTTGATGGAGACAGTGGTGAACGCACCGCTGCTGCTCGGCGGTTGGACCGAGCAGAAGCAAACGCTTGACGTCAACTTCTACTCGGACTACCGGGAAAACGCGGTGAGCAACCACAACCACCACCACCACGCACAGCCACAATACGCACAATCGCATACAACCACAACCAACCACACGCAGCCACAATACACACAATTGCATACATTCGCACACAACCACAACCACCATGCACAGCCACACGCAGCCACAATACACCTACACACAATCGAACACAACCACTGCACACAACCACCACACGCAGCCACAATACACAGAATCGCATACAATCACACACAACCACAACCACCATGCACAGCCACACACAGCCACAATACACCCACACACAATCAAACACAACCACTACACACAACCACCACCACCACACAGCCACAATACACCCACACACAATCGAACACAACCACTGCACACAACCACAACCACCACACCCACGATACACCCACACACAATCACACACAACCACCACGCACAGCCACCCACAGCCACAATACACCCACACACAACCACAACCACCCTTTCATAGGTGTGCCGTGCCAGCCTTCATAGGTGCTACTCGCTAATAGCACTTGCCGCAACTGCCTGTGTGTGCTACATGGGGGATCTTTGTCGTTGTGTGTGTGTGTGTAGTACCGCCCCACGTGGGGGGCTCTGGTTGAGATTCGCGCGCGCAGAGTGGAGATCTACTCGGCAATCGTGCGCATCCATGCACGCTTCACGGGGCTTAGGTGACGCCACCATCACCACGATCAGCACCACTATCAGCACCACGATCAACACCACCACCACTACTACCATCAACACCATCACCACGATCAGCACCACTATCAACACCACTATCAACACCACCACCACTACTACCATCAACCATCACAATCAGCACCACTATCAACACCACTATCAACACCACCACCACTACCACCAACAACACCATCACCACGATCAGCACCACTATCAGCACCACTATCAGCACCACTATCAACACCACCACCACTACCACCAACAACACCATCACCACGATCAGCACCACTATCAGCACCACTATCAACACCACCACTACCACCACGCCACCATCACCACCATCACCACCATCAACACCACCACCATCGCGACCATCAACACCACCACCATCACGACCATCAACACCACCACCATCACGACAATCAACACCATCACCACCATCAACACCACCACCATGAACACCATCATCACCATCATCCACAGGGCTCAGGTGACGCCACCATCACCACCATTGCCACCACCATCATCACCATCACCACCATTGCCACCACCATCATCACCATCACCACCATCGCCACCACCATGATGAGCGGTGACTGCGCCAAGTTGTGCACTCATGGTGATGATGGTCCTGTGCCTCTGGTTCAACTCGTCTGGTTGTTGAGTCGTGCTTGTGTGTGGTTCCCGTGTGTGGTTCCCGTGTGATTGTGGTCGCCGCGTGTTTTGCCGTAGGTACCTGATGTATTACTTCCCCGTGACGTGCGCACTCGTCGGAGTTGTGAGTAACTTCTCGTTCCTGCTTGTGGCCGCGCTGCTCTCCTACCTTCAGTGGGGGGGGGGCAGGCCTCCCGACAACATCCGCGTGCAGGTAAGGGGGCATGGGGGGCATGGTGGGGGGGGGGTGGTACGGGGGCTTGGGGGGCACCGGGGGTGGGGGACACAGGGAGGGGGCAGAGTGATGGGAGTGAAATGATTCATGGGAATGATTGATGGTGGTGATCGTATTGATGGTGGTGATGGCATCCCTCACCGCAGGTGGACTTCCGGGAGGGGGTGACCCCCATAACTACCTCAACCCCAGGGACGACTCTGAGACAACGGCGAGACGCGCTGAGACAGCGGAGAGACGGTGAGAGAGAGAGAGATAATGTGAGCGAGATGGTGAGAGTGAGAGATGGAGACGTTAAAGAGAGCGGGGAAATAGTGATGGTGAGATGGTGAGCAAGTATGCATTTGTGCATGTCTGTTAACCTCTGTGCATATTTGTGTACCTGTGTGTTCATAAGTGTATACCTGCATGTGTGTGTAGTTGCATGTGTGTGTGTGTACCACCGAGGTGACATCACTACCACTTCGTGGCGAATGGTGACGATTGTTGTGTGTACCTGTGTGTGTATCTTTGTCTTTCTGGGTGGAAGGCCTATTCCAATCGGCTTTTTCCCATCATGGTGCTCATAGCCAACACAGCGACAAATGGGGCCTCTGGACGGTGCGACGGGCAGGTGACCAATCCACCTTCAACTAAATTACCACTAGACCAGGATATAAATCGCAAATTAAGTTTGTGCCGGAGGTCCTGGGAGATGGGCATCTATGGCGTCCCCTGGCCAAACCCCATTTTGGCGGAGCCAGGAGACTGAACCTTGGGGTTCCTCCAGATTTGGCAAAAAGCCACTGTGAGTGGTCACATGGAATGCGCAAAGACTCAGTGTGGAGGAGATGCTGCCACTCCTCTGTCGCGAGCTGGACCAGTACCGCCTGAATCTCTGTGGTATTCAGGAGGTCTGGTGGACTGATTCTATCTCTGGTCACTATGAGGTTTTGACAGTCCTCTACTCGAGGCAGAAAACTAGCAAACAACAGGGAGTGGCTCTTCCTCTGAACAAAATAATGAAGGGAGCGTGGCAGTGAGGTGTGAGAGGCTGTGAGTCCCAGGGTACTGTGGGCTCGCCTTCCCATCAACCAGAGGCGAGGAGTGGTGGTCGTGGTTATTTATGCCCCCACCGAAGATGAACATCAGTGGAGGGATGCAGGCAAGGCCGATGAGTCAGATGCCTTCTATGACCTCCTGTCACGGGTGCTAGCTAAAATGGCCCCTCGGGATATAGTCATCCTGTTGGGTGCCTTTAATGCCTGAGTTGGTCATGATGCAGGCACCTGGGCTGGAGTAATTGGCATGGTCCAGATCAGCGAAATAACCATGGTAGGAGGCTGCTAGACTTCTGTGCAGCCCATGGGCTTGAAATTACCAACACGCTGTTCCAGCATCGGCGCATCCACAAATTATGGATGCACGCCAGGTCCAAGTAAGAACATCTGCTGGACTACATGGTGATGGAACAACAGATGCGGGCCCATGTTCTTGACATCAGGATCTACCAACAGTGGCCTGGTCTCAGCTGATGAAAGTTGCAAGTGAGTATGTCATCATCGCTTGGAGTTGCGGTTGGCATCCTCCCCCCCCCCTCCTCTTGATGCTGAGGGGAAATGGGCAAGGTTTAGTACTGTGGCTCATGCAGCTGCAATGGCTGCTTTGGGTACGCGGTCCAAACCTCCCCTAGAGATCCTGACGGAGGAGGTGTTCCAGCTAGCTTAGAAAAAGTAGCAGGCCCACTCCTACCATCTACAGCATACCACGTCAGAGAATGAGAAGTGGTGGTTGTGGGTTGTTGAGGAGATGAGATCTGTCTCGGTAGCCCATGATCACAAATCGCTCTTTAATTCCATTAGCACCACACCTATCACCATCCTTCGGGGGAAAGACCGGTGATCTGATCTCTGATCCCCAGGAACAGGTTTGCAGGTTTGCTGAGCATTTCTGTGAGATCTTGGGTAAGGGGAAATCCCTCAGCCCAGAAAACATCATGGGCAAGGTGGGGATGACCCTGCTGAAGCTGCTGTGCCTTAAATAATGGAAGAAGTAGTCACTCCCTGTGAGTGGCTGGCTGAAGTGCCATCAGTTGGGGGAGTGTGGAACGCGATCCAGAGTCTGAGAACAGGAAAAGCGCCAGGCAGAGATGATCTCCCAAGCAAACTGCTGATGGAGGGTGGCATGTTTGTTGACATCATTACAACAGTCCGGACCACTGGACAGGTTCCGCAGGATTGGAATGATGCCCTGGTGGTCCACCCTTCAAGAAGGGGGACCGACCGCACAGACTGTAATACCTACATGGGTATCTCCCTCCTCAGTATGCCAGGAAAGGTCCTGGCAAGGATTATTCAACATCACCTTGCCAGGGCCGCTGAGGGGAGGCTTGCAGAGCCCCAATGTGGTTTCAGACCAGGGCGGTCCTGCACAGATGCCATATTTTCTGTACGTCTGCTACAGCAGAGGTGTAGGTGATTCCAACAAGACCTCCATCTCTGCATTATTGACCTGGTCAAGGCCTATTTATACCATCAACAGGCCAGGGCTTTCAGTTGTTCTTCGTGCTTTTGGAGTCCCGGACCCTCTGCTCACAATCATTAAGGACCTTCGTGATGGTGGCCAGGCCCGGGTAAAGCAACGTGGCCGGGCTTCAGAGCCATTCCCTGTTCACCTTGGGGTGTGACAGGGATGTTCTCTGACTCCTAAATCATTAAAAAAAATGTTGACCACATAGTTCGGGAAGCCTTTCATGGCTGTACCGGAGGAATTTCCGTCCGGTCTAGATGCAATGGGAGGCTGATCGATGACCGGGTGCGGTCGAGGGATGGCTCGGTGCTGGTTAGAAACATTTAGGCTGGCCTGCCTACGATCTATCCTGGGTTCAACCAGGCTGCATGTGTGAGGAGCTCACAAATCCTTGAAAGATCTGGACACAGTCACATCGGTGAGCTCCTCTGGCAGGCAAGGCTGTGTTGGCGAATGGCGGTTGTTATTGTCGTGTACCTGCGTATGTGTGTATCTGATTGTGTCTTTGTAACTGCGTCTGTACCTGTGTGTGCGTAGAACTGACTGCTGGACAAACGCTGCTGACACCGGCAGGAACAGGTGACACACACAGAGTCACTTGGGGTCCCCCTCCTCCTCCCCCTCTTCCTCCTCCCCCCCCCTCCTCCTCCCCTCTCCTCCTCTTGCTGGTGATGGCCATTTTTTTACCTTTAGGGTTATTGGCAGCCAACGACATTGTTCATGATTAATTATTGGGTTAGGAAATGTACCGATCTGGCCGTGATTGTCTCATAAGGCCCTCCACCACCCGACGCGGCCAAACAAATAAAATCGTCACGTGGTGCACAGGCGTGCAACGGCGCGCGGCTTGTGATCGTGTCAGTTCAACTCACCCGATGGTGAGTAAGGGAGTGATTCTCACACACCAGGCGAGTTTGAGAGTGATTCTCAAATCACCTGGTGTGATAATAGTGTGAGTTAGAGAGATGTTATCACCCGGTGAGTTAACAACTCGCCTGGTGAGTTGGAGAGCAATTCTCTCCGAATAATCAGTTATGAATGAGAATCGTGATGTTTTCACAGGCCGTGGTGGTCATGGTGATGGTAGTGGTGATAGTGGCGGTGATGGCGGTGATAGTGGTGGCGGTGGTGATGGCGGTGGTGGTGGTGGGGCCGTGCTGGAGACGCTGGGAGTTCACTCGTCTCTGCCGCTCGTTCGAGGTAACACTGGTGGTGGTGGTGGCGGTGGTGATGGAGGTGGTGGTGATGGAGATGGTGGTGATAGTGGCAGCGGTGATGGCGGCAGTGGTGGTGATGGCGGTGATGGTGGCAGTGGTGCTGATGGCGGTGGTGGTGATGGTTGCGGTGGTGGTGGTGATGGTGGCAGTGGTGGTGATAGTGGTGGTGATGGCGGTGGTGGTTGCAGTGGTCGTGATGGTGGTGGCGGCGGCAGCGATAGTGATGCTGGTGGTGGCGGCGGCGGTGGTGGTGGGGCCGTGCTGGAGACGCTGGGAGTTCACTAGTCTCTTCCGCTCGCTCGAGATCACGCCAGCGGCGGCGGTGGTGGCCATGAGGGTGATTTGCGACGTCCCGTTAGCCGATCCCTCCCGACCCCCCCACCCGCTAACCCCATCCCTACCCCCACCTCCTCCAGTTGCCGTGGGGACCACGGAGGAGGCCACTGCCGTCGTCGCCACCGACGACACGGAAGAGGGTGACGCCCCCCTCCTTGCGACCTCTGACCCGGAGCAGGGGTCACTCAGGCAGCGTCACGTGACCTCGCTTACGCACTTCCCCCCTAGCCCATCGCCCCCCCCCCTCAACTATGACCCCTGAACACTTGACCCACGGCCCTGTACTCTGACCCAGTGCCCTGCACTCTGACCCAGTGCCCTGCACTCTGACCCAGCGCCCTGCACTCTGACCCAGCAGTGCCCTGCACTGTGACCCAGCGCCCTGCACTCTGACCCAGCGGTGCCGTGCACTCTGACCCAGCGCCCTTCGCTCTCTGTGATGCTTGTGGCAAGAGCCGTGGCGATCTGCCAGTCCCAGTGCATACTTAAGACTGTTACAGAGCTCCCTCAACCCCCTCCTCTCCCCTCTGCACGTTCGCGATTGCTTGAAAAAATATAAACAAATAAACTCAAATGACCCGATGGTGACCCACGTCTGCCAATGTCTCCGACGCCCCCTCGGGGGCTCTTCAGCCTTGTCTAGACCACCAGCTCCAGAGTGGGGACGCGTGACCGTACATTCGAAACGACCGCCGACGCGGCGGAGGGCTGGGAACGTGGCCGCATGAGTGAGCGCTCGGGTCTCCTGGGTAGAAGGGGGCCTGGGTTCGATCCCCGACTGGGTCCGCTACCCCTCTCTGGCCAGTTTGTACGTATGTATGTTGAACTTCTTTCGCACCATACGTAGCCAATCATGCTTGCTAATCGGTAGGTGCGGGAAAAGTTGTTTCTCCCCCTGTTCTGCATGGGTTTTATCTGTGTAGTGACAGAATAAGTGGTGTAGCAGCATAGCGCTGGCTGCTGGCGGGGAAGGGGATCTGCGGCTTACAGCAGCCCTGACGTCAGCGGGCCACGTGATACACTAGAGGGGATGTCTGGGGGAAAGGTTACAGAAGGAGCACACGGGGAAGCCCCGGGAATCCGCTGGTAGGTTCTAGAGAGGGGGCGTGGCCAGGGCGGAGCGAGGCCACGCCGGGAGCATAAAAGGGGGTCCCTGAGCGAGAGCTCGGGGCTGTCGTTTGGAGTGGGATCCCCGTCGTGCTGTTGAAGATCGTCGCTGTCTTCACTCGACATTGCGCTGCTAGACGGTAGTTGGCTGTCTCGGTTCAGCGCCGTCGGTGTTCGACGGCTAGCGTTGTGTATAGGCTAGCGACCCACGTAGCGTTGTGGATAAAGCGAGCGACAAGAAGAGTGTTGACCAGCGTAGGGGGTGTGTATTGTGCGAAGGGTGCTCGGTTAAATAGAAGTGCCTCCAACTCTTAGTGTCTCCGAGTTAGTCCACTACATCTGGATTCTCCAGTTCCTATAAAAACACAGTACCCAGGAGAGCCTCATCGAATCTCAAGTCTCATGTTTAGGAGGGTCCTGCCAGGTTTGTCGCAGCAATCGGGGGCGATGCTGCTGCTGTGTGATCCCAGTTGAAGAGTTTTGCAGGGAATGTCAACTTTGGGGATGTGGTTTGGCCGATGCCAATTCCGCTGTGTGTGGGTTTAGCTACGGGAGGAAGCAGGAGAACCCGGAGGAAGCCGACTCAGAACAGGGGGAGAAGATCGAAAATCTGAAGTCGTCACTTTTAGAGCTTTGTGCAGACATGGGACAAGTGCTGTAAGCGGGTAGCAGCAGCTATGAAGTCTGCCACGGCACACGAGGGGGTGGGTGGCCAGCACCATGCCCGGTCACCTTTTGACCCCGCAATGGTCATGTTTACACACCGCACCAGACACCCATTGGAAGCTTAGTCGACTCAGGGGAGGTTCAGGTCTGGTTCAACTATTCGGCACTGATATCAGCCGTGAGCAGGAATTTAACTGGCTGCCTGGTTTTTTCGCGTAGCGCACGAACAACTTCACCACCGCTCCCCATTCTCACTGCAGAACAGGGGGAGAACAAACTCCACACAGAGAGAGGTGCCCAGGTTGAGAATCGAACCCAGGGGACTTCTCGCTGCGAGGCGCATCACCGCTCACTCGCTCTCACTCACTCGCTCTCTGTGCAGAGCTGCATCAGTGTCATTGAAGAGGAGAGAAGAGCGACACGGGCCCGTGACGGCATCACTGGTTTATTTGCCCTAGAGGCCTCTTGAGTGGCACACACACACAGGTTCAGTACACGAGGCCCCAACAGTCTGAATATTCCTGCTCATAAACACCGCGATTGGGTACGTGCGCGTGCGTGTACGTGCAAGCGTTGTTGATATTCAGGGTCGCTGGCCCAGCAGTAGTAGCGCCTTCACTGCAAGTTGCGGGGACTCGAGGTTCGAACCTGGCAGGCCGCCCTGGTTAATACTGCGGTGGTGCTGGGTATTATCCATTAAAATACTACCACTCCGCGTCGTCCACCGCACTCGCAATGAACGTTAAACATCCTGTAATGTGATTTGCAAGCTCGGCCCACTTTGTGCCCGAGCCTGCAAAGCAGCAGCATCGCCCACCACCCGCACCACCCCCTCACCTATACCACTACTCTGAAACTACCGCGGGCTGTGTCTGTGAAATGGCGGCAGGGCCTTGCGGAGTGTGACGCTCCCAAAGAGGCAATCGTCACAACCCCCCCCCCCCCCCCCATGGTGTTCATTGTGGCTACGTCCGTTTCCCCCCGCCCACCTCTGGCACACCACATCCAGGACGAATCTACCCCTGCTACGGGCCTGTGCCCACTAAGCCACTTTGCCAGCCTACTCCAGTCTTAAGCCTGCGACCCAGGATACATTTGCCGACCCGGCACACCACATCCAGTATATCTCGCCTCGACCTGTGGCTACGTTCCGCTCACCACGAACCTCCCCCCCCCGCAACTCGGTCGAGCGCTCGCCTGCAAACTGTTTGGTGATAAATTATGCACAGGCTGCAATACTACAGCCCCCACCCAAAGCAATAGAGGGCCCTCCCACAACTTCCATCACACAGATAAATGCAGGGCTGCCTCACCACCCTCCCACCGGGGCCCCCTTCTGGTTTCACGATTGTAGCGCCCCCCTCCCCCCCCACTGTAAGAGGGCGACCGTCTCCCGCTGCTGCCTGTAAACAATAACAAGAGGCGGCTACACAACCAGTGAACGCTGTGCACGGTGAAGAGCGGAGTGCGGCGGTCCCTCGTTAATTCGCGGCGAGTGATGTGTTCCGGTAGATGCACGCGAACAGCAAATTTCGCGGATAATCAAAATCGGCCTACGAAAATCTTTTTTTTACGAATTACCTTAAATAAATACAGAAATCGAATCACTTTATGTCTCTCTCTCGATGCAGCAGTCGCGGAGAGTTCCAGATGCGATTCGCGGATAGCCAAAACCGCGGACAGCGAGTTCGCGAAGAACGAGGGAATGCCGCACACGCGGTAAATGTCGCATCACGGTCGCTCGCGAGGGCCGCAGAAATCTCGCGCTCGCAGCCACCGTCACGAATCCTCGTCCAGTTCCAGGGTCACGCCACGTGCTCTGGTACAGCGGTAACGGTCCTGGCCGGATTTTCTGTCGGGAAACTCCACCACTTGACACGGCCAAACGAATGTAATCGTCACTTGGCGCACAAAGCCGTGGTGACAACGCGCCGATTATGATGGGGCCAGCTCTCCCACCAACACTTCCACTCACCCACACTCCTGCCCACTCACCCACCCCACACTGCTACCCACTCACCCACCCACACTGCTACCCACGGACCCATACACTCACCCACCCACACTCCTGCCCACTCACCCACCCACACTGCTAACCACACACCCACCCACACTGCTACCCACGCACCCATACACTCACCCACCCACACTGCTAACCACACACCCACCCACACTGCTACCCACGCACCCATACACTCACCCACCCACACTGCTACCCACACACCCACCCACACTGCTACCCACACTGCTACCCACACACCCACCCACCTACTCCTACTCACTCGCCCACCCATCCACACTGCTACACACTCGCCCACCCACTCACACATGCGCTCACCCTCTCATCCACCCACCCACTCAACTCGCCCGGTGAGCCAGAGGACTAATCCTCACGGCCAGGTTCAACAGCGATCAGGTCCACACCACTTCAACGGACGCTGCGTCTGCAGGCCAGGAGCCCGGGACGTGGACGAACGGCCACGCATGGTCACACCGCGCGGTGACTGAATTCGCTTTGGCCGTGTCGGGCGGCCGGGAGGGTGTCGCAACTCGATTCTGGCCAGGATTGTGCGTTGCCACGTGGCCCAACCCAGAAAACCCGGTGGACGACGAATCGTCACGGGTGTCGCTGCACGTTGGCCACCCACACAGCTCCTCCATCAGCCGACGCTATCAGCGGTGTACAAGCACAGACAACAACTTGTGTCTACAACAATAACAACGCCGCCGCCGCCGTGTGCGCGTGCATGGCCTTAAAACGCAACTTAAATAGCAGGCGACGTTTTGGACGATGGCCCTTCCCTTCATCGCACACACAGAGTGAGAGAGAGGCCGTTAGTGAGAGCGGGTGATGGTGACGTACGGCTGCTGATGTAGTCGCAGAGCGAACAACTACAATCTCATATCCAGGTGGTCAAGCCAGATAGCCGCGTCGGCAGCACCGGGGCGTGTCGCTGTGATGTCTCCTTTATATTTGCGGATTGGGCATTGCGTCGTTGTACGTTGTACACGGTCTGTTCTGGATGAACAAAGTCGCACACAACTGGAGCGTTTTTAATTGTCCAAATGTGCATCAGGCATCCGCATCTGCTATGGTTTGGTTTGTACGGATGCGGTCGAGGGTGGACAATGAGCTTCGTGGAAGATCAAAACCAGGAACTTTGGAGATGATGATGATGATAATGATGATGACAATGATGATGACAATGATGATGACAACGATGATGACAATGATGACGACGATGACGACGATGACGACAATGATGATGATGACGACAATGATGACAATGATTACGATGATGACGACAATGATAATGATGATGACAATGATGACGACGACGATGATGACGATGACGACGATGACGACGATGATGACAATGATGACGATGATGACGACAATGATGATGATGATGACAATGATAATGACGACAATGATGATGATAACAATGATGATGACGACAATGATGATGATGACAATGATGATGACAATGATGACGACAAGGATGATGATGACGACAATGATGATGATGACGACAATGATGATGACAATGATGATGACAATGATGATGATGACAATGATGATGATGACGACAATGATGATGATAACGACAATGATGACGACAACGATGATGACGACAATGATGATGATAATGATGATGACGACAATGATGATGACGACAATGATGATGATGACGACAATGATGACGACAATGATGATGATGATGGAGGCTACTCGATGACACCGCGGGCATGGGGGAGCCTGCGGAGAATTGCGTCCAAGTTCGCCGGTCGGCGTGAATTTTAAAATCATCGTCCGAGTGACCTCTCAGGCGGACAGGCTGACCCTGACTCTCAACTGCAGCCTCACCCGCCAGCGCGCCCTTACAGCGTCTCAATGATGCCTTCGCAGTCTCTGAACCACGGCTTCATGGGGTCAACGACGGGGCACAGCGCATCACCTAAAGCCTCGTAATATGACCTTAGGGGCCGTCCATAAATGACGTCACACAATTTGGGACGATTTTTGACCCCCCCCCCTCGTCACACATCGTCACAAATGTCTGACCGCCCCCCCCCCCGCCTAGGTGCGTGACGTCATTTATGGACGGCCCCTTACAGTCGGTCCGACCTACAGTCCCAGCCTGACCTACAGTCTTGCAGTCTGAACTACAGTCGGGATTAACCATCGTCTGAACTACATATAGTCTGACCTGCAGCCTTAGTCTGACCTACTGCCTCACATCCTGACCAGCAATTGCACAGTCTGAACTAGAGTATCGCATTCTGAACTACAGCCTGCGCTACACATCATTACAGCTTGACCGGGAGTCTCAGCCTGCTTTACAGCCTCACAGCCTATCCATCCTGCAGCTATCACAGCCTCACCTACAGCCATCACAACCTCGCCTACAGCCATCACAGCCTCGCCTACAGCTATCACAGCCTCGCCTACAGCTATCACAGCCTCGCCTACAGATATCACAGCCTCGCCTACAGCTATCACAGCCTCACCTACAGCTATCACAGCCTCGCCTACAGCTATCACAGCCTCACCTACAGCCATCACAGCCTGCCCTACAGCCATCACAGCCTCACCTACAGCTATCACAGCCTCACCTACAGTCATCACAGCCTCACCTACAGCTATCACAGCCCCACCTACAGTCATCATAGCCTCACCTACAGCTATCACAGCCTCACCTACAGCTATCACAGCCTCACCTACAGTCATCACAGCCTCACCTACAGCTATCACAGCTTGCCCTACAGTTATCACAGCCTCACCTACAGCTATCACAGCCTCGCCTACAGCTATCACAGCCTCGCCTACAGCTATCACAGCCTCACCTACAATCATCACAGCCTCACCTACAGCTATCACAGCCTGCCCTACAGTCATCACAGCCTCACCTACAGCTATCACAGCCTCGCCTACAGCTATCACAGCCTCACCTACAGCTATCACAGCCTCGCTTACAGCCATCACAGCCTCGCCTACAGCTATCACAGCCTCACCTACAGCTATCACAGCCTCATCTACAGCTATCACAGCCTCGCCTACAGCCATCACAGCCTCGCCTACAGCTATCACAGCCTCACCTACACCTATCACAGCCTCACCTACAGCTATCACAGCCTCGCCTACAGCCATCACAGCCTGCCCTACAGCTATCACAGCCTCGCCTACAGCTATCACAGCCTCGCCTACAGCTATCACAGCCTCACCTACAGCTATCACAGCCTGCCCTACAGCTATCACAGCCTCGCCTACAGCTATCACAGCCTCACCTACAGCTATCACAGCCTCGCCTACAGCCATCACAGCCTCGCCTACAGCGATCACAGCCACGCCTACAGCCTCACCTACAGCTATCACAGCCACGCCTACAGTCATCACAGCCTCACCTACAGCTATCACAGCCTGCCATACAGATATCACAGCCTGCCCTACAGCCTCACCTACAGCTATCACAGTCTCACCTACAGCTATCACAGCCTCGCCTACAGCTATCATAGCCTCGCCTACAGCTATCACAGCCTCACCTACAGCTATCACAGCCTCGCCTACAGCTATCACAGCCTCACCTACAGCTATCACAGCCTCACCTACAGCTATCACAGCCTCGCCTACAGTCATCACAGCCTCACCTACAGCTATCACAGCCTGCCCTACAGCTATCACAGCCTCGCCTACAGCTATCACAGCCTCACCTACAGCTATCACAGCCTGCCCTACAGCTATCACAGCCTCACCTACAGTCATCACAGCCTCACCTACAGCTATCACAGCCTCGCCTAAAGTTATCACAGCCGGGCCTACAGCTATCACAGCCTCACCTACAGCTATCACAGCTTCACCTACAGCTATCACAGCCTCACCTACAGCTATCACAGCCTCGCCTACAGCTATCATAGCCTCGCCTACAGCTATCACAGCCTCGCCTACAGTTATCACAGCCACGCCTACAGCTATCACAGCCTCACCTACAGCTATCACAGCCCGCCCTACAGCTATCATAGCCTCACCTACAGCTATCACAGCCTGCCCTACAGCTATCACAGCCTGCCCTACAGCTAGCACAGCCTCACCTACAGCTATCACAGCCACGCCTACAGCTATCACAGCCACGCCTACAGCTATCACAGCCTCACCTACAGCTATCACAGCCTCACCTACAGCTATCACAGCCTCACCTACAGCTATCACAGCCTCGCCTACAGCTATCACAGCCTCACCTACAGCTATCACAGCCTCGCCTACAGCTATCATAGCCTCACCTACAGCTATCACAGCCTGCCCTACAGCTATCACAGCCTCGCCTACAGCTATCACAGCCTCACCTACAGCTATCACAGCCTGCCCTACAGCTATCACAGCCTCACCTACAGTCATCACAGCCTCACCTACAGCTATCACAGCCTCGCCTACAGCTATCACAGCCACGCCTACAGCTATCACAGCCTCACCTACAGCTATCACAGCTTCACCTACAGCTATCACAGCCTCACTTACAGCTATCACAGCCTCGCCTACAGCTATCATAGCCTCGCCTACAGCTATCACAGCCTCGCCTACAGCTATCACAGCCACGCCTACAGCTATCACAGCCTCGCCTACAGCTATCACAGCCTCACCTACAGCTATCACAGCCCGCCCTACAGCTATCATAGCCTCACCTACAGCTATCACAGCCTGCCCTACAGCTATCACAGCCTGCCCTACAGCTATCACAGCCTCACCTACAGCTATCACAGCCTCGCCTACAGCTATCACAGCCTCGCCTACAGCTATCACAGCCTCACCTACAGCTATCACAGCCTCGCCTACAGCTATCACAGCCTGCCCTACAGCTATCACAGCCTGCCCTACAGCTATCACAGCCTCGCCTACAGCTATCACAGCCTGCCCTACAGCCTCACCTACAGCTATCACAGCCTGCCCTACAGGCTATCACAGCCTCGCCTATAGCTATCACAGCCTGCCCTACAGCTATCACAGCCTGCCCTACAGCTATCACAGCCTGCCCTACAGCTATCACAGCCACGCCTACAGCTATCACAGCCTGCCCTACAGCTATCATAGCCTTGCCTACAGCTATCACAGCCACGCCTACAGCTATCACAGCCTCACCTACAGCTATCACAGCCTCGCCTACAGATATCACAGCCTGCCCTACAGCCTCACCTACAGCTATCACAGCCTGCCCTACAGCTATCACAGCCTCGCCTACAGCTATCACAGCCTGCCCTACAGCCTCACCTACAGCTATCACAGCCTGCCGTACAGCTATCACAGCCTCGCCTACAGCTATCACAGCCTGCCCTACAGTCATCACAGCCTCACCTACAGCCTGAGCACCACACCGCCACCCAGATGGCCACACACACCGACGTGCACAATGAGGCTCAGGAGGGGGGGGGAGGAGGCTCCTGCCCAGTGGAAGATGGGGGAGGGAGGGGGGCACAGGAGGTGGGAGGGCTGGGGGGGGCAGAGGAGAAGGCACGGGGATCAGCGGAGGGGGCAGGGGGGGGCGGGCTGCGTGTGTTCCACCCCCCCCCCCCGGGGGAGTTCGTCCTGTGCTTCTCTGCGTGCGTGTGTACACTCGCACACAAGCACGCACACACGCACGCTCTTACGGGTATACGCGTGTAGGTATACGCGTGTGCGTGTGTGCACGTGTACACACACACAGGTATACGCGTGCACGTGTGTACACTCGCACACAAGCACGCTCTTACGGGTATACGCGTGTACGTGTGTGCACGTGTACACACACGCAGGTATACGCGTGTACGTGTGTGCACGTGTACACACATGCAGGTATACGCGTGTACGTGTGTGCACGTGTACACACACACACACAGGTATATGCGTGTACGAGTGTGCACGTGTACACACACACATACAAGCATACGCGTGTACGTGTGTGCACGTGTACACACACACATACAAGCATACGCGTGTACGTGTGTGCACGTGTACACACACACATACACAGGTATACGCGTGTACGTGTGTACACGTGTACACACGTACAAGCATACGCGTGTACGTGCCTCGTACATACGCAAGCACACACACACACACGTACATACGTACATAACTGTGTGTGTGTGTACGCGTGCCACACTCACGCACACACGTACACGCGCGTGTACACGTGCGCGCGCTAGGAGCGTCTGTGTGCAGACTTGCGAGCCTGGCTCTTGGAGCCTCTGCCCGAGGCCTCCTCACTGCAAGAGACAACAACAACAACGACGATGACGACGACGATGACAACAAAGATAAATGTCCCGCAGGTAGCCCACCATGGCTGTCGGGGCAAGTGCTGTTGGCGAGCAGCACCTAACGTGGGAGCAGTGTGGTCAACACCGCGCCCTTAGGGCCGCGTTCGCCTCCACAACGGTGACGTTTACACACTGCACCAAGGGTCAACATAGATAGGGGAGGGCCCGGGACTGGTTCAGATGTTTGTCACCGATGTTGGTGGTTGTGAGTGGGAATGGAACTCGGGTCGTCGGATTCGAGTGCGGAAAACCGCGTGGACCGACGCTCCCCGCTGCTATGAAGTAAGGGGCCGTCCATAAATGACGTCACGCGATTTTGGACGATTTTTTTTTACCCCCTCGTCACACGGCGTCATAAAAAGTCAGACCCCCCTCAAATATGACGTCACAAAGCTCTGTCCCCACCCCCCCCCCCCAAAAAAAAAACATGCTTCAAATCGCTTTAAACTATTGTGATTGTAGTTGCGTATTTAATGTGGTGCTGCACTCTGATGTTGTAGGAGAAAACATTTATCAAAAAGTCCGTTTAATTAAGTAGAACGTGTCGTCTGGTCAGCACCACACCAAACCGCCTTTGTCTCCCCAGTGGAGATCTTTACAGACCACACCAGGTACTAATTTGAGGCTGAGTGGACCTGTAAGGTACACACACACACACAGGGAGGGGAGAGTCACCTGGTTTCCAGCTGTTTCAGAGTCGCTGACATCCGATTGGTCGTCTCCTCCAACTTCATCAACAATTCGGACTTCCTGCCTCCCACCTCCTACACGCACACACACGCACACACGCACACAGACAAAGGTCTCCCATGTAGCCCACGCACGTTGCTGGGGCAAGTGCTGGAAGCGAGCAGCACTTACGAATGGGCGGTGTGGCTCTGGTCGCCGTGTTCGCCAACCGCTCCGCACGCGCCACGCTCGCTCGCTCGCCCGCCCGCTCTCGACACCCTCGCTCACCCTCGCTCACCCTCGCTCACCCTCGCTCACCCTCGCTCACCCTCGCTCACCGGCTCGCCCTCACCCCGTCACTCACCCCCAGTGCGCTGCACATGTCACCCACGTGCGCCCTCAGGGAGGCGATGGCGTCCGCGCCGTCTTGCGAACGCGGCTCGGCGCGCTCCTGCAAGGCGCACATCACCATCGTCGTCGTCATCACCATCGTCGTCGTCATCACCATCGTCGTCATCACCATCGTCGCCGTCATCACCATCGTCGTCATCACCATCGTCGCTGTCATCCCATCGTCGCCGTCATCACCATCGTCGTCGTCATCACCATCGTCGTCATCACCATCGTCGCCGGCATCACCATCGTCGCCGTCATCAACATCGTCGTCGTCATCACCATCGTCGTCGTCATCACCATCGTCGCCGTCATCACCATCGTCGTCGTCATCACCATCGTCGTCGTCATCACCATCGTCGTCGTCATCACCATCGTCGTCGTCATCACCATCGTCGTCGTCATCACCATCGTCGCCGTCATCACCATCGTCGCCGTCATCACCATCGTCGTCGTCATCACCATCGTCGTCGTCATCACCATCGTCGCCGTCATCACCATCGTCGTCGTCATCACCATCGTCGCCGTCATCACCATCGTCGTCATCATCATCGTCGCCATCATCACCATCGTCGCCGTCATCACCATCGTCACCGTCATCACCATCGTCGTCGTCATTGTCACCTTCGGCACGAGCATCGCCGTCACCATCGTTTATCATCGTCGTCACCGTCATTGTCACCGTCGTTACCGTCGTCACCGTCGTTACCGTCACTGTCGTTACTGTCACCATGGTCACCGTCACCATCGTTACTGTCACCGTCGTCACCGTCACCATCACCATGGTCACCATCACCATGGTCACCATCACCATGGTCACCATCACCATCGTCACCGTCACCATCATTACTGTCACCGTCGTCACCATCACCATGGTCACCATTACCATGGTCACCATCACCATGGTCACCGTCACCATCATTACTGTCACCGTCGTCACCGTCACCATCACCATGGTCACCATCACCATGGTCACCATCACCATCGTCACCGTCACCATCATTACTGTCAGCATCACTATGGTCACCATCACCATGGTCACCATCACCATCGTCACCGTCACCATCATTACTGTCACCGTCGTCACCGTCACTATCACCATGGTCACCATCACCATGGTCACCATCACCATGGTCACCATCACCATGGTCACCGTCACCATCATTACTGTCACCGTCGTCACCGTCACCATCACCATGGTCACCATCGTTATCGTCGTCACCGTCACCATCATTATAATCACGAGCATCATCACATCACCTTGGTGTTCAGGCAATAAGAGGGTTCTTTGTATGATTGGAAGCTTTCGTCACTGCAGGAATCCATACTCTGTGGTTCTTTCGGTAAAGTCGCGTTGGTATAAAAAAAAATATTTAAAAAAATATCACGAGGTTTTGTGGCGCAACACAAGCGGTCGTCCTCAGGCTGGGCCGCTTTGTGTTGCCATCGAAACGTCGCGATATTATATTTATTATTTTATTTTATTTTTCTACCTACGTGACTTTACCGAAAGAACCAAAGAGTAGGGGTGTGTGTTTAGATGCGTGCCAGTCTGTGTGTGTGTGTGTGTGCCTGTGTGTGTGTGTGCCTGTGTGTGTGCGTGTGCCTGTGTGTGTGCCTGTGTGTGTGTGTGCCTGTGTGTGTGTGTGCCTGTGTGTGCGTGTGTGCGTGTGCCTGTGTGTGTGTGTGCCTGTGTGTGTGCCTGTGTGTGTGTGTGCCTGTGTGTGTGTGTGCCTGTGTGTGTGTGTGCCTGTGTGTGTGTGCCTGTGTGTGTGTGCCTGTGTGTGTGCCTGTGTGTGTACCAGTGTGTGTGTGTGTGCCTGTGTGTGTGTGTGCCTGTGTGTGCGTGTGTGCCTGTGTGCGTGTGCCTGTGTGTGTGCCTGTGTGTGTGCCTGTGTGTGTGTGCCTGTGTGTGTGTGTGCCTGTGTGTGTGTGTGCCTGTGTGTGTGTGTGCCTGTGTGTGTGTGTGTGCCTGTGTGTGTGTGTGTACCAGTGTGTGTGTGTGTGCCTGTGTGTGTGTGTGCCTGTGTGTGTGTGCCTGTGCGTGTGTGTGCCTGTGTGTGTGTGTGTGCCTGTGTGTGTGTGTGCCTGTGTGTGTGTGTGTGTGCCTGTGTGTGTGTGCCTGTGTGTGTGTGTGTGCCTGTGTGTGTGTGTGTGCCTGTGTGTGTGTGTGCCTGTGTGTGTGTGTCTGTGTGTGTGCCTGTGTGTGTGTGTCTGCCTGTGTGTGTGCCTGTGTGTGTGTGTCTGTGTGTGCCTGTGTGTGTGTGTGCCTGTGTGTGCCTGTGTGTGTGCCTGTGTGTGTGTGCCTGTGTGTGTGTGTGCCTGTGTGCGTGCCTGTGTGTGTGTGCCTGTGTGTGTGTGTCTGTGTGTGTGTGCCAGTGTGGGGAGCGGTAGTGTAGCGGTTAGCGCTACGCTGCGCTATGAACCCGGCGACACGGGTTCGATTCCCGCTCACGGCCAACACCAGTGACGATTATCTGAACCGGTCCCGGGCCTCCCCTAGGTCGACTCAGCCTCAAATGAGTACCTGGTGCGGTGTGTAGTAAACATTGCCACTAGGGAGACAAAGGCGGTCGGGCGTGGTGCTGGCCACCCACCCCCTCGTGTACCGTTCCGGCCTTCATAGGTGCTCGCTAACAGCACTTGCCTCTACAGTCTGTTAAGGCTATATGGGATCTTTGTGTATGTGCGTGTGTATGTGCGTGTGTATGTGCATGTGTATGTGCGTGTGTATGTGCGTGTGTATGTGCGTGTGTGTGTGCGTGGGGGTGTGTATCTGTAGGTGTACGTGGGTGTGTGTGTGTAGGTGTGTGTGTGTAGGTGTGTGTGTGTAGGTGGGTGTGTGTGTATCTGTAGGTGTGCGTCTGTGTATATGCGCGCGTTTGTGTGTATAGGTAGGTGGGTGTGCGTGCGTGTGTGTAGGTAGGTGTGTGTGTATCTGTAGGTGTGTGTGCGTGTCCTCACCCCGTGCTTCTGATGTTCTCCATCAGAATCAGACTTCCCAGTCTAGAATCAACACCATCACCGACATGATCATTACCACCATCACCGACATCAATACCAACATCATAATTACCACCATCAGCAACATTATTACCACCATCATCAATATCATCATTACCACCATCACCAAGCTCATTACCAATCATTACCAACATTATCATAACCATCATCAACATCACATCGTCAACACTGTCATCACCACCATTACTATCACCATCACCATTAAGACCACCATACATCAAGTATGTGTGCGTGTTTGTGTGTGTGTGTGCTGTGTGTGTGCCTGTGTGTGTGCGTGCCTGTGTGTGTGCGTGCCTGTGTGTGATGTGTGTGTGTGCGTACCTGTGTGTGCTGTGTGTGTGCGTGCCTGTGTGCGTGCCTGTGTGTGCTGTGTGTGTGCGTGCCTGTGTGTGCGTGCCTGTGTGTGCTGTGTGTGTGCTGTGTGTGTGCCTGTGTGCGTGCTGTGTGCGTGCCTGTGTGTGCTGTGTCTGCGTGCCTGTGTGTGCTGTGTATGTAACAACCCCCTACCTCCTCGCGGTGCCGAACGGGCAACTCTGTCGTGGACAGTGCTGTGGGGGGAGGGCCATTTCCGATTGGCTTCTCCCCTCATGGCGTCTGTGACCACCACAGTGGCTAAACGGGGGCTCTGGACGGGTGCGAGGGGCTGGTAACCCCTCCACCTTCAATTAATTACCACTAAACCACGAGTTAAACTGAAATATGTAACTAAAAGCTTGTGTTGGAGGCCCCGGGGGGACAGGCGTCTATGACGTCTCCTGGCCAAACCCCAATTGGCGGAGCCAGGAGATTGAATCTCTACCCTCGGGGCTCCTCCACAAACAACGAAAAGCCACTACGGATGGCCACGTGGAATGTTCGAACGCTCACTGCGGAGGACAGACTGCCACTCCTCTGTCGGGAGCTGGACCGGTACCGCCTGGATCTCTGTGGCATTCAGGAGGTCCGGTGGACCGGTTCTGGCTCCTGCCACCATGAGGGGTGGACAGTCCTCTACTCGGGGCAGCAGACTGCCAAACAACAGGGTGTGGCTCTTCTTTTGAACAATAGAATGAAGGGGGCGTGGGAGCGTGGCGGTGAGGTGTGGGAAGCTGTAAGCCCCAGGCTACTTTGGGCTCGCCTTCCCATCAACCGGAGGCGAGAAGTGGTGGTCATGGTTACTTATGCCCCCACCGAAGACGAACATCCGTGGAGGGATGCAGGCAAAGCCGATGAGTCAGATGCCTTCTATGACCTCCTGTCACAGGTGCTGGCTAAAGTGGCACCTCAGGATAGAGTCATCATGTTGGGTGACTTCAATGCCCGAGTTGGTCATGATGCTGGCACCTGGTCTGGAGTGATTGGAGGGTATGGGCCAGATCAGCTCAATAACAACAGTAGGAGGCTGCTAGATTTTTGTGCAGCCCATGGGCTTGTAATTGCCAAAACGCTGTTCCGGCATCGGCGCATCCACACAACATCATGGATGCATGCTGGGTCCAAGCAAGAACATCTGCTGGACTACATAGTGACGGACCAGCGGATGCGAGCCCATGTCCTTGACACCAGGACCTACCGTGGAGCTGATCTACCCTCTGACCATCGACTAGTCATCTGGAAGATGCGCCTGCCATTTTTCCACTCCGGTGCTGGGTGTACACCCAGGACCCCATTCCAACCTAAAGTGGCCTGGTCTCAGTTATCTGATGAAAGTTGCAGGCGAGAATTTAATCATTGCTTGCGGCTGGGATTGGCATTGTCCCCCACTCCTCCTGATGTCGAGGGTAAATGGGTGAGGTTTAGGACTGTGACTCATGCAGCTGCAATGGCTGCTTTGGGTACTTGGTCCAGACCTCCCCAGAGACCCTGGCTGACAGAGGAGGTGTTCAGGATGGTTGAGAAAAAGCGATAGGTCCACTGTCATTGGCTACAGAATCCCACGTCAGAGAATGAGGAGGCTTACCGCAGCCTTCGCTCGGAGGTTCGGAGAGCCGTGAGGCGCTGCAAAGATGGGTGGTGGTTGCAGGTTGCTGAGGAGATGGAGTCTGCCTCAGTGGCCCACGATAACAAATCTCTATTGAACTCCATCAAAAAAGTAACCTGCAGCGCCACACCTATTACCATCATTAGGGGAAAAAAACGGTGATCCAATCTCTGACCCCCAGGAAGAGGTTTGCAGATTTGCTGAGCATTTCTGTGAGGTCCTGGGGGAGGGAAAATCCCTCAGCCAGGAAAACATCGTGGCACAAAGTGAGGATGACCCTGCTGAGGCTGCGGTGCCTCAAATATTGGAAGAAGTCACCCCCTGTGAGTGGCTGGCTGAAGTACCATCTGTTGAGGAAGTACTGAAGGCGATCTGGAGTCTGAGACCAGGAAAGGCAGCGGGCAGAGATGATCTCCCAAGCGAAATGCTGAGGGTGGCGTTTGTGCACAGACTGCCCTATATGACATCATAACAACAGTCTGGACCACTGGACAGGTTCCGCAGGATTGGAAGGATGCCCTGGTGGTCCCACTCTTTAAGAAGGGGGACTGCACAGACTGTTACAACTACAGGGGCATCTCACTCCTCAGTGTGCAGGGAAAGGTCCTGGCAAGGATTATTCAACATCGCCTCGCCAGGCACGCTGAGGAGAGGCTTGCGGAGCCCCAATGCGGTTTCAGGAAAGGGCGGTCCTGCACAGATGCCATATTTTCTGTCCGTCTGCTACAGTAGAGGTGTAGGGAATTCCAACAAGACCTACATCTCTGCTGTATTGACCTGGTCAAGGCCCTATGGTACCATCAGTAGGCCTGGGCTCTGGGTTGTTCTTCGAGCTTTTGGAGTCCCTAACCCTCTGCTCACGATCATTAAGGACCTTCATGATGGTGAGCGGGCCCGGGTAAAACTACGTGGCCGGGAGTCAGAGCCATTCCCTGTACACCTTGGGGTGCGACAGGGATGTCCTCTGGCTCCCACATTATTTAACATCTATTTTGACCACGTAGTTCGTGAAGCCTTCAATAGCTGTACCGGGGGAATCTCCATTTGGTACAGATATAATGGGAGGCTGATCGATGCCCGGGTGTGGTCAAGGGATGGCTCCCTATTTCTCAACCACGTTATGTATGCTGATGATTTGGTAATAGCTGCTCATTCAGAGGAGGAGTTGGAGACGCTGCTGCTGAGGCTGGAGTGTGCCAATAAGAGATGGGGCCTTACCATCAGCCCCACCAAAACTAAGCACCTGCCTGGGTATTTTGTACCATCGGACAATCCACCCCCACAACTCCCAATCGGTGATGGGGCAGTTGTGGAGAGAGTGAAGAGTTTTCCATACCTGGGCAGTGTGCTTATGACCGGATCCAGTTTAACAGCAGAGGTCTCACTCCGAATCAGTCGAGCAGCAATATCTTTTCATCGGTTGCGTAACACTCTGTGGAAGCGACCTGGTCTGTCGCTCCGCACTAAGCTTCAAGTCTTCTCAGCCACGGTCATTCCCTCCCTTCTCTACACTTGCGAAACGTGGACCCCCTTAATGGAGCATCTTCGCCGGTTGGAAACATTTAGGCTGGCCTGCCTACGATCCATCCTGGGTTTAACCAGGCTGGACTGTGTGAGGAGCTCACAAATCCTTGAAAGATTTGGGCAGGGTCCTATCGGTGAGCTCCTCCGGCAGGCAAGGCTGCGTTGGCTGGGTCATGTAGCCCGCATGCCCAGCCACCGCATGCTGAAACAGCTTTTGTTCGGCCGGATCGAGGGGGCTAAATGGGCGCGGCACGGGCTAGAGAAGAGATGGAGTGATGTGGTACAGGAGGACGTGGAGCTAAGTGGACTTGCCGATGACTGGTACCAGCGCTGTCAAGATCGGCCTCTGTGGAGGAGGCTCGTGAAGGACGCTATTGGGCAGTTGGAGGCAGTCGCCCTCCAACAACAACGGAGGGCGGAGGAGCGACGTTCACAACAACGAGCGGAGCGCCGGGTGGCTAAAGCACAGCAGGTTGGCACAGTAGGGGGCACAGGTGGTGCACCAGCCAGTCATCTCAGTCAGTCGACCCGTGGCACCTGGGTCTGCCCCGTGACCTCCTGCCAGCGGGCATTCGACACTTCACGTGGCCTCAAGGTGCACATGGCCTGGCACAAGCGTCGTGATGACGTCACCGCCACTTAGTGGCGAATGGCGGTTGTTGTTGTTGTGTGTGTGTGCTGTGTGTATGTGAGTGTGCTGTGTGCTGTGTGTGTGTGCTGTGTGTGTGCGTGCCTGTGTGTGCTGTGTGTGCTGTGTGTGTGTGTGTGCTGTGTGTGTGTGTGCTGTGTGTGTGTGCTGTGTGTGTGTGCCCGTGTGTGCTGTGTGTGTGTGAGTGTGCTGTGTGCTGTGTGTGTGTGCTGTGTGATGGTGCTGTGTGTGTGCTGTGTGTGTGTGCTGTGTGTGTGCGTGCCTGTGTGTGCTGTGTGATCTCCGCCCGCATGGCTTCATTCTCTTCTTCCATAGCAATCGAGCGAATCTTCTCTGAGCAGAGCTGCACGCACACAAAGAAAAATACCCCCCGTGTAGCCTTTACTTGCTGGTGGGGCAAGTGCGATGAGACAATAGCACCGAAGAAGGCTGGCACAGCACCTCCAGGGGGTGGTGGCCAATACCACGCCTAGCCACCTTTGTCTTTTGTTTGGACAACACCACAGGTACTCATTTGAGGCTGAGTCGACCTAGGGGAGGCCCAAGACTGATTCAGATAATCGCCACTGGTGTTGACTGTGAGCTGGAATCGAACTCGTGTCGCTGGTTTTGTAGCGGAGCACACTCACCGATTCACTACCACTCCCCACAAACACACAAAGACAAAGATCTCCCCTATAGCCTTAACAGACATTTGGGGCAAGTGCTGTTAGCGAGCAGCACCTATGAAGGCCAGCATGGCACACGAGGGGGTGGGTGAGCAACACCACGCCCGGCCGCCTTTATCACACACACATGCACACACACATGTTCAGACACACGTGTGTGTGTCTGTGTATATACTATGTACACAGACACACACACAGGTACACACGTACACCACACGTGTCCATACATGAGTATGGGCACGTGTGGTGAGTGTGTGGTGAGTGTGTGGGTGAGTGTGTGTGGTGTGTGTGTGTGGTGTGTGTTGTGAGTGTGTGGTGTGTGTGGTGAGTGCGTGGTGAATGTGTGTGTGTGGTGAGTGTGTGTGTGGTGAGTGTGTGGCGAGTGTGTGTGGTGTGTGTGTGTGTGGTGTGTGTTGTGAGTGTGTGGTGAATGTGTGTGTGTGTTGACTGTGTGTGTGGCGAGTGTGTGGTGAGTGTGTGTGTGGTCAATGTGTGTGGGGAGTGTTTGTGGTGAGCAGCGTCACTCACCTCCTCAGAAATCCGTGCGTTCTGTTTTTCCAATGCGTCCACCTTCAACTGCAGATTGTTCACCGTGAGCCTGCACCACCACCACGCACACACACACATATAAAGATCCCCCGTGTAGCCTTAACAGACTGTAGGGGCAAGTGTTGTTAGCGAGAAGCACCTATGAAGGCCGGCACAGCACACGAGGGGGTGGGTGGCCAGCACCACGCCCGGCCGCCTTTGTCTCCCTCTGGTGGCGATGTTTTATACACACCGCACCAGGTGCTCACTCGAGGCTGAGTCGACCTAGGGGAGGCGCAGGGCCGGTTTAGATAATCATCATTGATGTTGGCGGCCGTGAGCGGGAATCGAACTCAGAACGCCGGATTTCCTAATGCAGTGCGCTAACCACTGCGCCACCGCTCCCTAAGCACGCACGTGCACTACAATGTAGAATGGATCCAATTGGATCACCCTGGGTCCAAGGGTTCCCAGAGGTCTCAAGGGGTCCCGGGGGGTCCCAGGGGTATCTCAAGGTCCAAGGGGCTCTTAAGGGTCTCTGTGGGCTTCATGAAGGGTCCAGGGGTCTCTAGGGGTCCTGGGAGTCTCTGTGGGGACCGAAGCGGTCTCTAGGGGGTCCCTGTGGGGTCCCTGGGGCCTTACGTGAGGTTCCTGTTGAGCTCCTCCACGTAGTTCTTCTGGTCCAGGATCGCCGTGAGGTTTGCTCCACTGTGAAGGAGTCGTCCACAACATCAGCAACATCAGCAGCAGCAGCGTACGTGTGCATGTGAGTGAGTAGGTGAGGGAGAAGGTTGGTGAGTGGGTGGGTGGGTGAGTGGTTGGTGGTTAGTCGGTGGGTGAGTGGGTGGGTGGATGAGTGGGTGGTGAGTGGGTGGTGAGTCAGTGGGTGAGTGGTTGGTGGTGAGTGGGTGGGTGAGTGGGTGGGTGAGTGGTGAGTCGGTGGGTGGTGAGTCGGTGGTGGTGAGTGGTGAGTGGGTGAGTGAGCTCACCTGTCCTCCGGTTTGCTCGACTGCCCCTCCTTCAGGTAGAGCGAGAAGTCGATCACCCCGACCTGAGGGGGTGGGGGAGGGCAGTCGGGGGGGGGGGGGGGTTAACGATGACGACGATGTTGATGATGTTAACGATGATGATAATGATGTTCTGTTTGGTGCCGATGGCAATGCTGGTGTTGATGATGACACTGGTTGTGATAATCTTGACGATGATGGTGGTGGTGGTGGTGGTGGTGATGATGATGATGGTGATGTTGACGATGATGATCACGACGACGACGGTGGTGGTGGTGATGTCGATGGTGGTGATGATGTTGACGATGATGGCGGTGGTGGTAGTGATGATGCTGACGATGTTGAGGCTGGCGTGACTCACCTGGGAGTCAAGGTCCTCCCCCTTGATGCAGAGGTTGGCGTCGATGACGTTGAGACCGACGAGGAGCCCGGCGATGAGAAGGCCCTCCTCCTCCAGCATGAGCGCCCCCACCTCGTAAAACTCACTGCACCACCACCACCACCACCACACCTCGTCATCATCACCACCTATACCCACACATCTTCATATTTTCCAACACCCACACATTGCCATCACCACACGTCATGATCTCTTTCTCTCCATCACCACCCACACCTCTTTATCTGATCATCTCAAACGAAGACAAAGACCCCCCCCCCCCCCCCCCGTGTAGCCTTAACAGACTGTTGGGGCAAGTGCTGTTAGCGAGCCCCTATGAAGGCCGGCACGGCACACGAGGGGGTGGTTGGCCAGCACCACGCCCGGCCGCCTTTGTCTCCCTAGTGGCGACCTAGGGGAGGCCCAGGACCGGTTCAGATAATCCTCATTCGTGTTGGTGCCTGTGAGGGGGAATGGAACTCGGGTCGCTGGGTTCGTAGTGCAGCGCTAACCGTTACACTACCAGTGGTGAGGGTAGTGATGTTGATTATGGGGATGGTGTTGATGGTGTTGGCATTGTCGATGATGATGTGCCTGATTATGTTGCTGATGGAGGTGATGTTGATGATGGAGGTGATGTTGATGGTGATGTTGACGGTGGAGGTAATGTTGATGGTGATGTTGATGATGTGGTTAATGGTGGTGATGGCGGTCAGAGCGGTAATGTTGGTGCTGATATTACCTCAGCAGGTCTTTCCTGGCGATCAGGGCCTTCATGTAGTCGGAGAGCTTCTTCTGCATCAGAGCGAGGCGCAGCCAGGCCCGGGCACGTCCTTGGGGTGTCCTGAGTTACGCCGCACGTCACACCGCACCGTGTCACAACACACCGCGGTGGTGATGGTGATTGTGGTGGTGGTTGTAGTGGCGGTGGTGGTGGTTGCGGTTGTAGTGGCGGTGGCGGTTGTGGTGGTAATGATGGTGGCTATGGTGGTGTTGTTTATGGTGGTGGTGATTGTAGTGGTTGGTTATGGTGGTGGTGATTGTGGTGGTTGTAGAGGCGGTGGTTGCGGTTATAGTGGCGGTAGTGGTTGTGGTGGTGGTAGTGTTGGTGATCATGGTGATGGTTATGGTGGTGGTGGTTGTGGTATTGGTGGCTGTACTTGAGTCCCGGGAGGTCCCGCACGCTGGCTGTGATCTCGCTGGACTCGGGGCACAGGCGCTCCACCAGCTCCAGCGGAGCCCAGAACGACTTGGCCTGCCCCAGGAACGACTTGCGCACTGCGGCACACGCACACACACACGGGGCACAAACGTGATACATACACGTGGCACATACACGTGGCACACACACAGACGCGCGGTGCACACACACACACACCCATGGCACACACGTTCGGTACACACACACGTGGCACACACACGTGGCACAAATGTGGCACACACGTGATACACGCGTGGCACACACGTGATACACACGCACGAGACGCACGCACGTGACACTTAGGTGAGTGACTTATTTCAAGCCTCTCCCCCCCCCCTCCACCTCCCCCGCCCCTCACCCTTGAGGCCGTGCTTGAGGCAGTGCTCCATGATGACGAAGAACTGCTGCAGGGGCGCGTAGTCCGAGTCGAGGCTGCGGCCCAGGTTGAGCGCCGACTCGATAAGCCCCTTGATGCTCAGCTTGGCCATGTCCATGAGGCTCACGCGCTCCTGGCTCACGGCGTCGCGCGGCTCTGGGACAAGCGCAGCAGCGGAAGCGGCGGCGGCGGAGCCGCCACCACCACCACCCGCGTCAACCCCCGGTGCTCGCCCGCCCGCTCGCCCGCCCGCTCGCCCACCCGCCCGCTCGGCCGTTCACACGCACACGGGTGCGCTAGTCGCCCCTAAGTAACGATTGTCGCGCTGTGTAACGAAAGTCACCCCGAGTAGTCGCCCTGCGTAGCGATAGCCGCCCCTGCAGGTGAGCGAGCGTGAAAGTGCGCGTGGGTGAGCAAGGGTGGACGAGTGAGGGTGAGTGGGGATGGGTGAGCTAGAGTGAGTGGGGGGGGGGGCGGTGAGCGAGTGTGAGCTAGGGTGAGTGGGGTGGGGGTGAGTGAGGGTGAGCTATGGTGAGTGGGGGGGTGAGCGAGGGTGAGCGAGGATGAGTGAGGGTGAGTGGAGGCGGGGCCTCACCGTCACAGTAGCGGTATCGCGATCCCGAAGCATTTGGCTCCTCTGGGTCTGAGGGCACACACACACACACAAAAGTCCCCCGTGTAGTCCACACAGACCGTTAGGGGAAGTGCTGTTGCTGAGCAGCACCTATGAAGGCCGGCCCAGCAGCTGCGATGGGGGGAGTAAGGCCAGCATCACGCCGCCTACCCAGCCGCCAGTGACCACCACCTCACTGCGTTGTCCCTCTAGTTCAGTCTGTGGGTCTCTGTGGGTCTATGTGTGAGTCTGTGGGTCTCTGTGCGAGTCTGTGGGTCTCTGTGCGAGTATGTGGGTCTCTGTGCGAGTCTGAGGGTCTCTGTGTGAGCCTGTGGGTCTGTGTGTGAGTCTGTGGATCTCTGTGCGAGTCTGTGGGTCTCTCTGGGTCTCTGTGCGAGTCTGTGGGTCTCTGTGCGAGTCTGTGCGTCTCTGTGCGAGTCTGTGGTCTCTGTGTGAGTCTGTGGGTCTGTGTGTGAGCCTGTGGGTCTGTGTGTGAGTCTTTGGGTCTCTGTGTGAGCCTGTGGGTCTCTGTGTGAGCCTGTGAGTCTCTGTGTGAGTCTGTGGGTATCTGTGTGAGTCTGTGGGTCTGTGTGTGAGTCTGTGGGTCTCTGTGTGAGCCTGTGGGTCTCTGTGTGAGTCTGTGGGTCTCTGTGTGAGTCTGTGGGTCTCTGTGTGAGTCTATGGGTCTCTGTGTGAGCCTGTGGGTTTCTGTGTGAGCCTGTGGGTCTCTGTGTGAGCCTGTGGGTCTGTGTGTGAGTCTGTGGGTCTCTGTGTGAGCCTGTCGGTCTCTGTGTGAGTCCGTGGGTCTATGGGTCTCTGTGTGAGCCTGTGGGTCTCTGTGTGAGCCTGTGGGTCTCTGTGTGAGCCTGTGGGTCTCTCTGTGAGCCTGTGGGTCTGTGTGTGAGTCTTTGGGTCTCTGTGTGAGTCTGTGGGTCTCTGTGTGAACCTGTGGGTCTCTGTGTGAGTCTGTGGGTCTCTGTGTGAGTCTGTGGGTCTCTGTGTGAGTCTGTGGGTCTCTGTGTGAGTCTGTGGGTCTCTATGGGAGTCTGTGGTCTCTGTGTGAGTCTATGGGTCTCTGCGGGAGCCTGGGTCTCTGTATGAGTCTACGGGTCTCTGTGTGAGGAGTTTATGGGTCTCGTTCAGTGAGCCAATGCTGGTAGAACTGCCAGTCGACCTAGCGGAGGCCCAGGACCGGTTAAAATAATCGCTGCCACTGGTGGTAGTGGTGGTCGTGAGCAGGAATCAAACTCGGGTCTCTCGTTCGTAACGCAGTGGTAACCACTGCGCCACCGCTCCCCACACACACACACACGTGGCAGAGCAGGAGGAGGAGGAGAGAGAGGGGCGCTGCAGTGGCGAGATGTTATCTCCCTCGCCTGGTATGCAGGAGGTCGTGGGTTCGATCCCGACCCTGACGCGTGCTGTATTTTTAGAGTTTGGGGTGTCTCTTTCACCGTGGTGGTCACGTAGATTTTTCTGTGGGTCCCGCCGTTTTCCCCCTCGACATTTAGAATCAACATGGCGCGTTTAGAGTGTTAGCCTGCAATAATTTTCAACGCGATGATAAGCCACTTCGTTTAGCTATCATTTGTGGACGGGTCACTTTAAAAAAAAAGAGCTACGTAGCTTGCCGGGCCCTTACCTGATGAAGGTCGCACTCATTACACGCAAAGTACTCGCCACAGAGGAACCACAACACCTCGCTCACCGTGCCAAGGAGCATGAACCATCACACACACACTCCGGTCATCCTCGCAAACAAGCGGCTTTTGGCTTCTGCGGCATTCTGGAACACTCTTTCCTTCAGATATTAGGAAGCCACTGGAGCTGTGCACTTTGAAATCATCGTCTGCGAATGTCTTTAGAACTGCTTTGTTGCGTTTAGTTTTCCGCCCGTCCCCCGCACCGCGGATTAGCACGGTCGGCTACGTGCGGCGCGGAAGAAGTTCAACGTAATTTATACATAGCGCCTTGAGCAATGCGCTCGACAGGGGGGCTACAGTGGGGGGCGGGGGGGGGGGCGGGGGGGGGGGCGTTGGCAGCCAGCTGGGCAGGTGCCGGCCCCCCGGAGCGATGGCGAGGGGGGCAGCGGCCGAGGTCGCTCCACTTCCCTCGCCCACCCACCTGGGCCGCCGGAAGCCCCCCCCGGTGCCCCGGCGAGGGCCCCCCCAGCGCCGGCGGCCCCGGCCCCCGCGGCGGAGGGGGTCCTGGCGCCGTCGGGCGCCAGCGAGATGTCGTTGAGCTCGCGCAGGCAGAGCCACTCTCCGTCCACCGACACGCGGAAGTTGCACAGGTAGATGGTCTCGCGCGCTGACGCGGCCATCTTGTCCTGCAGCGGCGTGGGCAGCTCGGAGCCGGGGGGCGGGGGGGACGCGCCGCTCGCCATCACGCCTGCCGCACCATCGCCGCCGTCAACATCGTCGCCATCATCGACACGAGCGTCGCCATCACGCTCAGCCGCATCTTCAACGCCATTGACATCGTCACCATCGACGCCATTGATATAATCCAAATCATCGTCAACATCATCACTATCGTCATCGTCATCGTCAGCACCAGCTTCACCATCACCGTCATCGTCAACATCATCAACATCAACTTCACCATAAACATCAGCTTCACCATCGCCATCACCACTAGCTTTTCCATCAACACCATCAATACCAGCTTTACCATCACCACCAGTTTCATCATCAACACCATCTTCGCCATCACCAACAGCTTCACCATCAACACCATCAATACCAGCTTTATCATCACCATCAGCTTCACCATCAACACCATCTTCACCATCAACACCATCTTCACCATCTTCACCATCAACACCGGCTTCACCATCAACACCATCACCACCAGCTTCACCATCAACACCATGTTCACCATCAATACCGGCTTCCACATCAACACCATCTCCACCATCTCCACCATCAACACCATCTTTACCATCAACACCATCACCACCAGCTTCACCATCAACACCATGTTCACCATCAATACCGGCTTCCACATCAACACCATCTCCACCATCTCCACCATCAACACCATCTTTACCATCAACACCATCACCACCAGCTTCACCATCAACACCATGTTCACCATCAATACCGGCTTCCACATCAACACCATCTCCACCATCAACACCATCTTTACCATCAACACCATCTCCACCATCAACACCATCAACACCGGCTTCCACATCAACACCGGCTTCCACATCAACACCATCTTCACCATCAACACCGGCTTCACCATTAACACCATCTTCACCATCATCACCATCAAAACCGGCTGCACCATCAACACCCATCCTCACTGTCAACATCATGTTCACCATCATCACCAGCTTCACCATCAACACCATCTTCACCATCAACACCAGCTTCACCATCAACACCATCAACACCATCTCTACCATCTTCACCATCAACACCATCAAAACCATCTTCACCATCAACACCAGCTTCACAATCTTCACCATCAACACCATCTTCACCATCAACACCATCTTCACCATCAAAACCATCTTCACCATCAACACCAGCTCAGGGCTTGGGGTGGACGTGACGCGCCACTCGCCATCACGCCTGCTACTTCACCGCCATCAACACCATTACATTCATCACCAGCAACATTATCGTCACCACCGTCACCACCACCATCAACATAATAAGCACCAAAGACGAAGATCCCCCGTATAGCCGTAACAGACTGTTGGGGGAAGTGCTGTTAGCCGGCGCGGCACACGAGGGGGTGGAAGGCCAGCACCACGCCCGGCCGCTTTTGTCTCCCCAGTGGCGATGCTTAAACACCGCACCAGAAACTCATTTGAAGCTGAGTCGACCTAGGGGAGGCCCAGGACCGGTTCAGATAATCGTCACTGGTGTCAGTGGTGAGCAGGAATCGAACTCGGGTCGCCGGGTTCGTAAGGCAGCGCGCTAACCGCTGCATTACACCTCCCCATCACCACGCAATGATGGATGGAGTGAACGAGATGATGGGACGGAGTGAAGAGGAAGTTAGAGAATAAAGGTGATGGAGGGAGTGAAGGAAGCGATGGCTGGGAGTGAAGAGGTGATGGAGGTAGGGAGAGAAGGAGGCAGGGGAGAAGTGAAGCAAGTGATGCAGGGAGGGAGGTGATTGTGGAAGAGAGGGAGGTCATGGGAGTGAGGGGAGGTCATGGGGAGTGAGGGGAGGGAGGGAGTGAGGGGAGGGGGGAGTGAGGAGAGGGAGTGAGTGAGGGGAGGGAGGGAGGGAGTGAGGGGAGGGAGGGAGGGGAGGGAGGGGGGGAGGGAGTGAGGGGAGGGGGGGAGTGAGGGAGGGGAGGGAGGGGAGGGGGGAGGGAGGGGAGGGGGGGAGGGGAGGGAGGGGGGAGGGAGGGGAGGGAGGGGGGGAGGGAGGGGAGGGAGGGGGGGAAGGAGTGAGGGGAGGGGGGGGGAGTGAGGGGAGGGAGGGGAGGGAGTGAGGGGAGGGAGTGAGGGGAGGGAGGGGAGGGAGGGAGTGAGTAAGGGGAGGGAGTGATGGAGGTGAGGGAGGGAATTCGGCTGCGGATCCCAGTCTGGCCTTGATGATGATCGTGGTGTTGATGATGATCGTGGTGTTGATGATAATCGTGGTGGTGATGATCGTGGTGATGATGATCGTGGTGTTGATGATGATAGTGGTGTTGATGACGATCGTGGTGTTGATGATGATCGTGGTGGTGATGATCGTGGTGATGATGATCGTGGTGTTGATGACGATCGTGGTTTTGATGATGATCGTGGTGATGATGATCGTGGTGATGATGACGATCGTGGTGGTGATGATCATGGTGGTGATGATCGTGCTGGTGGTGATGATCGTGCTGGTGATGATTGTGGTGATGATGATGATGATCGTGGTGGTGATGATCGTGGTGTTGATGATGATCGTGGTGTTGATGATGATCGTGGTGTTGATGATGATCGTGGTGGTGATGATGATCATGGTGTTGATGATCATGGTGTTGATGATCGTGGTGATGATGACCGTGGTGATGATGACCGTGGTGGCGATGACCGTGGTGGTGATGATCGTGTTGATGATGATCGTGGTGTTGATGATGATCGTGGTGGTGATGATGATCATGGTGATGATGCTCGTGTTGTTGATGATTATCGTGGTGTTGATGATGATCGTGGTGATGATGATCGTGGTGTTGATGACGATTGCGGTGTTGATTATGATCATGGTGGTGATGATGCTCGTGTTGTTGATGATGATCGTAGTGGTGATATGATGATCGTGGTGTTGATGATGATCGTGGTGGTGATGGTCGTGAGGATGCTCGTTTCGTTGATGATGATCGTGGTGATGATGATCGTGGTGTTGATGACGATCGTGGTGTTGATGATGATCGTGGTGGTGATGATCGTGGTGTTGATGATCGTGGTGGTGATGATGATCGTGGTGTTGATGATGATCGTGGTGTTGATGATGATCGTGGTGGTGATGATGATCATGGTGATGATGCTCGTGTTGTTGATTATCGTGGTGTTGATGATGATCGTGGTGATGATGATCGTGGTGTTGATGACGATTGCTGTGTTGATTATGATCGTGGTGGTGATGATGATCGTGGTGGTGATGATGACCGTAGTGGTGATATGATGATCGTGGTGTTGATTATGAACTCGGTGTTGATGATGAACTTGGCGTTGATGATGATCGTGGTGTTGATGTTGATCGTGATGGTGATGATGCTCGTGTTGTTGATGATCGTGGTGTTGATGATGATCGTGGTGATGAGGTCGGATCTAACCCGGATGCAAACAAAACGATGTGAAGAAGCAAGCGATGGCGCCGATTATGCTGATGCTGTGATGATCAATTATTTGATGATACAGTAAATATGTATTAGTGATGCGGATGATCGTGCTGGTGTTGACGCAGTTGCTGCTGCTGATGCAATTCTAGATGATAACAATGCTGCTGCTGCTGATCATACATGGTACTGCATATACGATGATGATTTTACATCACGATGATGATATTGGTGATTGTGATCAAAAGGTGCTGCTCATGAATCAGCAATATTAACATCAGCAACAATACCCCCCCCCCCCCCCCCCCCCCCCCCCCCCATCAGCAACATACACATCGTCATGATCAATAAACATCATCACATCATCATCAGCATCAATGATATACACGTCGGCGGTGCTGATAACATTCTTGACGTGATGATAGTATTTATGATGTTGATGACGCCACCGCTGATGATGCTGATGACGCCACCGCTGATGATGATGTTGACGATGTTGTATGGCTGATGATGTTCTGTTGATGCTGCCGTTATCCCTGCTGATGGTGATGATGTTGTATCTCCGTTATTTATTGATGCTTCTGCTGTTAATTATTCTGCTGATGACGCTGCTATTGCTGATGACGCTGTTGGAGGTAATGGTGTTGCTGATCATATTGCTGATGATGCTACCAGCTGCTGGCAATTATATTGCTGCTGCTGATGATGATGTTATTGTTGCTGATGATGATGTTATTGTTGCTGATGTTATAGTTAATTATACCGCTGATGCTATAGCATGCCTTTGTTATTGCTGCTGCTACTGCTGCCATTACCGATGATGATGGTGCTGATGATGATGGTGCTGATGATGGTGCTGATGATGCTGCTGATGATATTGTTATTCGATGCTGCTGATGTTTAGAATCCTTTTGTTTAATTACTGCGATGCGTATGATGATGCTGCTGCTGGTGGTGATGGTGGTGATTTCCGACGCTATTAATAATGCTGTTATTGTAATGCAACGTTATGATGTTGCGACTGATGATGATGTTACTATTAATGATATTGCGACTGAGGATGTTGCTGAGGATGATGTTGATGAGGATGATGTTGATGAGGATGATGTTTCTGGGGATGTTGCGGAGGATGATGTTGCTAATGATGATGTTGCTGAGGAGGATGTTGCTGATTATGATGTTGGTGATGATGATGCTGATGATGTTGCTGATGATAATGTTGCTGAGGAGGATGTTGCTAATGATGATGTTGCTGATGATGATGTTGAGGATGAGGTTGCTAATTATGATGTTGCTGAGGATGTTGCTGATGATAATGTTGCTGATGATGATGTTGAGGAGGATGTTGCTGATGATGGTGCTGAGGAAGATGCTGATGATGGTGCTGATGATGTTGAGGAGAATTGTTGCTGATGATGGTGCTGAGGATGATGTTGCTGAGGAGGATGTTGCTGATGATAATGTTGCTGATGATGATGTTGAGGAGGATGTTGCTTATGATGGTGCTGATTATGATGTTGCTGAGGAGGATGTTGCTGATGATAATGTTGCTGATGATGTTGAGGAGGATGTTGCTGATGATGGTGCTGAGGATGATGTTGCTGAGGAGGATGTTGCTGATGATGGTGCTGAGGATGATGTTGCTGAGGAGGATGTTGCTGATGCTGCTGATGATGATGATGCTGATGCTGCTGATGATGGTGCTGATGATGCTGCTGATGATGATGGTGCTGATGATGTTGCTGATGGTGCTGATGATGATGTTGCTGATGCTGATGTTGCTGATGCTGATGATGATGTTGCTGATGATGCTGCTGATGTTGCTTACTCTCGCTCGTATTCCGGCAGTCTCCGCTCCCAACACAACCCACGGCCCCTCCTCAGTCGCCCAATTTTACAACAACAACAACAATCTAATTGTTGGCGATGCGCACTCACTCGCACTCTTCTGCTATACGAAAATATTATTGTGATGATTAATTTTTTATGATGACGATGATGATGGTACGGTATGTATAAATCTCTACTGTTATATTAGAGTGCAGTGTGATTCTTAATATTCGCTCTCTCTCTGTGTGTGTGGCCTCAGCTGTCTCTCTCCCTCCGCAGTGGGCGTGGCCACAGCTTCCGGTCACGCCCTACCCCCCGCCCAGGCTGAAACCCCCTCCCACTCCCCTGGAACCACGCCCCCACCCCCCTGTTGTTCTCGAGTCTGATCACGTGACGCCACCACGTGCGCCACGTGGTCTCCCCCAAACTCGACGCCCAACAGGAAAACAAATATCCATATTAGAGGGTGGGGGGGTGGGTGTTAGATCACGGAAATATATAAATGTGTCGTTAAAACCGCCACCACCCGACACAGACAACTAGTAAGGTCTGTCACTTTTACAAAACATGCCAATTCGTTACTCGTTCAGCACACCGGTGTGTTGGAGAGTAAACCCACAACATTTACAATTCGAGTACGACGTTTCGCCAGTAATTACAACTAGCATCATCAGGGGACAGACAGCTTGATGGTGCTAGGTGTAATTGGTCGCCGAGGCTTACGAGTAAGAAAGAATATTACACAAGTACAGTAAAACCTTGGATTGCGAGTGACTTGGTCTGCGAGTGTTTTGCAAGACGAGCAACATTTTAAAATAAATATTAATTTGATAAACGAGCGAGGGTCTTGCGATACGAGTAGTGTACGTATATACGCTTTTGTCTGCCGAGCATCACGTGATCACAACTGATACACGAGTGCTTTGATATACGAGTGCTTTGGATTACAAGCACGTTTCCGGAACGAATTATGCTCGCAATCCAAGGTTTTACTATATTTTGTTTGCTTACGGTGGGAAGATTCCACATTATCGTGACAGGGTCAGGTTCATCGACACCCTAACCAGCTCTGGAGCATGGTCTTGCACTGTGTCAGTGCTTACATTTCGAACGGTGAATTTATGATATAACATTCATTTACGTTAATGCAGAATTATTGATTTCTCATCACACAATTGTTTTTTTGTTCTGATTTATATTTAATTAATTCCCGCACCTCCGATTAGCACGGTTGGCTACGTACTGTGTTTAATGTTTTGTTGTTTTTTTTCCCCTTCACTTTCGTGACCCAGCGTCACTTTTGCGAAAGAGACTTCTCTACCCTGGTCTCTTCGAGCTCTCAACTGCAGGTCACACAGAATCAACTCGATAGTTCAATTTTAACGTGGGATTTTATTGAGGGACTGTGTGTTGTTTTGGTGTGGTCTGGGACACTGTTGTTTTACTGGCTGTTTCAAGCGTGGAAATTAATGTATGCATGCAAATTTAACCTATTTCTTTTATTTAAGGGGCGCCATGGTGGTGTGATGTTATCTTCACCGGCTGGTACGCAGGAGGTCGTCGGTTCGATCCCAACACTGGAGTTTGCATGTTCTCCCTGTGGTTCCGTGGATAGTTTGTATCCGGGTCCTCCGATTCCCCCCCCCCGCCCCTTAGATTTATAAACGTGCTTTTAGATTACAATATTTAGATTATTTGACTGCTATAAATGTGTACATACGCCATGTCGTTGAGCTATCATTTGTGGCCAGGTCACTTCTGAAAAAGCTCAAATACTCAGTGGGCTTTACCTGATTAAATAAAATAGTAAAATTGTATTTTTATATTATTATAAAATTGTATTTGTTTACCTTCCCGATACTTTCCACTCCTATCGTGGTTTTGTGTCGTTTGTCGTTCTCACATTTTGACCCACCCCGACTGGACATCTGTGAAGAAACAGCTTCATAGCTCATCGGATTCCTCCTGGAGTGTAAATAAGGATTCTGATTCTGAACGTGAACTCTTGAAGGGACTTAACACATAGACCAATAGTACCGTGGCATTAAAAGGAATATGACGTGTAAGGGGCCGTCCATAAATGACGTCATGCACCTGGGGGGGGGGGTCAGACATTTGTGACGATGTGTGATGAGGGGGGGTTTGAGAAATGTGACGTCACATCAAAATGCGCAACTTTAAATATAGACAAGTTCTACTTAACTTTTAAAACTTTTAAAATAGATGTTTTCTCCTACAACATCAGAGTGCAGCGCCACACTAAATACGCACTACAATGACAATAGTTTAAAGCGATGTGAAGCATGTTTTATATATTTTGGGGGGGGGGCAGAGCTTTGTGACGTCATATTTGAGGGGGGGTCTGACTTTTTGTGACGCCGTGTGACGAAGTTGGGGGGGGGGGGTCAAAAATCGTCCAAAATCGCGTGACGTCATTTATGGACGGCCCCTAATAGGTAACGTTTCGGGAAATGGTCCTTCAGCTGCAGTTCACTGAATATTCTTTTTTAAACACAGTTGCCGAGCACGGACCCTATAGGCCTCATACGCCAAGGGCCAGCAACAAACAGCACTATCAGAGTTGTATAATAGATAACAAGTGTAGCAATGTTTCTGTAATTAAGCGAGGTTATTAACTTGGGTTACAGAGACGGTGGTGGGAGGGAGGGAATTCTGAAGTGGAGCAGTACTAGAGGCGTAGAAAGCGAGGTGAGGGCGAGTGGATGGGTGGGTGAGAGCATGTTGCTGTGACCTGCAGTGTGGTGAGTGGGTGGGTGAGTGGGCGAGTGGATGGATGGGTGAGTGCATGAGTTGTTGTGACCGACAGTGTGGCGAGTGGGTGGGTGAGTGAGTGGGTGGGTGAGTGGGTGGGTGAGTGTGTGCGTGTTGCTGTGACCGGCAGCGTGGCGAGTGGGTGGGTGAGTGAGAGGGTGGGTGAGTGGACGAGTGGATGGGTGGGTGAGAGCATGAGTTGTGACCTGCAGTGTGGCGAGTGGGTGGGTGAGTGGACGAGTGGATGGGTGGGTGTGTTTCTGTGACCGGCAGTGTGGCGAGTGGGTGGGTGAGTAGGCGAGTGGATAGATGGGTGAGTGCATGAGTTGTTGTGACCTGCAGTGTGGCGAGTGGGTGGGTGGGTGAGTGTGTGCGTGTTGTTGTGGTCTGCAGTGTGGTAAGTGGGTGGGTGAGTGGGCGAGTGGATGGGTGTGTTGTTGTGACCGGCAGTGTGGTGAGTGGGTGAGTGGACAAGTGGAAGGGTGGGTGTGTGTGTGTTGTGACCTGCAGTGTGGCGAGTGGGTGGGTGTGGGCGAGTGGATGGGTGTGTGCGTGTGTTGTTGTGACCTGCAGTGTGGTGGTTGAACAGCGTGGTGGATGAGACGAAAGAGTCAGTGTCCTCAAAACGGTAGTAGCGACACGAGTGATAAGGAGGTGAGTGTCGCAAGCCTGCCATGAATTTCATAATCATGATCTGAAACGCGTATAACATACATGATGACCAGGTCATCACGTGGCCTCAGCCACCAATGAATGATGAATCAAACTAACGACAACAGTCCAGCCTGCCTCTGATGATGACGCGGGGAACAAGCATGTCGAACGTATAACTGGCTTTTTATTTGGAACTTTCACGTACGGTCTTCGTTATTTAACACATATTAAATAAACTAAAACAATAAGCCTCGATGGTTTCGCAAAATCCGGACGACACGATTGTCGTGGTTCTTGCATCTTATGTTGCACGCGGCACGAATACATCGTCGCATATCCGACTCGCCGGGCACTGCGGTACGGGCGGATTTGTGAACGTCCACCGTTACACGCCAGCACGTGCAATAATACTGCACCGAGGTGCAGGGCGGTTAATTGGTCAGGGCGGTTAATTGGTCAGGGCGGTTAATTGGTCGGGGCTGTTACGCGACGGTCGAATGACCGAACATCTTTGGAACATTTCTTTGTAGCGCCGCGCGCGGATACTGCACTGGGCCGATTGGCCTGTGGGTCAGTCAGTCGGTCAGGGAGGATAAGCTACGGTCGGATATGCGACGCTGTGAGCGTGACGCCGGTAAAGCAAACGGAGGGGGGATGGGGGACACACAGATCCTCCCCCTCCCATGTAAAACAAGACACACACACGCGATACACACATGCACCACGTGCACACACGTGCCAGTCTCAATAAATACATTGCATATATATAAAACACGTGCGCTGGCACGGTAACATGGAGTGCCGTGACGGAGTACGCGAGTACGCGGACTCGGAGAGAGTACGCGGACTGAGTACACGGACTCTGAGAGAGTACACGACTGAGAGAGTACGTGGACTCTGAGAGAGTACGCGTACTCAGAGAGTACACGGACTCTGAGAGAGTACGCGGACTCGGAGAGAGTACGCGGACTCAGAGAGTACACGGACTCTGAGAGAGTACACGGACTCTGAGAGAGTACGCGGACTGAGTACACGGACTCTGAGAGAGTACACGACTGAGTACGCAGACTCTGAGAGAGTACGCGGACTCTGAGAGAGTACACGACTGAGAGAGTACGCGGACTTGGAGAGAGTACACGGACTCTGAGAGAGTACACGACTGAGAGAGTACACGACTGAGAGAGTACACGGACTCTGAGAGAGTACGCGGACTCTGAGAGAGTACACTGACTCTGAGAGAGTACACGGACTGAGAGAGTACGCAGACTCTGAGAGAGTACGCGGACTCTGAGAGAGTACGCGGACTGTGAGAGAGTACGTGGAATCTGAGAGAGTACACGGACTGAGAGAGTACGCGGACTCTGAGAGAGTACACGGACTCTCTGAGAGTGTACACGGACTCTGAGAGAGTACGCGGACTCTGAGAGAGTACACGGACTGAGAGAGTACACGGACTGAGAGAGTACGCGGACTCTGAGAGAGTACGCGGACTCTGAGAGAGTATGCGGACTGTGAGAGAGTACGTGGAATCTGAGAGAGTACACGGACTGAGAGAGTACGCGGACTCTGAGAGAGTACACGGACTCTCTGAGAGAGTACACGGACTCTGAGAGAGTACACGGACTCTGAGAGAGTACACGGACTCTGAGAGAGCACGCGGACTCTGAGAGAGTACACGGACTCTGAGTACACGGACTCTGAGAGAGTACACGGACTGAGAGAGTACACGGACTCTGAGAGAGTACACGGACTCTGAGAGAGTACACGGACTCTGAGAGAGTACGCGGACTCTGAGAGAGTACACGGACTCTGAGTACACGGACTCTGAGAGAGTACACGGACTGAGAGAGTACACGGACTCTGAGAGAGTACACGGACTCTGAGAGAGTACACGGACTCTGAGAGAGTACGCGGACTCTGAGAGAGTACACGGACTGAGAGAGTACACGGACTCTCTGAGAGAGTACACGGACTCTCTGAGAGAGTACACGGACTCTCTGAGAGAGTACACAGACTGAGAGAGCACACGGACTCTCTGAGAGTACGCAGAGTACAATTGTTTGGCACCGCATTCAAAAACACAACACAGAGATGAGGACATCAACATGATGTGACTATGTTGACAATGTGACCATGGTGACGATGTCACCATGGCAATGACGATTATGTGACCAGAGAGACGATGTAAACGAGGTGACGATGATGTCGGAATGGCGATGATGTGATCACGGGGACAATAATGTAACCATGGCAATGATGCTAGGACGATAAAGACAATGATGTAACCAGGGAAGAGATGTTACCATAGCGATGATGATGATTATGGGACCACAGATGTTGATACGACCACAAAAACGACGACATAACCATGGCGATGACAATATTACCATCGTGATGATGATGATAATAATAAGACGACCATAGAAACAACAATGTAACCAAATTGACAGCAACAGCAGGGACGCCTTGGTCACTATGGTGACGATATGGTCACCATGGTGATGACATGCTCGTCAAGGTGACGATTATTAGAGCAGCGACGCCTTCATGATGACAAGATAACCATGGTAACGATACGGTTATCACGGTAACAATACGGTTATCACGGCAACAGCAGCAATCCCCTTGATATAAACACAGCCACCATGGTGACGACACGGTCACCATGGCGACAATAATTTGACGATAGCAACAGCAGCGACGCCTTGATGACGACATGCTCGCCATGATAATGACAATCACCACGGTGATGATGCGGTCGCCATGGAAACAGCAGCGATGCTCCAGACCAGCTCGGACGTCTTGGCTCGAGTCTCTGCTTTCCCAGAATTACCCTGGGCCAGTGTCACCCTGAGGTCATCACCACAGAGGCCCACAGAGGTCCAGAGAGTTTCAGAGGGGTCCAGAGGGGCCCACAGATCCAGGAGTCAACACGACGATGGAACGGGGGACACCGGGGGTGGAACCAGGGTGGGCAGTCTCGGCCACCGCAGTCCGGTGGTGATGGCAGCAGCAGCAGTAGCAGCAGTAGCAGCAGTAGTAGCAGCAATAGCAGCAGCAGTAGCAGCAGCAGGAGCAGCAGCAGTAGCAGCAGCAGTAGCAGCAGCAGCAGTAGCAGCAGTAGCAGCAGCAGCAGTAGCAGCAGTAGTAGCAGCAGCAGTAGCAGCAGCAGCAGCAGCAGCAGTAGCGGCAGCAGCAGCAGTAGCAGCAGCAGTAGCAGCAGCAGCAGTAGCAGCAGCAGTAGTAGCAGCAGTAGCAGCAGCAGCAGTAGCAGCAGCAGCAGTAGCAGCAGCAGTAGCAGCAGCAGCAGTAGCAGCAGCAGTAGCAGCAGCAGTAGCAGCAGCAGCAGTAGCAGCAGCAGCAGCAGTAGCGGCAGCAGTAGCAGCAGCAGTAGCGGCAGCAGTAGCAGCAGTAGCAGCAGCAGTAGCAGCAGCAGTAGCGGCAGCAGTAGCAGCAGCAGCAGTAGCAGCAGCAGTAGCAGCAGCAGTAGCGGCGGCGGTGGTGGTGATAGTGTTGAAGGCAGCAGTAGTAGCAGTGCTGGTTCCGGTAGAAGCGGTAGTGGGTGATAGTGGTGGTGGTGATAGTGGTGGTGGTAGCGGTGTTGATAGTGGTGGTGGTAGTGGTAGCGGTGTTGTGGTAATAGCGGTGACGGTGGTGGAGAATGACGGTTATGATGATGATGAGTGGCAAGTGAGGCGACGTCAATAAACAAGAGCCTTCTGGGCTGCGAGCAGCGTGTTCCTCATCAGCATGGCCACCGTCATCGGCCCCACGCCGCCCGGGACGGGGGTGATGTGGCCTGCCACACGGCGCACACCTGGGGGCGGGGGGAGCACGGAGAGGCAGGGTCAAGTCCTGTGGTTCTGTGTGCGCATGTGTACACATGCGTGTGTACACATGCGTGTGTACACGCATGTGTACACGCGTGCGTGTAGGGAGCGGTAGTGCAGCAATTGGCGCACTGTGCTACGAACCCGGCAACCCGAAATCGATTCCTGCTCATGGGCAACACCAGTGAAGATTTATCTGAACCGGTCCAGAGGCCTCCCCTAGATCGACTTGGCCTCAAATGAGTACCTGGTGCAGTGTGTAAACATCGCCACTGGGTTGACAAAGGCGGTCGGGCGTGGTGCTGGCCACCCGCCCCCCTATCTCGTGTGCCGTGCCAGCATGCACGGTGGGGGGGGGGTTACCTGGTTACCTTTTCATCTGGGTCGACTTGGTCTTAAAGAAATTCGCGACGCGGTGTGCATTGACCATCCGCGCCGCAAGAGACAGTGGGCGCCGTGCCGGCATTCGTAGGCACTGCTACTCGCTAACGGTACTTGCCCGTGCGGGCCTACACGGGGGAGCTTTGCCTGCATGTCGGCGGGCTCACCCTCAAAGTCGACGTCACCCACGAGCCGCGCCCGGCCCGTGCGCGGGTCCACCACGCGGTTGATGCCGACGTCGATGACGCAGGCACCGGGGCGCACCATGTCCGCCGTGAGCAGCCCCGGCACGCCTGGGGGTGCGGCACGCGCACACACACACACACGTCACTCACAACACACGCACGTGGCACACACACACTCATCATAATACAGGAGCGTGCGGCACACACGCATGACGCACACACACACACACACACGTCACTCATAACATGCATGCACGTGGCACGCGCGCACACACACACTTCACTCGTAACACAGATACGCGGAACGCACACAAGGCACACACACGGCACACGCACACACACACACACGTTACTCATAACACAGACACGTGGCACACGCATGCACACGTTGCTCACAACACACGTGCCACTCACACACATGTTACTCATAACGCACACACGTTACTCTTAACACACACACGTTACTCATAACACACATGGCACACACACACACACACGTTACTCATAACACACACAGACAGCACACACGCACGTGGTACACACACACGGCACACATGGTAAACGTGGTGCACAGGCGGCACAAACAGTATACTAACACACGCACGCGATACACATACGGCACATGTTAGACGCATTCCCGGAAATTGCCGGGGTATGTACACCTTGCACGCAGCGCAACACACATACGTGCGTGCGTCCGGTAGTGTAGCGGTTAGCGCTACGCTGCGCTATGAACCTGGCGACTCGGGTTCGATTCCCGCTCACGGCCAACATCAGTGACGATTATCTGAGCCGGTCCTGGGCCTCCCCTAGGTCGACTCGGCCTCAAATGAGTACCCGGTGCGGTGTGTAAACATTGTCACTAGGGAGACAAAGGCGGTCGGGCGTGGTGCTGGCCACCCACCCCCTCGTGTGCCGTTCCGGCCTTCATAGGTGCTCACTAACAGCACTTGCCCCTACAGTCTGTTAAGGCTATATGGGGGATCTTTATCTTTGTGTGCGCGCGTATCACCAGCAGCCATGATGACGATGTCGGCCATTAACGTGAAGTCTTTGAGCTGCTCCTTGGGCGTGTAGCGGTGAGTGATGGTCACTGTTGCATCACCTGGGAGAGAATGAGAGGGACAAAGGAGGGGGGGGTGAGAAGGGGGTGAGGAGAGGGTAAAGAGAGGATGAAGATGTGGGTGACGGTGAGAAGGTGTGTGATCGGTGGGGGAGAGGGAGGGTGAGCAGGGGAGTGAGGGTGAGGAGGGGGCCAAGGGCGAGCAGTGAGCGCTGTGGTGATGTCACCAGAAATTAGTGGCGAATGGCGGCTGTTCTTGTTTCTGTATAAACACGCGTGGGAGTGCAGCGGTTAGCGCTACGCTGCGCTACGAACCCGGCGAACAGAGTTCGATTCCAGCCCACGGCCAACAACAGTGACAATGATTTGGACCGCTTATGCGCCTCCGCTAGGTCGACTCAGCCTCAAATGAGTACCTTGTGTGGTGTGTAAACATCACCACTGGCGAGACAAAGCCGGCCGAGCGTGGTGTTGTTCACTCACCCCCTCGCGTGCCGCTCCCGCCTTCATAGGTGCTCGCTAACAGTATTTTACAGAACAGTCTGTTAAAAGCTATAAGGGGTATCTTTGTGTTTGTATGCACGTGTGTACACGTGCGTATGTGTGCGTACACGTGTGTGCACGTGCGTATGCGTGCGTACACGTGTGTCCACGTGCGCATGTGTGCGTACACGTGTGTCCACGTGCGTATGCGTGCGTACACGTGTGTGCACGCACCTCCGGCGCGCTCGTGCGAGCCGTCCGTGTGCAGCAGCATGGCGATGGGCATCCCCACGTTCTTGCTCCTCCCAGCCACGACCACGCGCTTCCCAAACGTGGAGATCCCTGCACGTGGGCACAGAGAACTCAGCACCGCAACGCGTAGCCAGCCACTCGCCCAGCCACACACCGACCCAGCCACACACCGACCCAGCCACCCACCCAGCTACCTGCCCAGCCACACACTCAACCACACACCCAGTCACACACCCAGCCACACACCCAGCCACACACCCAGTCATACACCCAGTCACACACCCAGCCACACACCCAGTCACACACCCAGCCACACACCCAGCCACACACCCAGCCACACACCCAGTCACACACCCAGTCACACACCCAGTCACACACCCAGTCATACACCCAGCCACACACCCAGTCACACACCCAGTCACACACCCAGCCACACACCCAACCACACACCCAGCCACACACCCAACCACACACCCAGCCACACACCCAGCCACGACGCAGTGAAAATGTAGTGGCTGTGGTTGTGCCTTGGCGGTGGTCATGTGGTGGGTATACTCTTTGGTTTTATTCGGTAAAGTCACGTAGGTAAAAAAACATAAAACAACAAAAATCACGACGTTTCGGCCACAACACAAGCTGCCTTCATCAGGTGAAGGGATCAGGCTGTCTCGAGGACAGCGCTGGAGTGAAACACAGCCAAGCTCAGGCCACGTCCCTTCACCTGATGAAGGCCGCTTGTGTTGTGGCCAAAACGTCGTGATTTTTGTTGTTTTATTTTTTTACCTACGTGACTTTACCGAATAGAACCAAAGAGTATGGATCTTGCAGTCACGAAAGCTTCAAATCTACATGTGGTGGGTGTTACCGGCTCTCTGCAGTATCTCCCACACCCCGGCCGGCGTGGCTGGAAGCATGGCACGTTGGTCCAGGCACAGCCGCCCCACGTTGAGCACATGGAACCCATCCACGTCCTTCTCCGGGCACACGGCGTCGCACACGGCCCGCTCGTCCACGTGGTCTGGGCACACCAACACGCGCCGCGTCACACCAACACGCCCGGCGTCGCACCAACACGCCCCGCGTCGCACCAACACGCCCCGCGTCGCACCAACACGCCCCGCGTCGCACCAACACGCCCCGCATCACACCAACACGCCCCCACGTCACACCAACACGCCCGGCGTCGCACCAACACGCCCGGCGTCGCACCAACACGCCCCGCGTCGCACCAACACGCCCCGCGTCACACCAACACGCCCCCACGTCACACCAATACGCCCCCACGTCACACCAACACGCCCCGCGTCGCACCAACACACGCCGCGTCGCACCAACACGCCCCTGTGGCCGCGTGAATGTGTGTATGTATCCGCATGGATCTGCCTGTATTTGGAAACTTCACTGGGTGATTCTATGTGTATGTATCTGTAAGTATGTGTGTGTGTGTACCCATGAAGGGAGTGATGGTGCTGCGGTTAGCGCACTGCACTCTGAACCCGGCGACCCAATTTCGATTCCTGCTCACGACCAACATCAGTGACAATGATCTAAACCGGTTCTAGGTCTGCCCCAGGATAATCCAGCCTTCACTGAGCACCCGGTGCTGTGAATGTTAAACAACAGCACTCGGGAGACAAAGGCGGCTGGACGTGGCACAGGCCACCCCACCCCCTAGTGGTGCCGTGCTGGATTTCAAAGGTTGCTCGTTAACAGCAGTTGCCCCCCAAGTCTGTTAAGGCTACATGGGGGCTCTCTGCGTGTACCCCATGTGCACACGCGAATGAGCGAGCGGGCGACTCACCGGGCACGGGCAGCTGCACCAGCAGGCCGTCGGTGCCAGGGTCGGCGTTGAGCCGGTGAATGAGCGCCAGCAGCTCCTCCTGGGAGACGGAGGCGGGGCGCGTCTCCGCCGTGCTCGTGATGCCCACCAGCTCGGCGGCGCGCGTCTTGTTGCGCACGTAGGTGCGGCTGGGCGCGTCGTCGCCCACCAGCACCACGGCGAGGTGCGGCGCACGGTGGCCCGCGGACACCCATGCCCGCACGCCGTCGCTCACCTCGGCGCGCACCGCCCGCGCCAGCTCCACGCCCGAGATCACCACGGCCTCGCACCTGCGAACCACGCCACTGCCGCGTTTGCTCATGCGCACGGGCAAGGCGCCACGTCACCCATGCGGCGAGCACAATACGCAATCGCCACACCACACACTGTGTCGCACCACATCACTCACGCACACACCCACCGAACCACACACTGCTGCACCATTTTACTCACAGACACGCACAACAAATAACACAAACCGCACCATGCTAATCGCACACACACCCAGTGCTGACTCCTGCAGGAGGGAGTGTGAGAGTGTCAGCCATGGGATGAGGTTACCCTAGGCCATGGCACTCTGGTTGACCCTGGAAGGCACGTGACAAGTAAGATCTACACAGGAGCCCCAGGCGTGGGCTAGGGGGTGGTCACGTGTCAGGGTGAGATCCTACGGGAGGGGTCGAGAAACCCCAGGAGGTTTCTCAAAGGTGGTCGTGGCCAAGGGCGGGGCCAGCCACGACCCGGGACCATACAAACCAGGGTCCCCACAGGGACCGGGGCTCAGCGTTGCTCTCGTCATCTGAAGATCTACGATCTACGTCCAAGAAGAAGTCACCAACGCGTGGACGAGGACCCAAGCCAGGGTCCTGTCCGTAGTAGCTACTCCCACCACCACAGGTTATCTGGTAAAGGGGCAGTAACCCCTTTGTGTTACGTGTTGGTGTCAATAAATGTGTTGCCTCCAAGAAGTGCGTCTGCGACTCAGTTTAATCCACTACACTATAGTCGTTTTAAATATAACAGAGACACAGATCCTCTGTGTAGCCTACACAGGCTGTTGGGGAAATGCTGTTAGCGAGCACCTATTAAGGGAGTGGCCAGAACCATGACTACCTTTGTCTCCCAAGTGCTGATGGTCATGCACTGTATCAGGTACACATTTAAGGCCGAGTGAACCTAGGGGAGGCCCACAACCAGTTCAAAGTCATCACTGATTGTTGGCTGTGAGCCGAAATCAAGCTCGGGCTGCTGGGTTGGTAGCGAATTGCCCTGACCACTGCGCCACCACTCCCCACTGCTCTAAATATACACACGGCGCACACGCACGCGCACAGGGATCGGATATATCGCGATTCTCATTACCACTGTGTCGCGTGGATGCGAGAGCGGCATTGCGTGCCAAGCGAGGAGGTGTCTCCCACGAGAGTGAGACGCCTCCTCCTCAGTCCAAGACACCATCTGCACAAGCCGACTCACGCTACGGGCGATTTATTCATTAACCTCCATTTGTGTTTGTGAAATATTGTCCAATTGTCATGCGATTTCTATTTGCTTCGTGGCATAACTTTATTTTGTTTTTGCCATTTCGGTGACCCAAGTCATCACCTTTGCAAATTGAGCTCCTATCCTGGTCTCTTGCGTTCTCACCTCGCTACACAAAAACAACTTAAGACTCCTCGCATGGAGATACGTAGACTTGTGGAGACCCACCAGACTCACGCACAGAGACTCATAGACTCACACAGAGACCCACAGATGTAGAGACCCATAGACTTACATAGAGACCCACAGACTCACACAGAGGCTCATAGACTCACACATAGACCCATAGACTACAGAGACCCTTAGACGTCCATAGAGCCCCAAGATGGAACAGACTTCCCCTCCACATTAAACAATCACCTTCACTCACTAGTTTCTGCTCTTCACTCAAAACTCACTTATGTCCCTCAATATCCCCCTCATAACCACCACTGTTACTGTACCGTCTTCATATTCTCATTATACGGCTATCACTCGTTAATCCCATCCATTCAATCCATTCATCATCATTTACTGTCATCAATATTGCTTTCACTGAATTCACGCATCACAGATATGCTCATTGTTTCCTCTCATCTATTTTCATTCACCTCATCTCCTCCATTACATCCATATATACCGTTGTTAATTCGTTGTAAAGCGCCATAGTAAAGGCGCTAAAAAATTTGGTTAAGAGCCAGGCTCACTTGAACCAATACTGGTGACCTGCCAGATGTTTATAGACAAAGACCCTCTCCCGGTTTAGATATGGGTTCTAGTTCCACGCAAAAGTCTATAATGCATAATACAGAATAATATAATCATTCTGGCCGCTGTGGAGAACACACATTTTATAGAGATCTGGCTTCTAAAATTAAACACTCCCAGCAAAGGCCGTGGAACTGATGGGTTGTGTACGAAAAAAAATTACTTGTGTATATTTTTGTTGCATGTGGAGGGTATAGATTACGTTGAAGAGACGCATTGTAAGCTTATTTAGAACGTAGCGTGTCATCTTGTAAGTTGGCCTCGGCCGCTGTGGTCACCCGGCGTCTGTTATGTAACGCGCCGCGGCACGTGGCCGGGCGGCAAGCCGTCACTGCCCAACGCACCGCGGCTGGGAGAAGTCACCGCTCTCAGCCACCACGTGGCGCCCTACCAACACAACGCAGTCACCATCATAAGCGTCATCGAACATCCATCGGTTGAAAGGCAGAGAGACAACTCCACATGTATTGTTTCTGTGCCATTGTGGTTCCGCTTGTGTAGGTACGCAGGAAAGCCTCATCGAGTCTCAAGACTATTTTCAGGAGGGTCCTGCCAAGTTTTTTTTTTTAATTTGCAGCAGCGGCAGTGGAGGGGGCGATGATTGCTGCTGCTGAAACTGTGATCCCAATTGACTGATTTGCAGATCATTCTTTTTCGGCACTGAGGATGAGCTTTTGGCCGATAGCAGTTCCACCGTGTTTGTGTTTGTTCAGCTATGGGAGGCGGACACCGCGAAATCCAGAGGAAACCCATGCAGAACAGGGGGAGAATACACAACCTCCCTTCACACACTCGTACACACTGGAATAACATACAGTACACACTACATTCATACACTGGGATAACATGCACACTCGAATTCACACTCACACACACTGGGAGAATATACACACTGTTTCGAAGAACAAATGTGACCTCATTTACCAGCTTCACATTCCTTATTGCCGTACAAATACTGGAGGGAGGGCCTTTTCTATTGATGGCCCCAGGGTCTGGAATGCTATCGCCAATAAACTGCAACTTGGATCACTACCTGTGAGATCTTCACTAAAAACTGCTCTATAGGAGTTGTACACACCTAGCTGCCACTGCTATTCAGAATGGCCTGAAATCAAATGTATCATTCCGGATGACAGTTGCAAAGTATGATCTTGAGTTTGATTGTGGTGTGCTGATCTGTAAAGGTGTATTGAAAATTTTTGATTCTGCTACTGATACTCCTGCTGTTATGGAGTGACTCATGCGGCCAACTATGGCTGCAAAGTTTGGTCGTACATGTTATGTATATCGTTTATTGTAAAATTTGAATCACAGTTCCTATGATCACTGTTGTTACATTGTTTTTATAGCTTTATTTTGGTGATTTTGAAAACGTTTTGATTTAGCCATGTTTGTTTGTTGTAGTACAGAGTTAGCCTGATAACTTGAATCCACATTGTCTTATGGTCATTATTGTTTGACTTGCATTCCACTGGGATTTTTGCACACAGCTTTGAAATACGGTGTTTTTTCTGGAAGGATTTTCCAGGATTTTTCTAGTGCGTTTAGTCACTTTAAGATGTTTCTTGTTCATGTTTTTGCTTTGTTGCGGTTGCACCCGAGTCAAGAGCCGCATGGCTCACAGGGTTATACCTCCTAATAAATGAAAAACACTCCATTCACACACTCGCACAACACTCGCTCTGCAGAACAAGGGGAGAATACTGTACACACAACCTCCATTCAACCCGCTCGCTAATAAACTCACACGCACTCTGCCGGACAGGGGGTTGAACAAAAAAAAATCCATGCAGAAAGGCGCCCGCGTCGGGAATCGAACCCAGTGGCTGCGCATTGCTGTGTGGCGCCACCCTGTCGCCTCTGCAGTTGTCGCCGCGATCACCGCGGGCGCGTAAAGCGACGGGGCGAGTTTGTGAGTGACCTGTGAGTGACCTGTGAGTGACCTGTGAGTGAGTGACCTGTGAGTGACCTGTGAGTGAGTGACCTGTGAGTGAACTGTGAGTGACCTGTGAGTGACCTGTGAGTGACTTGTGAGTGAGTGACCTGTGAGTGACTTGTGAGTGAGTGACCTGTGAGTGAGTGACCTGTGAGTGACCTGTGAGTGAGTGACCTGTGAGTGACCTGTGAGTGACCTGTGAGTGAACTGTGAGTGACCTGTGAGTGAGTGACCTGTGAGTGACCTGTGGGTGAGTGACCTGTGAGTGACCTGTGGGTGACCTGAGTGAGTGACCTGTGAGTGACCTGAGTGAGTGACCTGTGAGTGACCTGTGGGTGAGTGACCTGTGAGTGACCTGTGAGTGACCTGAGTGAGTGACCTGTGAGTGAACTGTGAGTGAGTGACCTGTGAGTGACCTGTGAGTGACGTGTGAGTGAGTGACCTGTGAGTGACCTGTGAGTGAACTGAGTGACCTGCGAGTGAGTGACCTGTGAGTGAACTGTGAATGAGTGACCTGTGAGTGACCTGTGAGTAACCTGAGTGAGTGAACTGTGAGTGACCTGTGAGTGAGTGAACTGTGAGTGAACTATGAGTGAGTGACCTGTGAGTGACCTGTGAGTGATCTGTGAGTGACCTGAGTGAGTGACCTGTGAGTGACCTGTGAGTGAGTGACCTGTGAGTGACCTGTGAGTGAACTGTGAATGAGTGACCTGTGAGTGACCTGTGAGTGAGTGAACTGTGAGTGAACTATGAGTGAGTGACCTGTGAGTGACCTGTGAGTGATCTGTGAGTGACCTGAGTGAGTGACCTGTGAGTGACCTGTGAGTGAGTGACCTGTGAGTGACCTGTGAGTGAACTGTGAATGAGTGACCTGTGAGTGACCTGTGAGTAACCTGTGGGTGACCTGTGAGTGACCTGTGAGTGAACTGTGGGTGAGTGACCTGTGAGTAACCTGAGTGTGTGAACTATGAGTGACCTGTGAGTGAACTGAGTGACCTGAGTGAGTGACCTGAGTGACCTGTGAGTGAGTGACCTGTGAGTGACCTGTGAGTGAGTGACCTGTGAGTGACCTGTGATTGAGTGACCTGTGAGTGACCTGTGAGTGACCTGTGAGTTACCTGTGAGTGACCTGAGTGACCTGTGAGTGACCTGTGAGTGAGTGACCTGTGAGTGACCTGTGAGTAAACTGTGAGTGAACTGTGACCTGAGTGACCTGTGAGTGACCTGTGAGTGAACTGTGAGTGACCTGTGAGTGACCTGTGAGTGAGTGACCTGTGAGTGACCTGTGACTTGTGAATGACCTGTGAGTGACCTGTGAGTGACCTGTGAGTGACCGAATGAATGGGCCACGTGGGTTTCCGGAAGGCTTTAGGCAAGGTGATGGTGGGCAAGAGCGGGGGATGGGTGAGCCGTGACACGGTTCAATAACGGAGCACGTGGATGAGTGATGGCGATGATGGGGTGGGGAGTGCGATTGCGTGAGACTGTCGGGGGATGGAGGAGTGAAGCGGGTGGCCATGTTGACGGTGTCGATGAATGAATGAATGGGGCCGTGTGGGTGAGACCGTGATGTTAACTTCGCGTGATGTTTGTGGAGGTTGCGCGAGGCCCGTGGCGGTCACCGTCGGTCGGGCTGACGCTACCCTCACTGCTCTTTCGTCAGCCGCGCTCCTCTCACAATCCCCACTGCACACAAGCGGTCGCTCTTGGTGGGGGGGGAGGGGGTTGCACAACCCGATTGGCCGCGACGCACCACGTGCAACCAACACGACCAATCGGAACGCGCCTAACGGGGTGGGGGAAAAACGAAAGTCGGCGCGGCATCCAACAGCCAATCGGAGCGCGCCCACCATAGCCCGGCGCGCGCATCCGCTCTACGAAATACAATCCCATTCATCTCTATGGGGGCCACCAGTCACGGGCCAGGTTCTATCCGCTGCTCACCGCTTGGCGCTCGCGTGAAAGGTCGCGCCGTCAACCCCGCCGCGGTCGCCGCCTCTTTGTCCTCCTCGTCCTCCGCCGCGGGCGAGGATCCTCCTGAGGGCGCGGCGACAGAGAGACGAGCAGAGCGCCATGTCCTCACGGAGCAGCAAGCCGGCAACGATTCACGTGCCGGGGCCCCCGCGTCGCTAGGGCGAATCCACGTGCCGGGGCCCCCGCTAGGGAAAATCCATGTGCCGGGGCCCCCGCTAGAGGGAATTCATGTGCTAGGGCCCCCGTTAGGGAATCCATGTGCTGGGGCCCTCCGCTAGAGAGAATCCACGTGCCGGGGCCCCCGCTAGGGAGAATCCACGTGCCGGGGCCCCCGCTAGGGAGAATCCACGTGCCGGGGCCCCGCTCGGAAGAATCTACGTGCCGGGGCCCCCGCTAGAGAGAATCCAGGTGTCGGGGTCCCCGCTAGGGCATCCACGTGTCGGGGCCCCCGCTAAGGGAATCCACGTGCCGGGGCCCCGTTCGGAAGAATCCAGGTGCCGGGGCCCCCGCTGGGAGAATCCAGGTGCCGGGACCCCCCGCTAGGGAGATCCATGTGCCGGGGTCCCCGCTAGGGCATCCACGTTCCGGGGCCCCCCGCAAGGGGAATCCAGGTGCCGGGGCCCTCGTTTGGGGATCCACGTGCCGGGGCCCCCCATTAGGGGGGCGGGGAATTCAGGTGCCGGGGCCCCTCGTTAGAGGGGGGTGGAATCCAGGTGCCGGGACTCCCGTGCAACATTTACTCCTATAATGAGCCAATAATCCAAACTCTTTGGTTCTTTCGGTAAAGTCACGTAGGTATAAGAATGTCTGTGTCCCGCGCGTGACGTCACTCCACGTCGGCCAGCCCCCCTCATGAATACTCATGAACAGGTGACGTCTTCTACATGGACCCCCCCCCCCCTTATTAATAATCATGAGCGGGTGACGTCACTCCACAAGTATCAACCCCCCCACCTCTCATTAATAATCATGAGCAGGTGACGTCACTCCACATCGAACAGCCCCCCACATTAATAATCCTGAACAGGTGACGTCACTCCACAAGTATCAACCCCCCCACCTCTCATTAATAATCATGAGCAGGTGACGTCACTCCACATCGAACAGCCCCCCACATTAATAATCATGAACAGGTGACGTCACTCCACAAGTATCAACCCCCCCACCTCTCATTAATAATCATGAGCAGGTGACGTCACTCCACATCGAACAGCCCCCCACATTAATAATCATGAAGAGGTGACGTCTTCCAAATTGACACACCAACATTAATATTAATTAGCGGGTGACGTCACTCCACATGGGGGGGAGGGGGGGGCGAGGCGCCTCCTCTCCCCTCCTCGGCGTCAACTCACAGCCCTCACTACAAAGGCAGAACCCTCACGTCATCACGTGATCTCACCCTCACTACAAAGGCAGAACCCTCACGTCATCACGTGATCTCCGTCACGCTGTTGACACATCGAAGTAAAAAGGACGTCGTGATGAACAAGGGATTAGATTAGAACCTTTATATTAAATAAGTCTGTGCCACCGCGCCCTTACAAATTGCACACGAATTGATGCAATGAATATAACACGTCGCAGTCTGCTTGTCGCTTGCAAGTTTCAGATTTACTGAACTACACCCGTCCTTGGACGGGATAAAGGCTAGTTGCCCAATAATAGACGTTCCGGGGTCCCCCTCCCTCCTTTGTGGTGAGGAAATCATATTCCGGGGCCCACGGTGTTGCCTAACAATTCATGTTGCAGGAGCGTCTCTGCCGACGAGGCACATGAATCAGAATCTTTATTTATCCTGGATAAATCCGATTTAGCTATGAAGCTCTTTTTTTGTCACAGATGTATAGTCGGAGCGGGTCAGAAAGATTTAATGAAATGTACCGGTACTAGCAAAGGAAGAACTCCACGACTCCAGGAAGTGGCCCCGAAGCTCGCCACAACGTAAGGGACCCGTGGCAGCCAAGGGAGGGAACGTGCACCGAGGAGGAGATGGATCGATGAAATCTGAAATCTACGGCTTTCCCGAGGCCTTCACTCAGCAGTTGATTGATCATGGCTGATGGTGGTGCTGATGATGTTGATAAGCATATCATTGTCCAATCTCAATCGCTCTGCATTGTAATTGATCACGATACCGATATTAAATCATTCACTGTGACCGTCATGGGCAACACATATATATGATTAATTCACGTTCCGGGGCCTGGCGTCGTTTAATTCACGCTCCGGGGCACCTCCCCGGGCCTATAAATTCTCGTTCCGGGGGCCACGCCTGGCGCATCCACGTTCCGGGCCCGCGTGACGACTCAGGGTGAGCGAGCGGCGGGCGATTGAGGCTTGTGTGCTGGGCGTGTGTGGGGTGAGTCTCATCCAGCAGTGGAGAACGCAAGGGAAGGGGAGCTCCCTCAGCGTGGGGCGGGGGGGAGGCGAAGCGAAGCGAAGCGATTCCTCTCCCCCCTTCCCCTCTTCATTCAGGGCCGTGTGAAGGTCGCAGCAACCACGTGGGTGTTCGAGCCCCGTGGCCCCCCGCTCTGCGTGGAGGGGGAGGTGAGGGTCTTGTGGAGCGGGGCCTCTTGTCTGTGACCCCCTTGGAGGGAGGGGTGCCTGCCCGTGATGCCTCGAGGCACGATGCTAATTGCGCCACGAAGTGGTGAGATGTTGTCTCCCTTGCCTGGTACGCAGGAGGTCGTGGGGTCCATGTCCACCCATGCGCCTGCTGCGTGTGTCTGTGCGTTCACGCTAACATTTACATTTCTCTCCGGACTCCTCCGAGTTGGCTCCCTCTACATTTAGAAACGTCACGTTTAAGAGTTTTTGTTTGGTTTGTTTTTGCTGCTCTACGTTTCCTTGTGACACAAGCCGCTTCGTTGGGCCATCATTTGTGGTCTAGTCGCTTCGGTGGGCCTTACCTGGTGAAATAAAATCACGATATCTTGGCGTGATCGTTAGGCTGTGACAATGATGAGGGAGGGAGTATTTGGGCACTAATTGGGCTCATTTGCTGTGAATGTTTAGGGGTCGCTTCTGTATCGCATCGTACACATCTGTGCAGCCTACCCACAATCCTTCACCGTCCTATCCCCCATTGACCAGCGTGGTGAAGTATAATCAATCTCCACCCTTGCCAACCAACTCGCATAGTGTGGGGGAGGCCTTTAATCCAGCTCAAGGCTCCGGGATCTTGCAAGTGATCGCTCACGCCACACCAGAGGGCGCTCCGGAGTGCATGTGGCCTACTCTTCCACTACGTTGTCACCAGAGAGTTGGGAGTAACCAACACTTTACCCCACCATCTGCGACCTGCCAATCACCGACCTAACTGGTGGTGGTGGTTGTGCAACCCATTCCTGCTGCTGCTGCTGCAGGAGGCGGTGAGGTCAGTCCACCGTTTGGACTGCCGCGCCGGGAGATGGAATCGGTTCTGCGAACCTCTGCATTGCAAGACCACTGCGCCACTGTGGGAGCATCCGAGCGGCATTAATAATGCTGCCGATTCCGCTTGTTTACTCCGAACAGTTCCACCGAGACTCTTGAGGCGTCCTGCCAAGTTTTACGCAGTAGGGGAGCGATGCTTGCTGCTGTTTGTGAACCCAATTGAGTGGATTTGCGGTGTCGTTTGTTTCAAATTTGGATTCGTGACGCCGGGGCACGGTGGTCTCCTCTTGGGAGCGACGTCACGGGATCTTTAACGTCCACTGCGAGTGAAGCGGGCGGCGTGTAGTATTACTGCGGTTAATACGACTGCAGTATTTACCAGGGTGGCGTGCCAGGTTCGAACCGTTAACCTCTGCAACCAACGCTCCGTCGCCTGGAGCATGTCACCACTCGCTCCACGTGGTGGCGTGGATTTATTTTTTCCTCCGGTTTTTCTCTAATTTAGAAACATTGCGTTGGGATTATTAAAATTGTTTTGCTGCTGTAAATGTCCACGTGATAAGCCCGCTCTGTTGAGCTATCATTTGTGGCCAGGTCCAGGGGCGGAGCCAGGATTTTGACTTTGGGGGGGGCTGACTTCAATATTCTGAGATATCCAGTGTTTATGTTTTCCAATGGGCGGCACAAATGTATAAAACACATTTTATTGGATTTGAACGCGGAGTTTATTAATAGGTCGGAGCCGCTGATGTGGCTTATAAGTTCGAAATGCTGCCGCTAAAGCAGCCTGCAGGGCAGCACAAGGTGGCAGCCTGCAGGGCATCACAAGGTGGCAGCCTGCAGCATTTTGCAGCAGCCGGATATCCGGCTATCCCGATTACCGACTTTCCCAGCCCCCCCCCCCCCCCGTGGCTCCGCCCCTAGCCAGGTCTTTTCTGAAAAATAAGTTAATACTTCTGGGGGGCTTTACCCGGTAAGATAAAAATACTTCCGTTTTATTTGTACATTTTAAGTGTTTTTCCGTACCTTTCCTATACTTTTCACGCCTATCGTGATTTTTTCTATCGTTTTTTCCGAACCCGCCCCTTCTGGACATCTGTAAAAAAAAAAACAAAGCTTTGTAGCTTATCTGATTCCTCCAGTATAAATATTCTGATTGTGGAATATCATTGTTATTTTAAATTCCACTGCTGGATGAAGGCCCGTCCACTGTACATTTTGTCATTCGTTTCCACTTTCTGCTGTCTTGTGCCAAGTAGTGCCCACATCTTTTTGGCACCAATCTCTCATGTCGTCATCAAGCCATTCTCTGTTCGGTCTTCCTCTCTTTCCAGTTTCTTCCATTTTTCTGAACGACACACTTTTAATTTTCCTGTTCATCCTACATGTGTGTCCAAATAGTGCCAGTTTCCTTCTCAATCACTGCATTAGTTTGTCTTCTGTGTGCAATCTTCTTCTTACTTCTACGTTGGTCGTTCTTTGGGTCCAGTTTAGATACAGTATCCTTAGATAGCAATACATTTTGAATGCCAATGTCTCGCCTAGGTCTATTTCAATATCCAAGTCTCATGCATATGGGACTCTACGTAACTGTATGGGTCTCTGCACAAGCCTGGGGGGTGTCTCCTTGAAGAGTCTGGGATCTCTGCACGAGTCTGGGGGGGGGGGGGAGGGAGTCTTTACCCGTGTCTGAATATGCCTCGATTTAACACAATTCTTCACCGTTTACCCTCCCCGCCAGGTTTCCATGGCGTCACTATGCCGACCGTTGCTCTGCCGACCAGCGGCCTCATCTTTGCTGGGCGCCATGGTGCGGCCCATGCTGGGTACCAGCACGGTGGGGGCCACCACGGGCCGCTGGGCCCACGGGGCCCCTCAGCCTCCCACAGCGAACCCCGTGGTCTTCATGGACGTGTCGGCAGACTCGGGCCCACTCGGCAGAATCACGTTTGAGGTGCGGGGGGTGGTGTGGGTAAGGGGGTAGACGGGGTGGGGAGTAGTGGGGGGAGAATGGAGTTCGATTTTTTTTCTGAATCAGTTGCGGAGCACAGGCCCACAGGTC